GCAGCAGACCTCAAATGGACATAGACAGACTAGTAAAATGGGCAGACATGTGGCAGATTAAGTTTAATGTGGAGAAATGCAAAGCGATGCATTTTGGGAGGAAGAATGAGGAGAGACAACATAAGCTGATGGTACAATCTTAAAGAGGGTGAAGGAATAGAGAGACCTGGGGGTTCATATAAGTAAATCTTAATCTTAATAAAGGACAGCCAACAGGACAGGTAGATAAAACTATTAAAAAAGAAAATGGGATACTAGGCTTTATAAATAGGGGCAGAGAATACAAAAGTCAGGAAGTTATGATGAACCTTTATAAAACATTGGTTAGGACTCAGCTAGAGTACTATATTCAGTTCTGGGCACCACAGTTTACACTTTAGGAAGGATGTTAAGGCATTGGAGAGGGTGCAAAGCAGACTTGCCAGGATGGTACCAGGAATGAGGGACTCCAGTTATCCGGAGAGGCTGGAGAAGCTCAGATTATTCTCCTTGGAGCAGAGAATGTTAAGAGGAGACTTCATAGAAGTATTCAGAATTATGAGGGGATTCGATGGGGTGAACAAGGAGAAACTATTTCCACTGGTGCGTGGGTCGGTAACCCATGGACACCGACTTAAAATAGTTATTAAAAGAAACAGAGGGAGGTGAGGAGAAATTGTTCACACAGCGAGTTGTTCGGATCTGGAATACATTGCCTGAATGTGTGGTGGAAGCTGATTCGATAACAACTCTTAAGAGAGAAGCAGATAATTATTGGGGGAGAACAAGTTTGCAGGGCTATGGGGAGAGAGCGGCAGAGTGGGATTGAATTGGATGGCTCTTTTCAAAGAGCCGGCACAGACACGATGGGCTGAATGGCCTCCTTCTGTGCTGTATAATTCTATGAATGCAGCACTCCCTCAGCACTGCATTGGATTGTCAGCCAAGACTATAAATTTAACATTTCAACTTGGAGCTTGAATTCACCATCTTCTCACACAGAGGTGATAGTGCTGCCAAGTGAGCCTGGCCTATTTCATTACATGTGATATAATAATAATAATCCTTGCATTTTGACATTGCCTCTTATCACATCTTTGAGACATCTCAAAGCGCTTCACAGAATATAGTGTAAAGTGAATTGACTGTATATTTTGTGGGTGAAATGCAGCAGCCAATTGTGCACAGCAGTGTCCCACAAACAGTTGTGGATTGAGTGACCAAATTAGTTTTTATTTATTTTGAAGGAATTATTACCCCCTGGAATAGCAATCCGCCAATCGACTAACAGCCGGGTTCCTACTTACTGCTAGGTAAACAGAGACGTGTGGAGTTATGAAACTTGCCTAACGTTTTGCCCTGCTGGGAATCGAACCCAGGTCCCTCACTTGCGAGGTGAGTGCTCTAACCACTGAGCAACAGGACTCCACAAAGCTACAAGACTTCACACATATGCATATAAAAGGAACACTCATTCAAGAATATTTTTTGCATCCTGAGTTTTGCTGAGAGTCAGAGGCTCTCTCATGTGTTGGCTGTGGAACTACCGTAGTTTCAGTTCATTTGTGGCTTTAGAGCATCTTAGATTTAGGACGGATTTATCTATCCACCGCCCTTTCCTATAGCCAGACTTCAGCTGAGAACTCCTAAACTAGCAAACAAATCAGAGATACACTAGTATAGGATTGGGGAATATGGATGCATTTTCAAGTGCTGCCCTACACACCCACCCCTTTGGAGCACCGGAGGATTTGAGCAGATGAAAAGAACAATATAAATGACCTCCGCCAGTAACTTCCTTTCAGCCATCATCATATGTACCAAGCAAAAAACAACAGGAGAAATACTACATCAAAAAAGCTGTGCTTTTAGAGTGCGACTTAATCACAACTGTTGTACTTTTCTGTTCCACTCTATGTTGGACAGTGTAAGACACTGAACTTTAAGCACTCTGTGTTGCGCCCCGCTTGACGGGTGCTATATAAATGCAAGGTTTTGTTGTTGAAGTTTTCTTGAGCACCTTTCTGAGTTTAGCATAGCAAGAGCTGTACCTGAAGAGGTGAGAGTGGAGTTGTGATAGTGCTATTTAGATTTAGGGTTGAAGGTCGGTGAACATATTGACAAGTAGAGAATAACATGCAGTAAGGTAATCCACTTTACCCTAAACTGCTCTGTTCATTTTTAATATTCCCTGTGCTTGCTGACTGAGCTGTGGTTTCATAATTACTACCAAAAAAAAACTTGCATTTCTTATAGTGTTTAATCATGTTGTCGAAATGTCGCTTCCCATGATGTACAGCCAATTTGGACACGGCAATGTCCCCAAATCGGCAATTAGGTGAATGATCAATCTGGGGCATGGTTGGCCAGGATACCAGGAGAAACTTTCTTTTCTTAAATTTAAGTTATCCTTTCTCTCTTCATTCGAGTAATCTGCATGCTGTAGACTTTATAAGCCTCCTTCCAGCCCAACTCAACACCCCCTTGATATCAGTGAAGGGAAACGTGTCGGTGATCACACACAAAGCAGGGAAAGTTTGGCACCAAACGTTTGAATAGTGAGTAAGATCTGAAAGACAGCGGGGGTAAGGGAGAGAGAGAAAAAACACAAAGTAAGGTCTGTCAGACTGTTTCCAAATTCTTTTAATGTGTAAATAATTTCATGGAAAAGGGAGAATGTTCTAATTTTGGAAAAGAAAAACTACTGTCACAGAAGTGCAGACACAAGGCAGTGTGATTCAGCCCCCTCTGTGTGTTTTATATATATGTGTATATTATATGTAAAATATATATCTGCATGGGCCATAAGTGATTTCTGTCAGCAAATATCTACATTATTGTTTCACAACAAGCTGACTTATTCAATCATTGATGGTCGACGGACTCGCACGTCAGTATCTAAAGTGAAGCAATTCCAGATAAATCAGAAGCCAATTGACCCTGGAAATTCGGTGCCCAAATTGCGTGACTTAAAAGCAGTTTACAGCATGGAATAGCTGGAGGCCTTTGCAGTTGTGCCAGTATTGCCATGGCAACTGTTCCTCGGGGGATAGTGATGCCAATTATTCCTCCCCACAACCCCCCACCTTTATTCAAAGGAAGGCTAATAAGAGAAATGCAGTTTGGAACAGTTCGTCTTTAATATACCGTGACCCTGCCAAAACAACTTTGAATTCCTGACTGGTCGTCTGGATAAAGAGAGAGAGAGAGAGAGAGCAAGAGAGAAAATTCTCATGTTCTGTCAGAGGCACCCTAGCTCAGGAAGCATCCATCTGTGTTTTCCTGCTATTCGCTAAGAGATTTTTTTCCACCCCATTTGTTGATTGTCAAAGTAAACAGATTTCGCACATTGCACACTTTAATCTTCAAGGTTCGGGAAATGCCCAGTGTTATTTGCTTTGATTCAAATTCAATTGTTTTTTTTATTCCCACACAAATGCCAGGTGCGGCAGGCAGTCTCGGTGGCTCAGAGGGTCAAATGCAGCATGTAGTGTGGTGTGAGCTGTCCAGAGCAAAATATGCCACCTCTTATCCCTGCTCTGTGCTGTGTCAACTGATCTCTGTAGGGGAGAGCTGGAAGGGTTGTAGAACTGCTACAATTGACTCCAGTGCCGAAGGCTACGGAGGGGAATAATCAGCTCCTGATTGCTCTCCAATGTTTTCTTTAGTCAGCTGGGTATGTGATGTTTTGTTGTCTGACACAAGTGTAAACCCATCACCGCGCTCAAGAGTATCCAAACCTAGCTGAGATTGCACGCATCCCATCTACACGTGGAAATCCCAGAGATAGATTGTTGGAATGGTATGTGCACTCTCTCCCTGGAGGGACACATCCCGCTTACCTAATTCCGGAAAGTATTAGGTGCAGGTTGGTAAGAACCAAGGCTTGGGGACCCCAGAGTGTGCGTTGGGGTACTGGTGGAGTCTAACCAGCTAAACCTGCAGAGTTTGCCATTGATATTGCTGTCTGGGACGCTTTCCCACTGCGAGAACCACCGCGCGCACCTGTTAGGGCTTTGGCTTGTAGAGTTGACAGCAGTTGAGTGGGAATGACTCCCTGCCCCCAGTGACTGGTCTGCCCTTCCAGGTCCTTCCGATGAGCCAGTTTGGCTGTGCTGTCATCAGCAGTGCCCTGAAATACTGCAGACTCTCTTGGCTCAGGAACCGGACCACAGAGACCGCCACAGAGGGCTGACTCGATTCCAACATTCCGTGGTCGGGCATGTCACGTTGGAGCTGGTTCAGCTCCAAGGAGATCTCGCTTACCTTGTCACCGTCTTCCTGTCCGCAGCTCGGGCAGATGTTTCTTCCTATTGACCGATGGTTCCACCAATTGGAGGTGCGGAGTTTAAGCAGCAGTTGCTCGCTTCTCTGCAGGACAATCAAAGTACATTTTAGGCGCTGGACCTACAAGTGGAGTCCTGTAGCTCAGTGGTTAGAGCACTCGCTTTGCAAGCGAGAGACCTGAGTTCAATTCCAGGCAGAGGGCGAAACCTTGGGCAAGTCTCCTTACTCCACACAGAGCCTAATAATAATCCCTCCAAAACCAAAACCAATAATAAATTGGTCATTTTCAATCTACGACTGTTTGTGGGACATTGCTGTGCGCAATTGGCTGCCGCGTTCGCCCACAAATATACAGTCAATTCACTTTACAGTGTGTTCTGTGAAGGGCTTTGGGACGTCCTCCCAACGTGAAAAGCGCTATATCAAATGCAAGGATTATTATTATTATTTTACAAACGTGTCTTCATGAACTTGGACTCCAGGTAACACCTTTCAGCAGCTATCGCCTCAAACTTCAGAGTTTCCTCATCACTATCGGCAGGCATCTGCCTTCAGCTTGGGGGCAGACCATTACAGGACAGCTTGTGACGTGCCAGCCACCTTGATGTTCTTGAGGAACAAGTGTCCAGGCTGAAATTGGTGTCCACCATGATCCTGAGGCACCATTAAGAATCAACAATTGGGACAAATGTCCCTTGTATCTTCCAATCAATTTGCTCAATGTCTTCTCTTAGGCCATGCAGAACCATGATTCTGCACTTGGGGGCATCTACCACCATGTCCTACTGGTTGGCCCAGTGTTCAAGATGGCGGGTACAGCGAAGAAGATCCCCAGGTGAGTCCGCCAGCAACACAATATCATCCATGAACAGAAGCTGCACAATCCTGTCAGAGAGGTCTGGAACAGATATACCAAGTCCTTCCCCCTTGATGTTGTCCAACACAATGTTGATGAACACATCGAATAGGTTGGGTGACAATGGGCAGCTTTGCCTTAACCCCCTTCTCCAGAGAGATGGGCTCAAGTGTCCACTATCAACCATTACACAATCTTGGAACTGGAGCACACATTCTGGATAATATCCAGGATTTGGCCATGTAGCGCTTGAAGCGCTTTGAGACCTCTCGAAGATATGATAAGGCGCTATCTCAAATGCAAAGCTTATATTGTTATATTATATGCATTCCCACCGCTTCCAGTTTCATTATTAGGGCCTCATGAGGCACTAGGTCAAAAGCCTTACCAATGTCGATGAACACAAGTTAAGTGGATTTCCTCTCAGCTTCACGATGTCGTGCAATCTCATTCACAGCTACAACCTGTCCCACACATTCCTTACAATTAAGGAAGCCAGTCTGCTCCTTGCTGATCAAACCACGAGCCTCCAATGTGTATGATATACATGCAGTGACCACTTTAAAGGCCACTGAAAGCAGCGAGATCCCTCTGTGGTTATCAGTTTCCCCTCCTCTGGATAAAAACCACAATTGCAGTCTGGAACATGCCTCAGAGAGAATCCTGTTGATCAGCACTAGGAGGGCAGTTCCAAGGTGAGTTGAGGGTTCCTAGCTTGGTCATGTAAGATCCTCACCGTTCTCCATCTCCTTCCTCAGAGCAGCTTTCAGGAATTCAGCACTGATGCCGTCCGCACCAGCTGCTTTGCCATTGTCAAGGCACCGCAATGCGGAGTCCACCTCCTTCCAGTGGATTGGGTCATTAAGGCCTTCAATCTGGGCCATGTCTCCCGCCAGCTCTTCCAGCCTTCATCCAGATAGGTCTCTGCTACAGCCTTTGGGTCAGATGCCAACTCCATGTAATGTTTCCTCCAGACCCCAAGGACACCCTCATGGGTCTGTTGTAGACACTGGACTTGTCCAACACTGGTACAGGCCCAGAGGAGCCCCTCCAGCCATGGATGTCAACAGACTTCAGCCAATGGAAGAAAGATTCCGTATCGTACTTGTGCAATTGTGCCTCCTTTCAGAGTGACGCAGCCCATTGATCCCGTTTCATTTCTCTGATGACTTTCCTAGCTTCTTGCCTTGCTTGGTGGTAATTTACCTTTGCTGCAGTTCTAGCTTGCTCCGAGGAAGCTTCCAGAACTGCTTTACAAGCCTCCAGTTTTCACCTAATGGCTCTACTTCCCTTTGTTGTTACCCTGACCGGGTCCCGCTTCCGAGATGGGTGCCTTGCAGGCTGTAGCTTCAGTTTCTTTACAACCTCAGCTACAGAAGAAGAAAGTCCTTGGCCACATCGTCAATTGTCAAGTCCGCGCTGTCAGCCTTCATGCAGAATTGGTCCCAGGCTTCATGTTCGCAATGCCCTTCGCAGACTGGACTAGCAATCACTCATAGCACAAGGCACTGGCGCTGATGGCTCAAACCTAACAATCACCCCGTGTCACAGAGTCAGCACTCCACCCTAGAAGACCAAGATCTGCCCTCTTGACACTGAAGGTGACTGACCAGTGGTCAGAGGTTTACCAGCGACGTCAAACAGCGCAATTGGAGAGGATAGGACGTGCTGATTCACTACCCACCACATGATCGATTGCTGTTCCATTCTGCACTCCACACTGACCCCATGTAATTGGTGAAACTCGGAACTGAAGCAGAGCACCACTGTCGAAGGGTTTTGCACACCCATGCAGAAACACATCACCATGTTTAAAAGTATCAAACTAAACTGGGAGTTCCATGCTTCCCACTTACACATTGAAATCCCATGTCTGGAATGGAATACATACTCTCTTCCCAGAGGGGTGAACACTGTTTACAGACAATATTCAGCGCAGATTGGTAAGAGCCAAGCTTTGGGGATCCCAGAGCATATATTGGGGGACTGCTGGAGTTTAATAATAATAATAAATAATAATCCTTGCATTTGATATAGCGCTTTTCACGTCAGGAGGATGTCCCAAAGCGCTTCACAGAACACACTGTAAAGTGAAATTGACTGTATATTTGTGGGCGAACATGGCAGAACCAGTTAAAACCACACAGTTTGCCATTGAAAACCCAGTGCTGTAATGTATGCACATATTTTTGAGCATGCATGTAAGGATTGGGTGAGAAAAAGATCAGGTTCCACTTCCGTATCAATTTCCGAAGCACAAAATGCCAGCTGATGGGTAGACCTGTCTTCCTTTTAGCTAAATACAAACGATCATCCAAGGGCATCACTTATTGTTTAGAATATTTATTGTGGAGTTTAGAGAAGTGTTTTGCATACTCCAGTGTGGATCAGCTTTTACAATCATGAACATTACTGCAGAGAAGGAGGCCATTTGGCCCCATGAAGTGAGTTCCTCCAACGAAGCCATCCACTCTAATCACAATTCCCTGCTCTTTCCTTGTTCCCTTTTATATCATTTCTCTTCAAACGATTCTCCAATTCCCTTTTAAGTATTCTTGTGCTTTCAACCTCATTGGCAATTTTCAGTCTCAGGAGATATTTGCAGTTGCCTTGAGCAGCACTCAGTAACCATAAGATAATAATAATCCTCTAGCACCTTTCATGTCAGGAGGAGGTCTCAACAACAACATCTTGCATTTATAAAGCGAACTTCATGTGGGCTAGTGTCTCGGAATGCTTAAAAGATCAGGTTCCACTGGTTCCATCAAGTTTCACTCAAAGCATTTTACAGAATTTACTGTAAAACATGGTGACTGTATTTTGTAGGTAAACGTGCCATTTAATCCTCGCAGACCAATGTCCCACAAGTAGTCACAGAGTGACCACCAATTTTATTTGGGGGATTGCTGATCAGGACACCGGGAGAAACTCCCTTCTCTTTTCAAATTCTAACATAATAGCAATCCTTAATAATCCCTTATATAATAGCACCTTATCATGTCTTTGAGACGTCTCAAAGCACTTCACAGAATATACTGTAAAGTGAATTGACTATATTTTTGCAGCAATCGAAACGTGGCAGCCAATTGCGCACAGCAGTGTCCACAAACACTCGTGAATGGAGTGACCAATTTATTATTTTTTTTAAAGCAATTATTACCCAGGGAAATTGATCAACCAATCGACTAACAATTGGGTTCCTACTTACTGCTAAGTAAATAGAGACCTTGCCCGTTTCGGCCTGCCGGGAATTGAACCCAGGGGTCTCACTTGTGAGGCGAGTGCTCTAATCACTGAGTTACAGGACTCCAAATTATGCCTTGGGATCTTTTAATGTCCACTTGAAAGGCAGACAGGACCTCGGTTTAATATCTCATCTGAAGGATGGCACCTCTTGAGTTTCAGCTTAGACAGTTTAATCCTGAAACAGGATTAAACTGACAATGTTCTGATTCAGAGTTGAGATATCATGTTATGTGTCATATGCAAAGGGCATACTGGAAGTACTTTGTTCATTGAACGTAGGTGGAAATCATCTGCATTCATCAGGAAGGTTGTTTATTACTTGATTGCTAATTTTATTAGTAGCTACTGTACCAGCTGTTTTTTTAATAATTAATAGCTTTATACTATATTACTTCCTGGTTGCAGTTGCAGTGTTATTTACCTAGGGTCAAAAGCGCACCTGTGCGTATCTGCTTTTCAAATATATTTGTTCATCATTGATTTGTCCATTTCATTATAATAATAATAATAATAATAATCCTTGCATTTGATATAGCACCTTATCACGTTGTTGAGCTGTCTCAAAGCGCTTGAAATGTTTCTGCAGGACGTCAGAAAGAGTAATAGAAACTTCTAATTATGATTTAATGTGGTTTTCTGACCTTTTTATTAAAGTCAGTGCCATATGATGTTTGAGTTTTCTGTTGAATGGCATAGCTATTGATATCTGTGCACCAGTTGCCCCTTCTAATAGAAGTGTTTTGCTTTAAACTAATGATGGTTCCTATGAATTGTTTGAAGGGATTACACTGTCATCCACCCACCCCGATCCACCAATCCAGAAGTGGTTATAATGGCATTGAAAAATACTCTGCCTTCTTTGAACTATCATGGACTTGTGCTATACTTCCAGAAATGACTTCCTGAATTCCAACTTCGAGAATTCCTGACTGCCCAACCTGCCCCATCCACAAAACTGTAGAAATGCCAAACTTGTAATCACAAGTGACAAAGAAACTTAGATTCTTTATCTACAGCGCACAGAAAGCCTCAACCCACAGAGAGAATATCTGTCATTCTGGTACTATTCCTTTGCACAATTTTTGCTGTCTAGCCCCTTGTTCTCTTTCAGTTTCTTTCTGTCTCTCACCTTTCGTAGGTGTTTGCCTCAACAAATCACAGTTACCACACTTTAAGTAAATCTTCGCGAAGTCTCAAACGGCTTTGCAGAACATACTGTAAAGTGAATTGACTATATTTTGTGGGCAAAATATTTTGTGTATACAGAGGGGAAAGTACCATTATTCTTCAACACATTCTGTTCTGTTCTTCAACAATAAAGTTAATCAAGGAGCATTTTATTGTCTGGACAGAAAATGTGATTAAACCTGGTGGTAAAACAAGTCCACAATAATCAGTTTGGGACTGGAGGCAGCCAACCTCTGGGCAATGGTTCCAACCCTCCGTTTCACATCCCAAACAGGCAATAATGAGTTTCAGTCATTGACAGGCTACGGCTTTTCTTCTTGGATGCTGCAGTGGTGGTTAACCTTCAGTGCAACATTTGCTGCAAATTTTAGGCTGGTATCTGGAAAGGCACTGTTAAATTTGATGGTTTCCAGTGCCTGGAAATTTCATTTCCATGCTCTTAAAACAAAAGCACCAATCTTCCTACCAATTCCACTGAGTACTGTTTGGTCACACAGAGCGTAGTCTAGTCTATCCCTGGAACAATGAGGCAGAGAACATGATGGATGTGGGTGGGGTGGGGAACACACCATGGTGGGAAGCGGAGAATAAAAACAATGAGAAGTATAAGTCTGAATGTAGAGTTCCTGACGGCTGACCCCAGGTGGGCTGCTCACTATTTGCCAAGATTTTGTTATCCCTGCTGAACAACAGCAATGATCCATGATGCCTTTATAAGTCATCTACTATTATTTATTATTATTATTACTATTATTATGTGGTGGAGGGAAATCTTGTGAAACGCTTGAGATATAAGGCTCTACAACAAATGCAAGGATTATAACTTCGGTAGCACCATCGGTTCTGAATCAAAAAGTCGTGGGGTGAACCCATAGTCTAGGTTGACATTCCTATTCAGTGCTGGGGAATGGCTGCACTGTTAAAGGTGCCGTCCTTCGGATAACATGATAAACCGAGACTCCATCTGCCTGCTCAGGTTGATTATAAAGATCACGTGGCACTATTCCAAAAGAGAGGGAGATTCATCTGGTGTCCTGGACAACAATTCCCCAAAATAAATGTGGTCATTCACTTCATGGCTGTTTGTGGGACATTCCTGCATGTAAATTGGCTTGCAGTGTAAATTGGCTACACTCTACAGTATATCTCGTGAAGTGCTTTAGTTTATTTGGGTTGGGGAGAGCAAAAATGTTGCCCCTCTTCAGCAGATCAATGGTGGAAAATAAATATTTAACAAAAAAAACAACCAAGCCACTCTAGGGCCTATAGTTTATAACAAAACAAATTGCCCAATTGAAGAATAAAAAATAATGTTGGGTCCTGGAAATCTGAAAAGGAACAAACCACTTTATTAAAGGGGTGGGCTGCCACCTGGTGGCAATAATGTCCACCAACCATACTTTTGAAACCCGCAAACATTACCCCCAAGTTATGTGCAAGAGCAAATTTTTCAGAAGTCAACACCATCTCCCTTGTTATTTGACTTTGCTGGGCTGCCACAGACTTCTACTGAAAGTCACTAAGATTTTAAGCAATGTCTATACATTGCAAATATTTTCAATGCAACATTCAACTAACGTATGGGATTGTCTCGGCTTCTCTTTGTCACAGGCACTGAACGGGTTTGTGCTGGTGGTGAGTGCGGACGGGATGATATTTTATGTGTCTCCCACAATCATTGACTATCTGGGATTTCATCAGGTAAGGAGCCACTTCTCTAAATGTTCAGCTTCTGTCACTTGTCAGGCCTGCCTCAGCTAAGGGTGCGTTCCTCACTCTCTGGGGTTTTCTGCTCCAGTGGCTAAGTTTTATACTGTACCCTTAGAAATAACTGTAATGCAAAGAAATAACATTATAAATACAAATTTTAATTTATAAAATTGCATGACAATTTCTTAGGCTCCTTCACGTCTCACACTGCAGGCTGCTGAAACCTTCATACATGCTTTCATTACATCGAGGCTCGACTACGCAAACTCACTGCTTGTTGGCCTCTCCAACTCTTCCCTCCACAGACTGCAGATCATCCAGAACTCTGCAGCCCGTGTCCTCTCCAGCACCAGGCTCCACGACCCTATCATCCGCATCCTTGCCCAACTCCACTGGCTTCCCATCACACAAGGATATAGTTCAAGATCCTGGTCCTCACCTTCAAAGCCCTCCACGGTCTTGCTGCCCCCTACCTCTCCAATCTCCTAAGCCCCAACCACCCTGTTCGCTCCCTCTGCTCCGGCCTACTTCACGTCCCCCGCCTTGCTCGCCCCACTATTGGCGGGCGGGCCTTCCGCCACTCTGCGCCCACCCTCTGGAACTCCATCCCACAGTCCGTCCGCCTTGGACCCCTCCCTTGCCTCCTTCAAGACTCATCTCAAGACCCTCCTCTTCGACCGTGCTTTCGACTTACCTGCTTCCTCCCTCCCCCCATCCCAACCCCCAGCGTGGATCCGTAACTCTTTCTGTCCAGCGCCTTGGGATGTCCTCCCGACGTGAAAGGCACTATATAAATGTAATTTTGTTGTTGTTAGACGCTCTGAGAGACAGATTTGCTAGATTTACCAAACTGAATAGAATAGCCCAGTGTATGTCGACATTTGCTTCAGTGAACAGTATAATTTCCTTGAGGTCTGACTGTTGACTTTGCTTTTGGGGGAGGTTGGGCTGTGGCACTGTGGCAAACACTATTATTAATAATAAGAATCCATATACTTGATGTCTGGTGGACATTACAAAGTGCTTCACGTAATGTAAAGTGCAGTGCATGTATTTTGTAGGTGGACATGGCAGCCAATTTGTGCACAGCAATGTACCTCAAAACAGCTATAGGACCAATTTTATCTGGGGGGATTGTTGGACATGACACCAGGAGAAACACCCTTCTCTTTTCGAATAGTGGCAAAGGATCTTTAACTCCTGAAAAGGTAGATGGGGCCTTAGTTTAACGTCTCATCCAAAGGATGACACTTCTAACAATGCAGTCCACTCCTGGAGTGTCAGCTTAGACCTGTGGCCCCTGGGCTGGAAATGGCCCACAGGGCCATCAAGAAGCAGCCTCCCTGAACGTTTGCACAAGTCTAGGTAAGTCTGTGTTCAATCAGTCGTTTCTTTTCAGTTGTTTCTTGATTGAATACTTTACGGCATAAATCAAGACATATTCAATAAAGAACATGTATTTTTCTGGGCACCACTGGCCTACTAAATGAATTCAAAGCCCCACAATCTTCTGATTCTGAGCGTGAGTTTTACGAACTGAAACAAGCGGACACACAAAACATTGTCTAAATATCTGAAGTTATCTGTCTTCTCCTGTGGGCAGCAATGCTGTACCTGTTGGATATGGGAAAACTTCAGCTTCTATATCTCTAGAAGGACATAAAAAAGCGTGGAATCACAATGGGACAAAAAACAGTCAAAAGGTTTGCCTACAACCTATCGTTAATGACAGATTTGGGATGGACTGCTTTTCTTTCCTCTTCCCCCGCCCTCAATCCAATTCTAATAATAAAATTAGATTATTATTATTACACTATTATTATTGTTTATTAGATTACTATCTAATAACCTAATAAAATTTTACCACAAAATATAGTCAATTTTCGGTGAAGTGCTTTGAGACATCTCAACGACGTGACAAGGCGTTTTATCAAATGCAAGAATTATTATCAGTGAAGAAGGGCTCCCACCACACACAGGGATTTCAGGTTCACAAATGCAGCCCTGTTTCTATTGGCGAGGATTGATCCCGAAGGAAGCAGCCTCTTCAATACTTCGTCTCCAGACGTGGTCTTAAAATTTAGATTAACAATTAGGATAAACTCAGGATAAAAGTAAAGGCATTGTCAGGCAAGGAAAAGCACTTCAGGGTCTCTCACTAAGCCGTGATACACAATGGACATTTGATACTTCTGCTGCGATGATGTGGGGAAATATTTTGAATGTTAGTGACCGTGCCAAGGTGTACAAATGTTCCGTTATTCTTTCGCGAGAGTGAGTGTTCAGCTCATTGCGTGCCGCCCCTGTGGAAAATGTGGAGAGGTTAAATATTTCTGAAGGTTTGTCATCCACAGCAGAAAGTGTTGCTGGCGGCTGGAAGGGAAACAGATATTTTTTTTTTGTTGCGTATTTTACTGCAAACTGAAGTCTAATTAATCAGACTAGGGATCAGCAGACTGTGTGTGCATGTGAATTCTGCTGGACAACATAAAGCAGTTCTCAAAGCAGTCTGCACCAAACAGCACTGAACAACAATCCAGGCAATCCTACACAGTACTGAGCTCACGATAAACAGACACACAATAGTCGAATACATAAGTCATACTATCATACTGTGGTATTCAGCAGCTGAGCCAAGTATCAGCTGAGGACATATAACAGTGGATCATTTTCCCATCAATGTACTCTAGATGGAGATAGCCTTTTACCTCTTCCTCTCCTTCCCCTGGAAGTTTGATTTGGGATATCATCTTGGATTCCATGAATCAGGCCTGACATATCGGGACTTCGAACTCGTATACTCTAGGCTGAACCCAGTGCAACATTGAGACATCCTTCTCCCCCAGGCGAAAGGCACTACAGCAATAAATAATAATCCTTGCATTTGGTATATGCCTTTGATATAGCGCTTTATCACATCTTCAAGACGTCTCAAAGCGCTTCATAGAATATACTTTAAAGTGAATTTAATGGATATTTCGTGGTAAAACAAATGCAAGAAATAGTATTATTTATTTACTATTGAGCCCTCAAGGCTAGCCTCAAATAGGACTGGGATTCTGTGGAGATATACAATAAAAAGTCTATTTTGGTTTCTATTGGCCATCACAGTGGAGGCGAGGAGAAGGGAGTCTGACCCCCACAAAGGGGCCAGGATTCTACATCTACAATGCTACCCAATGTAACAGAGCCTATTATGATGGGTTGCCACAGGTTTCACTCTGATCTCTCCCCTTTTCGCTCGCAGACTGATGTGATGCACCAGAGCGTGTTTGACTTCATCCACATAGATGACCGTCAGGAGTTCCAGAGACAGCTTCACTGGGCCATGAATCCACCACACCAGCTCTCTGGGCAGGAGCACCTGACCCAGACGGTTAACAGTGAGTGCTTTCAAATACCCCTCCTACTGATAGCTGGGACATTGCTGAGTGATAAAAGTATGCAATAATGTGCTCAGCAGGTTCACGTCCTCGCGAGGTGAAATGCGCTGTACAAAAGTGATTTGTTGTTGTTGTAATGGAGTTAAAAACATTGGGAAAATACAATTACATGCCCCGATCAAGGCTTGAGTACCAGAGGGGTAAACTTTGGAGACCCTGAATGGCCTTTTCCTTAACTTTTCTGATGCTTTTGTGAAACGCTGTAGTGTGTGATGAACCGTGCTAAGTGTTAAAAAAAATAAGCATGTGTACACCCAGCGGGGGCTCAAACGCGGTAGTTTCAAACAAAATAATAGCTGAATTCAGAAGTACTTTGTGCTGACTCATACAGATTCTCTCAAGTGTGTTGTACTTTGGAATCGGAGTTCCTGTGAGTTACTGTGATGTGTTTTACATCCCCCAGGTTGCTGGAAGATGTCCCAACTCAGATTCATTACATAAGGAATTCCATTTGAAAACATTGGATTTCAGACCACAATATTGCGTTATAGAGCTTTTGTAACAGTAATTACCGTAAAATACTTTGACGCATCAATGTTATATCAATGCGAAGATCATTATATACACAGTGGAGCCCATTATAACGTGATGTTTGGGATCCATTAGGTCTACACTGTGCCTGAACTATTCTTTTAATCATCAGGCAGTTAAGAAAGTCCCTGCAGGGTACAGTTAACACAAAGCTCATTTTAATACTTTCTGAAACGTGTGTGGAATCACACTATCGTGCACTATGTAAATACAGAGATGTGACTTGTAAACCAGTCAGATGTACTCCATGCTTACCAAAAATATAACCATGCAATACAAGTGCATGGAGTGATGCAACATACACAGTGGGTACATTTTACACTATAACGCCAGCCTTTTGGATTAGCGTTAAACTCTTATTTGTGTGTAAGATTAATAACCAGCTTCAATAGCTTCAAAGTGAGCTTCTGATAGAGTGTGGGATCCCACCACCTGAGAAGATCAGGCCCTCAGAGCATCCCTCCTCTCTTCCTGTGTGATAATAATAATAATCCTTGCATTTGATATACTGCCTTATCACCTCTTCAAGACGTCTCAAAGCGCTTCATAGATTATACTGTGAAGTTAATTGACTATATATTTTTTGTGGGAGTGAATGTGGGATGTGTGCATTTGATCACTGTTCCTGGATCTTGTGGTGCTCTCCTTGTAATCCTGAAGCTGTCTTTGATCTATTCCAGATGATGACTATCTGAGCTGTATGAAGGTTCAGGACCCCAGCTCTCTGCCGCCAGAATTTTCTCCTTTCTTGAACCGCTGCTTTATCAGCCGAGTGCGTTGCCTGCTAGACAGCACATCAGGATTCCTGGTACGTAATGCCACTGAAGGAAAGCATTCGCAAATAGGAGACTGTTGTTATCCACTAATGGTTTGAAGTTGTGAATTTAGTAATTTAGTTCCGTCATCCGGTATGTTTTCTTTGATGTGCATTCATATCGAACACCTCTCACTGTAAAGTTCTTGATATGCTACATTGCATCAGTTCCATGTGTCTAGGCTGAGAATTGAATGCAGTTGGGGGGGGTGGGGAAGGAGGGGGGAGTGGGGCTGCATTATCAGAGGTGCTATTCTTTGGGTGAGCCTTTAAAACAAAATCTCATCTGACCGTTCTTTAGGTGGATATTAAAGATCTCATGACACCATTTGAAAACAGAATTTCTACCAATGTCTTAGCCAGCAATCCTCTGAAATTGTTCATCATTCACCCCACAGCCGTGCATGGACCATCGTTGGAGCAAACGGCTGCTGTGTTTGCCTGTAAAAATAATCACTACCTGTGAATTACTTTCTGATGTGGCAAAATGCAAGTTATTTTTTGCTTTTAAGCCCGTTTTAAATCTATCTAGCTAATCTGCTATTAATTCCATGAGTTTCAGACTTCTTGAAACATTGGCCATTCGTTTCATGGCTATGTGTGGGACATTGCTGTGTGCCCAATCACTACACTTTACAGGGAAATCTTCTGATATCCCAAAGACCTTTACAGAATGGGAGGATATCCCAGAGTTTTACAATGGGGTTCCACTGTATATCAAACACGAATTCCACTGTACCAATATATAACAACCTCTGATTTAACACATATGGTGTCTCGCTTGCTTGCTAACATACTCCCAACATTTCCGAAAACACCTAGTCTGTAATACAGTATACCTCCCTCACTGTTCATAAGCAGCTCACAAGGACAACTTTGTAGACACCATTTGCTGTGAATTCACCAAATTAACATATAACAACCACAACAAATTGCATTCATATAGCACCTTTCACATTGGGAGGACATTCCAAAATGATAGTTCGGGGGATTTTACCTGGGTTAAATTCAGGAGGGTTGGGGGCCAAGGGGATGAGGGTGGGGTGGGGGAGATGTCTGAAGGTGCAATGAAAGAGGAAGGTCTTGAGATAGACCTTGAAGGAGGAGAGTGAAGGGGCGAGGCGAAGGGACTCTAGGTTGGCGTTCCAGAGAGTGGGGGCAGATACATAGACTTAAAAAATAAACTTATGGTAAATAATATTGCTACGTTGTGAAAAAATGTCAATGAGCAAATTTCAGGCACAAAGATAACTCAAGCGAACTTCATACAGTATGTACTCCAGTTGTTTCACAATGTGGTTCAAAAAAAAATCTAGGTTGAAAAATATGAACTTGCAAATCTTGCTGAATTTTTGTGCTAAACTTTTCACTTTTATGCTAAGGGAAATATTTCAGTGCACACGATGAGACTGAATGTTAGGTCAGTTCAGCCAGAGTATTTCAGGAGGCTACATGATTATGAGCAGTTCTGGCTGTCTGGTAATATTCTGCATCAGCCGCTTGTTTGCACAAAACTAAATGAAATCTGTTCTTGGCTCTGAATCTGGCAGTACTGAGTCAATCCGCCGTGGGCTAGAACTCTGGCAGTCTCACTCTAAAACCTGGTACTTCACAAAGAGTTTCAAGTCATTTAAACCGATTAGGAAGGTTATTGTTTGAGGTGTATTGTTTGAAGTGCTTTATCATGTCCAAACATCTCAAATCTCTCCACAGACAACTGCTGTCAAGTTAAATGATTGGTTGTGTAGACAAACACTTGTGATATTAATAGGTGTACTCATGACATCCAGATAAACTGGTATCTTTGTTGGTGCACCTTATACATGTTACGAGGTTAGTTTACAAGTCCTCTTCAAAATAAAAGTCTTACAGGCTGTTTTTAAGCAAACGGTGAAGAGTATTTTAAGAGTATTTTATTTTAAGAGTATTTTAAGTATTTTAAGTATTTTAAGAGTATTTTAAGAGAATAATTCATCAAATGGTAAAGAGTGAAACAGCGGGGAAACAGACCATTCAACCCATCAAGCCCGAGCTTCTGTTTCTCTCCACTCTTCTGCTCGCTCCACTGTAACTCAATATTCCTCCTCTTTAAGCATCTATCTAATTCCCTCTTTCGTGGCAGAGAATTCCATATTCTAACTACCTTCTGTGTTTTTTTTTCAACCTCCCCTTTAATTTTTTTGTGGTGATACATCATAAATTTGAACTTTCTCGTCACTGACTCTTAGACAATGGAAATAATCAATAACTGCTTAGCGTGTCCTAACTGTGCATATCTTCCCAAAATTCTCACTAAGTATGGTTTATTATTAAGCGTATTAAGCGAGCCTGAAAATTTCAGAGAAGCCTTGATTGCATTTTGCGACCATGGGAAGCAGTCTCTCCGTGATTAAGACACGGACGCAGAATTCATGGAAGTAGATCAGAAAGGAAGCCTATTTTTATTGCCGTTCCAAAGTGATCCGTACAAAGCGCCGAGGAGTTTCAACCGGGTTTTGGGCACTACCATTATTCAGAAGTTGGGTGAGGGGGAAGTGTAACCAAATCATTTTACCGCCGTGGTCTAAAATAAGGAGCGGAACGTGTTTAGGAACACTGCAGGTTTCACCACAGCGTTTTGAAGAGCGTTTGGCGCTGAAGACGAGTGGAGATAATGCCCCATGAAAAAAAATTACATCCAAAGAAAAATGAAAAACATATCCACATAATTCAGTTTAGCTGTGGTTACATGAGAGAGAGTATATTAAAGGCTGCTCTTTTGTTGGGGCTACATCTAATCATGGACTGAATTGAGGGCTGGCGAGTGATGCTGGAAGAGCGCTGTGGGTGGTTTTTCAGCAGTTTCAGTGAATTGTTTTCTGCCACTTCTCCGGCTCTCACTTCCTTTGTTTCCCAGCTCTTCGGGCTGCCAATTGATTCGCTCCCAGTAAGTGTGGTGCAAAGAGATGTTAATTGAGTCCAGTCAGATTCCAGACATTCCTGTGGCATGACTGATATTATTCCGTGCGATTGCTTGTACTAGATAATGATAAAACGGCAGACAGTTGCTAAAAGTAACCATAGAAAGAGATAGGGAACACATTCATACAATGACATTTTGCAGAATGGCTCAGTAACTGAATTAGGATCTGAATAATAATAGCCTTGCATTTGATAATAGGCTTAATGCATTTCACAGTAATTACTGTTAAGTGTAATGACTATGTATTTGTAGACGAACAGGATGACCAATTTGTACACAGCATCGTTCCAAAAACATCAGGAGATGAATGATCAATTTTGATTAGGGGATTTTTTGGCAAGGACACTGAGAGAAACTCTCTTCTCTTTCCAAATAGTGCCATGGGATCTTTAACATCCACCTGAACAGCAGACAGGTAGATCTCCATCTGGATAAAAACGTACACTATTTTCTTAGCATTTCAAAAGTGCAGCATTTGGCAAACATTCAATTTTAATTTTGAAACCTTAAAAGAACCTACAGAAAACCGGTTTCAAAATTAAGTCTGAATTTAAGAATTTGCCAAATTCCATGTGCTTTGAAATGCCAAGAAGCTAATGTAAGTCTACATCCAAATGAAATTTCCGCTCCTGGGAATCACAGTTCCCTTCAATTGTCTTTTCACCGGTGAAGTGCTTTATCACATCATCAAAACACCTTAAAACACTTTACAGGATATACTATAAAGTGTAGTGACTGTGTATTTGTTGGTGAGTGTGGCAACCAATATGTACCCAGCAAAGTCCCATAAATGCCACAAACAGTCATGAATTGAATGATCAATTTTATCTGGAGAATTATTGGCATGGGACATGGGATAAACTCACTTCTCTAAGAATGCTTGTTACACTTACAAACAGAGTATTTTTCCAAGTACTAAAATGAACGCCCTTTTTTTAAGCCAATATTTAGCCCAGCTAGTTCATTTGTTATTAATTTCATAAGTTTTTGTACCTTCTTGAAGTATCAGAAGTAGAACTCCAGTAAGTGTAATACTTTCCGAAAATACAGGACACAGTGCTCAGCTTATAGCCCTTACCCAGCAATAAAGGATTCAAAGATTTCTGATGGATTTGTGAGGTATGAATGAACTATTGCTTCTAAATCTATGTTGCTTGTTGTTTATATTGTCTGAACTTTTTATCAATGAGCATTCAATTATTTCCCCCACTGTGGATATCAGTGTGGGAAACAATGAATGAGGCCAATTTCCGTCCCCCCTCAACTTTATATGAAAAACCCAGAGGAGCATTAAACCCTGCCTGGTAGATCCATATTGGTTCAGATATCTCAGGTGATGCTAACTCATGAGAACGTGAGAAACAGTGACCCACGTAGTAGTAAATATTTAATTTGGGTGAATAACAACAGCTGCAGATGTCTTGGGGTTTTTTTTCAAAATGAGAGACCATTTGTCGTACTTTATTTGAAGTTTCCTGTCTTTGTCTCCCTCTGTCAGACGATGCAGTTCCAAGGCAAACTGAAGTACGTCCACGGGCAGAACAGGAGGACTCTGTCGGGCACTGCTCTGCCCCCCCAGTTAGGGCTCTTCTGCATCGCAGTTCCTGTGCTGCTCCCTTCCATCACCGAAATGAAACTGAAGAGTGTACTTCTCAGGGCCAACAAACTGGATCTCAGCTCCATGACACTCGATGCAAAGTAAGTGACCCAAAGTCATTTCCAATGCTTGAAACTGATTCTTACTAAATGTGTTAATGTGGCCACGTCCAAGGCATTTCAGTTGGGTTTGGGCTCTGTTCATTATTCAGAATGGGGGAATTTCAAAACAGTCTTTTATGACATTCCTTCAATAAGGAACAGAATGTGTTTACGAACACTGCAGTTTTGACCCCATCTTGTTAGCTTCAGATTTGAATAATTATCTAGAACTTTCAGAAATGTCAGGTATTTTCAGCAGGCACTGATCTTGGCCAATTTGAGAAATATTTGGAATCCATTATCGCCCATCAATGTTGCCCCCAACAGGTCACTGGGATTATTCGTTTGGCTCTCACGGTTACTATTAATAGAATATCATATATTACTGGATTCCTCAGGTTGCAATAAAATACTATCTTGATGACTTTTGTGGTATTTTGTCTAGTTTAGCAAATACAGTAGAACCCTGTTATTATGTTATTTTGTTACAAGGTGGGTTAATTCAATGTCGGTGTCCTGTGGAGCAGCAACCAGCTCCTGCAGACCTTAATAAGGAATCCTGTTAAAAATGAATCCCACAACTGTGAGTCCAATGTTAATACTTCTCGAGGAGGAGGTAGCATTTGTTTTGTGGCCTGGACCACTGACAGGAAAAATGAGGAAGAGATCATTCTCATTCCCTGTCATACCTCTCAAATGTCCCGTAATATCCATGTGTTAAATCTTTCCCGGGGGGTAACCTTTTGGATATTCCTTAATTAAATAAATAAATACGTTAAATAAAATGATAATTTTAGTCGAGGAGAGTGCCTTGGACCTGCAATGCTGGGAAAGAAATATTTTTTAAAAATCGCAGAGCTTAAAATTTACAAAATAATAATCACTTGAAGTGGTGGGTGACAGAACCTCAGAAGGAAGAACACACTTATCTGTTGTGGTGTGCTGATAATTCACACCAGCATTACTTTACGCACGAAGTAAAAGATACCCTTCTCCCACTGCAAAAATGACCCAATAATTCCACCTTTCTATGGCTGATACCTTTAGCATCAATAGAATGCTCAAGTACTCTAACATGCTACCCCACGTAAAGGGCGATTGCCTGTACTAGATAAAATGCTTTATAAATGCAAGTTGTTGTTGCTGTTCTATTTTTTCTGTAAGATTATGCTATGTTGATTCCATTATCCCAGCATTCCCCAAACTGTTATAATAACCAACCTATTGACGCTCCAGGATCCGTGGACAGGTTGGTTACTCCTTGTATACTACATGTACCTGGACATTGGACTCAGGATGGAATTGAGGTGGTTTGCCCAGTAGAAAGAGCTTCCGTGAATTTTGGGACTCTGATATCCGTGGTTCAGAGGTTAATCAGAGGTGTCAGCCAAGTTCATTTGGTAGGATTCTCGCCTCTAAGTCAGATGTTTGTGGGTTCAAGTCCCATGAACTCATGGGACTGGTTGACACCAATACAGTCCTTGGGGTGCGCTACATTGTCAGAGGTACTATCTTTTGGATCCTTCAAACTAGAGTCCCATCTGTATGTTCAGATAGATGTTAAAGATCCCATGGCATTATTTGAAAGCAAAAAGGGTTTCTGCTCTACAATTCCCCAGATAAAATTGTTTATTCACATCATGGCTATCTTTTTGACATTGCTTTACGTAAATTTAATACTAAATAGTATTAGTATGGATTATTGTAGGATTCATTTCTAAAAAGGATTCTCACCTGCAAAATTGTTGCATTGAATGAATCACCAGATCCACCATCGCCATCTAGTGGAAATTGGAGACACTCCATGTAAACACATATTAAACAAACACTATTTTAGGTTGACACAGGAATTAAGAGACCTGAAGCTCAATAGATACTCCTTAGAGGGGAATCCCCAATGATCAGTGAATGACGGCATCACCTGATTCAGCACTAAGGCCACACAGATCAATAAACTACAGGTTCAAATCCCAGTCTATGCTGAATTAACTATCTCAGCTCCAGCAGTAAGTGGGGTATTTCAATTATTGCCTGAATATTAAGGAGGGAAATATCAGCCAGGCTTTCTTTCTTCTCTGGATCGCTCACTAGAAGTCCCTGCTGGTAGGTGTTCATGTTGACCCTGAGTGAGGACAAAGTTGGGCTTGGCTCTGAATGCCCCCACCCACCGGTAGAATAACTGCCAACTCTCACTGTCAGGGCTCACATCTGGTTACTTCAGGAAAAGTATTGGAGGCCAACCTGCACCTGTGAAGCTGTGTCCCAGTAGAATGAAAAATGAGGAGAGAGAGAAGTAAAGAGGAAGTGATTGTTCAGTGAGCTGTGTCTTCAATTCCAGGAGGTGTGTTATTATCTGTGGAAGTTGGCTGAAAATGCCTCTCTCCACCACAGCTTTCACTTTTCTTCTTTTAGCCACAATCCCTTTAAGTCAATAATTCCTCAGTGGTGTTGAGGGTTTGTGATGACCATTTTATCTCTCCACTTCCAAAGAAACGTTAAAATGTACAGCGTAGAAAGAGGGCATTTGACCCGTCAAGTCTGCACCTGCTCTCAGAGCAAGCTGTTTTATTCAATCGCACTGCCCCACCCTATCCCCATATCAGTTCAAGCCTCCATCATCCCTGTCTGCTTTCCCTCTTGAAATCCACAATGGACTCTGACTCTACCCCTTACGTGACAGAGCATTCCATATCCCAACAACTCAAGAATGAGATTGTGGGAAATAAAATGCTGTAAAATCTCAGTTTTGAGAGAAGATGACTCAGATGGAAAAGACCGGGACACTGGACTTATTTAAAAAGCAGGTGATGCTGTAGGGTGGGTGTTCTGGACTGATGTGAACAGGTTTCATCCAGACCAATCTTGTGATCTTGTGAAAAATGCACTTGTAAGCATCGCACCTGAGGTCTGAAATTCCCTCAATTCTTAATCTGTGAGAGAATTATACCCTCAATTTGAGATTGTGCAGAATTCTTGGAAAATTCTCAACTTAAGTCTTATTTGGAAGTGTTTTTTTTCTGCAGTTTGTAACAAACAACTGCTTCCCAATGACTGAATGACTGAATTAGAACATCTCTGCTTAAACCCAGCCAGCCACCAGCACCCAGGAACAAATGCTTCTCGTGAATCATTTACCCAGTGACTCTGTTGAGTGATTTTCTGGAGCACTGACCCTGTTTGTTTTCATATCCAGGGACAAAGCAGCTGCTGGGTTGTCTGAAGATGAGCTGAGGACAAGGTCTGGCTGCCACTACCTCCACTTTGCAGACATGCTGTATTGTGCTGAGAACCACATCAGAAGTGAGTTGCACTCTTTGCATCCCTGTCAATGATGGCGTTTCCTGTAGTTGTGCGTCTGTAGAGAGAGAGAGAGAGAGAGAGAGACACAAATGAGCTGAATTTTTATTTCTCCGTACGTGCTTCTTCTGTCCTATTGTCCTGAAGTCATGATTCATGCTAGGCATAGTTCTGTGGTGGCTGGGCGCTCCATGGTACCTCACATAACTCGTCATTCTCTGTGTGTGAGACCAGATAGAGCATTACCACCAGGCTCAATGTCCTCCCATGCACTTAACAACAGGGATCACTGAATAGTCATAAAATATAGAATCCCTGCCTTTCCCTGGCCCAGCAGTATTGTGTTCATGCTTAGCTAGTTTTTCAGTCTACGTTCCCTTAGGTCTCTGCACCAGTCCCAGAGATACATACATAGATTCCTAGACCTAGATGATTGAAGAAAAGTTCAAAGGTCTATCAAGTTCACTCCTGGAGAATTCTTCCTCCCAATCTAACCACCTCACAATATACACCTGCACATCTTGCCTGTTGCTACCACTTTCTCCCCCCTGGATAGCTGACACTCCCTGGCCAGATGGCTGAAACGGGAAGGTTGTCGCTTAAATAATTAAGGATGCAAGCCACGATGCTAGACCCCAGTATTAGCCCAGGAGAGACTGAAAAAGCAAACCCAGAACTAGACTTTAGGAGGCACCAAGACAATAGAACAAGATGCCATAGGTTTAGAATTGCAAAGGGCAACTCCAGGACAGACATCAGGAAGATTTTCTCTCTTCAGGTGGTAATTATCAACAGGTCGACAGGAAGGGTGGTTGAGGCCAGAACACTAGACTCATTTAAAATCAGCTTGATGAGGTGATGGGGGAATGGCAGGGTGGGTATTCTGCATGGATGAGATCAGATGGGCAGAAAGGGCCTTCTTCATCCAGACCAATCTTGTTTACAATATGCTTCTGGGGGAGGAAGGGGGTAGTTACTGTTTGGAGGAGGAGGCAGTAACAGGACTGTAGAGATAAGGGAGAAAAACATTTTTCTGTAATGAGGTATCAATGTAGGGGAGTCAAAGTCTGATATCAAAAATAGCAAGCTCCTGCCATACTTTGCAAGCACTAGACTATATTCATGTGAATATATCCTCACTCTTTGCTGATCAACAAAATAGCCCATTCGCCCATTTTTCATGTTAAAACTAATGGATACAGTAGTAGACCATTACTGGACTCTTCTCAATAAAGGAGCAATGTACACAAGGGAACACAAAAGTGGGCCTGATTCAAGCATTGAGAAGTCGCTTTCATATCTCCTTAGTGGTGAAGAGTGGAGAGAATGGGCTTACAGTCTTCCGAGTGCTCACAAAGGACGGCCAGTGGGTTTGGCTTCAAGCGAATGGCCGTCTGCTCTGTAGAAACGAGTGGCCGGACTACACCCCTGTGCTACCAGAAGACCTCAAGTAAGTTCCCTTTTTAATTATCAAGAAGTTGAAAGGGTTTCTCTTTCGGGAAATGTGTGATAGTTCATCCATATTTCAGCACAAAAGGAGTTTGAACAGTTCCTGACCATTCATCAGAGGGTGAATGTGCAAATGGACAGTGTGTGGTTCATAATACCTGCACTGTTCTGAGGACGAGGCTCCTCTTGTTGATGCAAAATACTACAGTTTTAGAAATGGTGGATGACGGTGAGCACTTGGGCTACTTAAACTCAGTGGCTTTGCCAATTTTATAAACGCGTTTTCAACTTGTAGCTAAAGTCTTATAATAATAATAATCCTTGCATTTGATATAGCGCCATATCACATCTTCAAGACGTCTCAAAGCAATTCACAGTATATACTGTAAAGTGTAGTGACTGTATATTTTGTGGGCGAAACCCGTCAGCCAATTGCACACAAAAGTGTCCCACAAACAGTCATGGATTGAGTGACCAAATTATTATTATTTTGGAGGGATTATTACCTCCGGAAAAGCAATCTGTCAATTAACTAACAACCAGATACATTAATTGATGGAGAACAGCAGTATGGATTCATAGGAGGCCTGAGAAATAGTGCTCGCCATCTAAATACTTTTTTTTATCATTAACAATAATAATCCTTCCATTTGAAGCAGTGCTTTTCATGTTGGGATGATGTCCTATAGCTTAGTGATTAGAGCACTCACCTTGCAAGCGAGAGGACCTGTGTTCGATTCCCATGTTGGGCTGGTTTCCTTGTTGGGCAAGTTTCCTTACTTCAAATGCCTCTGTTTACATAGCAGTAAGTAGGAACCCAGTTGTTAGTCGATTGGCGGATTGCACTTCCAGGGGTAATAATCCCTTCAAAACATTTTTTTACAAAAAATTATTATTTGGTCACTCAGTCCATGATTGTTTGTGGGACACTGCTCTGCGCAATTGGTCCTGCCAGCATCACCCACAAAATATACAGTCACTACACTTTAGAGTATATTCTGTGAAGTGCTTTGAGACATCCCGAAGACATGATAAGGCACTACATCAAATGTAAGTATTATTATTATTATTACGTCTCAAAATGCTTCACAGGATTTATTGTAAAGTGAAGTTAGTGACTGTGTATTTGTAGGTGAATGTGGCAGCCGGTTTGCACACAGCAGTATCCCACACTCAGCTATGAAGTGAGTGACCAATTTTATTTGGAGGGTTTTTGGCCAGGACACTGGGAGAAATTCTCTTCTCGCTTTGAGTAGTGCCATGGGATCTTTAACATCCACTTGACCTGGTTTAACATCTCATCTGCAAGATGGCATCTCCGACAACTTAGAGATTACTTCCCTACTCTGGTTTGTGAAAATACAAAGCAGCTCACCAGTGTACACATAATCTCTCTGTTTCTCTCAGTGGCTCTGCTCCATTATTATTTATGATTAGTGCTGGATTTTGGCCCTTTTTATGTCTTTGCAATTTTCCTCTCCCCCCCCCCCCCCCACGCATCCCCGCCCCAACAGACACATCTAATCCCTATTTATAGCAATGATGTCCTCCACTGCTGCTTAGAAGTGCATTCCTCTGGTTAGTTCCGAGGCGAGTAACCTAAGACTCGTTGGAAATTTCAGGCCTTCGATGTTCTTTTTGGTGAATGAATGGTTAACACAGGCTGGTTAAGTGAGAGGAGTGCGTGCGAAGCAGAGAAGTAACACCACAAACCCATTCTGCTCCCTGCAGTGCTGCGTGTCTCTCAGAGGATTGCAGCACGGCTTCCACTGCAAACCATCAAGAAGAAAATTGTGTTAATCTGTTCAATGAAGATGTTCCATTAAGGAACTCCTCTGTGGTTTAAACTCTTTTTTTCTCTCTTTGCACTTACATTTTTCCATTTGCTAGTCTTTGGTAAGTGAAACTTGCAGCTGATACTATGGTCGGAGAGAAATTAAGAGGTGCCTGTTATACAACAATAACAACAACTTGGATTTATATAGTGCCCTCCACGCCGGAGGGCGTCCCAGAGCGCTTTACAGTAACGGATCCGGGGGCCGAGCCAGGGGAATGGGGAGGAAGGTGATCAAAGGTGCCTTCGAAAAGAAAGGTCTTCAGCAGAGACCTGAAAATGGGAAGGGAGGGAGCGAGACAAAGGGAGTGAGGAAGGCAGTTACAGAACCTCAGGGCATAGTGGCTGAAGGCACGGCCACCAAGGGTGGAGCGGAGGACTCGGGGGACGAGGAGGAGGCCAGACCTGGAGGAACGAAGGCAATGGGTACTGTTTTGAGGAGAGAGGAGGTCAGAGAGGTAGTGGGGTGCAGAGAAGTGCAGGGACTTGAATACAAGGGTGAGGATTTTGAAATTGATCCTCTCTGGGACAAGCAGCCAGTACAGTCTGGCAAGGACTGGGGTGATCGGTGAGCGGAGTTTTGTGCGGATAAGATTGCGGGCGGCAGAGTTTTGAATGATTTGGATTTTATGGATGGTAGTGGATGGGAGACTGGCGAGGAGGGCATTAGAGTAGTCCAGCCGAGAGGTGATAAAGGCATGGACCAGGGTTTCAGCGGCTTTTGGGGAGAGGTATTGGCGGAGACGGGCAATGCGTCAGAGGTGGAAGAAGGCGGTGCTGGTGAGGGACCGGATGTGGGGGAGGAAGGATAATTGGGGGTCGAACCTGACGCCTAGATTGCGTAGGTATAAAAGTGTAGTTATAAAAGTGGGTAGGAGGTTTCAGGGAAGATTGCTTTGTGCTCTGGTCACTTCCTTTTCCCCCTGAGATGGCGATGTGAGTCCATATTAGTGTTGGCTGTTGGAGGCAATCCACAGGCATGGAGATGCATGCAGTATGCCAGTAACTCTGTTTGCTGCACTGATAGTATTTCCATTGATTTTTGCAAATGGCTTAAATGCATCAAACCATCATTCTGTGTGAGGAGAGATGGGAGGGGAAGAATATGACCTATTGGACCAGAAGTCCTAGTAGTAAATAGGAACCTGGTTGTTAGTCGATTGGCGGATCCCTTTTCAGGGAGTAATAGCCACCTTCTGAGGACAATAAATGCTGGTTCTGCCAGTGTCACCCACATCTTTAGCTCCTCTCAGTCACACTCTTGACACACATGGTAAAGGGTTCCCTCACTGCGTTAAATAATTGCATTAGCGCCCACATGGTCTGTTGAAGGGTACGAGGGATGGAGGATACTTTGGGACTAGCCAGGTGAATGGCAGTGTTCTTTTCTGCTCCACGCAATAAACATACACTCACGTTAGTATCTGATACATGCCAAAACCCATCACCATGATTAAGAGTATCTAACCAGACATAATTAGTCCAGCTCTACGAGTTAGGGCTCTATCGTGCACGGTTAACAGGAGCTGAGTGAGAAGTATCCCTGCCCCCCAGTGTCTGTCTCGCCCCTCATGCTCATGAGCCAGGCTGGTTGTGCTGTCATCAGCAGTGCCCAGGAGTACTGCAGACTTGCCTGGTTCAGGAACTGGGTTACCTGAGACCATCACAGAGGGCTGGCTCGATTCCAACATTCCTTCACCAAGGACGTCAGCTTAGAACCAGTTCAGCTACAAGGAGACGCCGCTTACCTTCCCCCTCCACCCCGGAGGACAGTAATAAATCCAATGATAAGTTCACTAGCTGGGATTGCTCTCAACCTGAAGTGCTATTGTGACTTATTCTCCACCTTTTTATCGAGGACTTGTGTACATTATATTGTTTTTCATTGATCCTATTTTCACAGACAGATAGAGGAAACTGAAGAAAGAGAGAATACGAGAAAAGTGTTCAGGGAAGATCGATTAACCGGCACCGGTGTTGGTCTGCCATACAGTGACTGCAGTGAAACATCCCTACCACTAAAACATCTGTTCAGTCAGCAGCTGGCAAAAGCCACGAACGAAGGGAGGGAAGCAAAGTGCACACCTATTCAAGGTGAAAGTGCTGCCGGTCAAGAGGAGCCGCTCAATTTCTGCACCTCATTTTCCAGGGCTCACAAAGCTTCTATCACGCACAACTTGTGGGTATCGGAACACTCCAGGGACTCGTCAAACTCACAGCCCTTGAGAGCCATGCAGAGGCTCAGTAACGTTCCCATCAGGATGCCAAGGACTTTGGGTAACAGGGGAAGGCCGCTCTGTGAGCCTCAGCACAGGGGGAACAGCCAGGCCTCCAATATCCCCAACCAGCCTCAGGGCTTTGGCAGCATTGGGGAGGAGGTGGAGTCTTATGGTGCCCTGCACCATATTGATTTGGAGAGCTACCCCGGGCAGAGCTGCAAGTCGGAGGGCACACTGGTGCCCTCTGAGCACAGCCATCAAAGAGGCAGAGAGACGCCCACAACCTATTGCAATCCCCAGATGTTCCCCGGGGTGCACATCAAAAGCGAGTATGATGCTGAGCCAGAGAACAGGCCAGACCTAACCATCGGAACGCCGGACCGTTTGTGGGCTGACGGTAGAGAAATGGGGAAGAACACAATGGCGAGCTACACCTATCAGCCACCTTTCAAGGTTAATCCCAACGTTTTGGAACAGGTGCCACCCTCTAAGAAACTGAAGGGCGTCTTCCACCAACAGTACTGTAGGGTGGGCCCGGCAAAGGATCCCAACACCTGGACCACAAGCAGCATTTGTAGCCTCAATAGCCCTTTGAAACCCAATAAAGACTTGACACACCTTGGTTCCCAGACACACTTTGGTTCCCAGACAGCTGCTCATTCACATTGCATTCACAGCAACCAGCACGTTGACTGTCAAGAAGGGCAGACTTATCTCCACCACACTTTGGAAGACAAAGGTCTGAGCCAGGAGTCATGTAGGCTACCAAGGCAGTTCAACAGACATGATCTAGTCCACACAGTCATCAAACGGGAGCCCGCAGCCTCTCCCCCTTGGTGCCCTGAGGATCCCCACAACATACAGACGGCATTCCAGAGAAATATGCCCAACTGTTTGCTGAATTCATTGACTCACAAAATCACCCAGAATGCTTATTTGTAATTCAGCTTTTTTTAAGAAATAGCAAAAGAGCATTCTTTATCCAAAGCTACTTACCAATGAGACTGTTTCTTCAGAAGTATTCTTGTGTTGTCTTTGTCACAGACCCTGATGTATTGCTCATCATAGCATCATTTAGATGGATTGTTTTTTACTCAAAAAAAATTTAAATTTGCTTTCTGATTTTTTTTGCATATTAGTGAATATTAATCATTGAAGCCCGGGGAGAGAGTGGCGAGAAAGGCATTTCATTGAAATGGTTGAAAAGGACTGACTTTCAATTGGGGCAGATCAGTTTCCCATCTGAAATATGTACAGTTAGAACTGAAGCCAGTTTATGCCAAGTCCAGGGTTGTCTGGCGCAAAGGGAGATTTACTACCTCTTTTTTATGTTTCTTTCCTTCAGATTTTCTTTCCTCAAGAAGCAAACTCACATTGGGGTAGACTCCTACCCCTGATTCTTTAGTGGCCATTCTTTGACTATGATCCTGGGCAGTGAGTCACACACATCCACACACATGCATTTTACATCAAGGGAGGCTTCATACGAATATCAGGAATGGGAGGTCCTCAATGGACCATCTCATCCTTCTCTAGCCTAGGAAAGCTTATACCAATTGTAGAAGCCCTATTTTTGCATTGATGGAGAGAATCAAGATTCCATCCCCTTTGGATGGATCTGTCACTAATGTCAACCAAAGGTGTATAATGCTCAATGGAATAGTTCCTGAGAGATGACGATGAACTTGAGACTTTCCTGGTCTTTATCATAAGTATTGTAAGTTACCATAAGTAACATAACACATTTGGCCACTGCCTTATGTACCATTCTTTATATTCTTACAGTTGTTCTTATGCCTTTTCTCTTTGTTCCTAAGTGATGCCCCTGTTGATCTGCATGACTGAGAGATAGCAACTTACAGGTGTGTGTCCTGCCTTCTGTTAGCTTCCAGTATCCCACTGGTGTTCCACACCCCTGCTACCTTGTGCGGCTTAGAGTTTTTCAGTACAGCAGACTCCCTTCCCCCCACTTCACCCCACTTCATCCCATCCGGAGGTGGTCCTTCAGCCCAAATAGCAGCTATTTTCCACAAGTGGAAAGAATAAGACGAAGTATCTTCACACCAAATAAAAGAGGTCGGGGGTCAGTGTGTATAGTGCCCCGCTGTTGATACAATACTTGTGCATACTCCCCCATTTACTACTTGCCGACCTAATCATCCACACAGGGGTACACAGTTGACGCATGGTGATGTTGACACTGAAAATTTTTATTTTTGATACAATCACTGGGATGATAATTCTAATTCACTCCAAAATTCCACCTCTTCTCATGAAGGGTTGGCTCATGCGAAGGTAAACTTCCGCAGTAGCTAGCCATCTCTTGGTACCTTAGCCAAGTGATCATTCCTCATGTATCAGCTTTGAGAATGAGTGCTACCTGGTTATTTAATCATTGTGCCTTCGTAGCCAAGTTTGGTTCTGTCCTCACCTGATGTCTCCGCATGTCCACTTTTCAGCGGGGATTTGGACGGCCATCAGGGGCAGGATTCAGACTGGTTATTCACTCCTTAGAGCAAAGACACCAGTGCTTAGTATAACTCCTCACTGTTGTCCCAATTGAGATGAACTCTTCAGCAAAGACCAAGCTATGAAACCTCTGTAAGGCAGTTTCACACAAGGCAGTGGCTTTGCCAACTGAGGTTGAGAGGAGCTGATTAACACAACTCATTCTTCCCAGCTTCCCAAGACTTCCTCCGTCTTCCATTCCTTATATAATCCATAGATACCTAAACCCCAAAGCTTTGTATCACCTGAACACTACTTATTATAATAATAATAATAATAATAATAAGAAGAAGATTTGTCAGCTAGTGTTTCTAAACTTAGTGGCATTCTATACAATTGGTCTGGGGCACTTCACTTAGGTTTCTTAATGAAAGTAAATGTAGAAGCATTTGAGCAGGATGACATTTTACCGACTGCTAGCATTTTATTCAAGTTGAGGATCATTGACTGGATATGAAAACAGTAAACATATGAAGAAAGCCATATACTGTACTTGTACATGTTTATCTAGTTTCAACATATATTATGACATCCTTATTCCTGGTCAACATTATTGCTCATATCTGCTTTGTTTTTTTAAATATTTGTGGGAATTTGGGTGCTTTTTCAGGTGCAGGGAACATTCTGTTTTTTGCGCCCAGTGTCAGCATTGAACACTCCTAGGCTAAGAAGAGCAAAGCCACATGCACAGAACACAAGGACATAAGAATTTGCTTGTCGAAAGAAGACTAAGGTCCACCATACTGGCAGTCGTGTGCACTAGTCATGTCCCAAACTATATATTGTATCCCGTGCTATTATTTTCGAACAGAATAACAGTGCAGCAACTCTACTCAGCTTCCAATAAGGTTCAATATGCCTTAACCCCAACTGCACCAGTATAACATTTTTCAATGTTTAGACTACCTGTCCCTGACCTCTCAGCATGAGACTGCCAAACCTCAGGGCAGTTTTGTATCTACTTTGCATTTTTATACTTGTTTATTCTAATTTTGTAAACCCTTGAGGACTACAACAGACTTTCTGCACAAACTGCAGATGAATGCAGGGTCAGAAATGCCAACTGCTACAAATTTCTAAACGTATTGTATGATATTCAGCATTGTGTGTTTACAGAATTGTCACTCTTTTAGAGATTATGCAATGCCAGTTAAGTGCTTTTGAAAAGCTTGAAAGGACAGATATTGCTCAAAAGGAGTTAAGACATTTTAATTTCGTCAACAGATAACCCTAGCACATCATTCATCCAATATGGGTCACCCACTTCTGATGACGAGATGTTAGAGATATTCTGAGAAGTATAGCTCTTTTTTTCAGATCCTAATCATTACCCATTAATTACATATTGCGCTGATAATTGACTGGGGTTTTACCCAGTTTGAAAGCGCTGCAAGAGATTTTTCTTTGTTAGGGTGGATTTCTCAGGAAAAGCATAGAGACCAGTCCTTTTCTTTTCATACAAAGAATTTACTTCAGAATCTTTTCCTGGACATCCTCCATGTCCCACTGGTGAGTGCATTAAAATCTTAGTCGGGAAATTTGCAGCATTTCATCAAATATACTCTGTGATAATTATCATATTTTTTCCTATAAAACACACCATAACTAGACTTCACAGTAAAGCCTCATGAAGCGCTTTGAGAATTTAGGGCAATGTAATAATTTGCTATATCAAATGGAATATTTTTTAATATAATTCTCACAAGGAATCCATAATGAAATGTTTAAAATTTCATCCGAATATTTCACCTTTTTATCTGCAAATGGCTGGCTTGGTTTCACCCCCTACATTGTATCAGATTTTGGATTCCTGACCAAGAACATCAGAACATTAAAGAAACTAATTTTTTAAAAAAAACAATAAAATATTCGTACATATTTTATCACAACCTCTTGTGCTTTCTCCTGATTATCTATGGCATGAAACCAGCACACACACAAATATCTTTACAGCAGCAACTGCAGTGACTTCAAAATACTGCTATCACCTTGAAAAGTATGGGGAAAAATTCTGTGCACATTTGCACTGTGTGTTATATCATACACACTGATAGAATAAAGCATAACTTCACAATTCATAGAATCTGAGACAGCGCAGAAGGAGGCCATTTGGCTAATTGATTCTGAACTGGCTCTCAAGACAAGGTGTTCATTCAATCTCACTGCCATGCCTATTCCCATACACCCTCAAGCCTTTATCTTTCACAAACTGTCTACTTCCATCTTGAAACCACCCATTTCACCTACAATCATTACATACTTTATCGGAAACTGGGTGAAGTGCTTGGAGATATTTCAATGAGATAAAGCAATATATCAAGTGGAAGTGTTATATTACAGTATTATAACTGTATCTCAAAGTGAGTTTATGTGGCCAAAGAAACTCCAATATAGGAACTATTGATCTGTAGTATATCCCAATGTTGCATTTTACAGTGAGATGAACCTAACATGATGAACTAGTTTATAAGGTCATTACCAATCAGGGGTTTAATGCTCAATCTACTGCAAATCCCAAAGATGAGTTTAGTAGATCAGGCATGGCTCTAGTGTAATAATAATCTGCATCGTAACAGAATGAACTTGCATTAATTTGGGATACACCAGTCTTTCCCCAACCCTCCAGGAGATGGATCTGATGTTCACTCCATTCAATTGATGGCATTTGCATTGCTTGCATAGAGATTGGTACCTGCTGTCCTCCGAGTGAGCGCTCTAACCCGTGCTTGTCAGATGTTAATCATTCATCCAATATGGGTCACCCACTTCTGATGACGAGATGTTAGAGATATTTTGAGAAGTGAAGCTCTTTTCTTTGTCAGATCCTAATCATTCTCCATTAATTACATATTGCGCTGATAATTGACTGGGGTTTTACCCAGTTTGAAATCGCTGAAAGAGATTTTTTTTGATAGGGTGGATTTCTCAGGAAAAGCATAGAGACCAGCCCCACCCCCTGGAACTCCATCTCGCAGTCCATCCACCTCACACCCTCCCTTGCCTGCTTCAAGACCCATCTCAAGAGCCTCCTCTATGACCGTGCTTTTGATCACCCTGCTTCCCCCCCTGCCCTCCACGCTCCCTGACCACGACCCCCAGCTCGGGTCTAAAACTCTGTCTGTCCAGCGCCTTGGGACGTCCTCCAGACGTGAAAGGCGCTTTACAAATGCAATTTTGTTATTGTTGTTAAGTGAAGTAAGGTTTAAAAAAGCAGCTGTTTCTTATATGAAGATCTTTGAGACATCTAGAAGACGTGAAAAGCGCTATATCAAATGCAAGAATTATTATTATTATATAAGACCCATATGTTAAAATGGAATTCAATAATTAAGTGTAAAATCTGAATGCAGCCATTTTCTCCAGTGTAACATAAGAGTCTTACAAGTAGGTGGAGAGAAGAGAATACTAACCTGCTCTCCGAGATGCTACCCCATGTAAAGAATGCAAGTTGTTGCTAAACATGGCCAGAATATCCAAAAGAATAATAAATCAGAAGAAATGAATCACCCGCATAATGAACAAGGACTCAAATAACAGATGGTTTCATTATTCATGAATGTAAAGGTAAAATGTGAAGTTCATGGCGAAAAAAAATCAGATGGGTCTAAGGATAAAATGCAAATATTTCCGTGTTGAGAGCTGGTGTGTTTCAAATATTCCAATAGACAAAAAGCAGGTGTGAGGTGTGTGAAGAGTCTGCCAGCAATAATGGATGAATTAAACTTTAACCTACAATTCTGCTGAGTGGTGAGGCGCTGCACGCAATGTCTGCTCATAGTCTGATTCACTGTGCCAGGTTAAAAAAAACAAACTTTTTCCCTAGCCTGCAAATCTGGTATAATTCGAAAATTAAGTCTGGTTCCCATCGAACATGTAGAGAACTCAGAATCCACGTAACTTAATATGTTGTGGCATAAAACCAGTCTTAGAGAGACTTGGCAGTGAATTTTCATTTGTTGTGGCTAGTATATCTTACTCAGATATTTAGGATGTCACATTACAGCAGGCATTATGGATTACTGTTTTCAGCCAATAATAATCACTATCAATCTTTGAGCAAGTTTCCAAGGACCAATGTTAGCGTTTAGAAGACCACAGACAATGCTTTTGGTCACATTACAGCAGATTTGTTTAATCCTTCTCACTAATTCAACTTGTAAATTAACATTTGTGGATTAACATATGTGGAGTCCATGCAAGCGAGAAGACCCAGTTACGATTCCGAGGCAGGGCGAAACCATAGGATAATTTCTTACTCCACACGCCTATGTTAACCTAGCAGTAACAACAACAAGAATACATTTATATAGCGCCTTTCACGTTGGGAGGATGTCCCAAGGCGCTGGACAGAGTGCAGCATTTCAGACCCGAGCTGGGGTTGGGGAGGTAAGGGAGGGGAGGGGAAGGGGGGTGGCCGATGGCCTGGTCAAAGAGGAGTGGGACTTGAAGGAGTCTACGGAGGTGGCGAGGCGGAGTGACTGGGGGGTAGAATTCCAGAGGTTGGGGGCAGAGTGGCTGAAGGCTCTCCCGCCAATGCTGAGGCGGGTGGGTCGGAGGACGTGGAGCAGGCCAGAGCCGGCTGAGCGGAGGGAACGGGTGGGTTGGTAGGGGGTTAGGAGGTCGCAGAGGTAGGGTGGGGCGAGTCCATGGAGGGCTTTGTATGTGAGGACCAGGATCTTGAACTGGATCCTCTGAAGGATAAGGAGCCAATGGAGTCGGGCGAGAATGGGGGAGATGGGGTCATGGAGTTTGGTGCGGGAGAGGACACGGGCTGCATAGTTCTGGATTATCTGCAGCCTGTGGACGGAGGAGTTGGGAAGGCAACAAGCAGGGAGTTTGCATAGTCGAGGCTGGAGGTGATGAAGGCATGAACAAGAGTTTCAGTGGCCTGAGGGGTGAGGTAGTGGCAGAGTCGGGCGATGTTACGGAGGTGAGAGAAGGCAGAGCGGGTCATGGCTTGAATGTGGGGGAGAAAAGACAGTTGAGGGTCGAACAAGACACCCAGGCTCCTGACCGGCTTGGTGAGTTGTAGTGAGCAACCATGGAGGTTGATGTTGCCAGAGCCTGAGGTGCAGAGGCGCTGGCATGAGCCAATCAGGAGGGCCTCAGTCTGGTTCACATTCAACTGTAGGAAATTTCCCCTCATCCAGGACTTAATGTCTGACAGACAGTCTGTCAGGACAGCAGTGGTCTTGGAGTTGAGGGTGGAGGCAGAAAGATAGAGTAAGTAGGAATCCAGTTGTTAGTCTATTGGCAGATCACTTTCCGGGGATAATAATTCCTCCAAAAAAATTTGCTCAATCAATCCACAACAATTTGTTGGACATTGCTGTGCACAATTGACTACCGTGTTTCGCCAAGAAAATATACAATCAATTCACTCTTATATTCTGTGAACGGCTTTGAGACATCTGAACCGTGTGATAAGTCACTATATCAAATGCAAGGACTATTATTATTATTTTTGAAAAGCTGCCCTTGAACATGTTGTTGCTCCCATCATGTTGTTGCCCCCATCACGTCGTACACCGCTCCTATTCCCACAAAACCCCCTCAAATATCAGCCATCTCCACTCCCTCAAGGCACAGCTGAATGCCGCAGGCAATAATACAATTCTAACAGTTCACCGCTATCATCCTTCTACTCCAGGACTGTCCTGAAAACAAGGATAACCCTAGGCTCCTCTACTCCACCACAAACCAGCTCCTCCACCCACCTTCCCATCCCATCATTCTCGCCTCCAACTCCAAATGTAAGGAGATGATGAAATTCCTCAAGTCCAAATTCGAAGGGATCAAAGCGCTGCACAGGGTAGAGCGGAGTGCCTGTCGGTTTCTGTAGATGAAATGCAAAAAGTCCAATATTTCTCAATGGGTTTAAATTCAGCAGCCAAGCTCAGTTGGTAGCACATTCACCTCTGAGTCAGAAGGTTGCAGGTCCAAGCCCCAGGTCGGGATTTGGAAGCACAGTTTAAGCTGACTTTCCAATACAGTGCTGGGGGAGGGGGGGCGGGGGGGCGGGGGGGGGGGCGCGTTGCATTGTTAAGAGGTGCCATCCTTCGGATGAGTCGTTGAACCGAGGTCCCGTCTGCCTGTTCGGGTGGTTGTTCATGATCCCGTGGCGCTGTTCAAAAAGGGAAGGGAGTTTCTCCCCAAGTCCTGACCAACAAAGCCCCCAAATAAAATTGGTTGCCCACTCCATGGCTGCTTGTGGGGCATTGGCGTGCGCAATTGGCTGCTGCGTTTGCCCACAAATTACGCAGTCAATACCACTTTACAGTGTAACCTGTGAAGCGCTTTGAGATGTTGTGACTGTATCAAAATGCAAGGATCCTCCCCTGTGAGGAACAAGACACGCGCATGCGCACAGTCACGGGCCAACCCGAAGGAGCCTGAGAACCACAGCTCCCGGCACCCACCGCGCCGGAGGACTGCAGCTCCCGGCATGCGCCGCGGCTTCCGGATGAGGTGACGGTTGATCCGCGAGCTTCGTCGGTTGACGGTTGAGGCTCCGGAGCCGCTCGTAAGGTAACAGCACTCCTCCACCTCCCAATCCCTCCCTCCACCTCCCAATCCCTCCCTCCCTCCACCTCCCAATCCCTCCCTCCCTCCACCTCCCCTCCCAATCCCTTCCTCCACCTCCCATTCCCTCCCTCCCTCCACCTCCCAATCCCTCCCTCCCTCCACCTCCCCTCCCAATCCCACCCTCCCTCCACCTCCCCTCCCATTCCCTCCCTCCCTCCACCTCCCAATCCCTCCCTCCCTCCGCCTCCACCTCCCAATCCCTCCCTCCGCCTCCCCTCCCATTCCCTCCCTCCCTCCACCTCCCAATCCCTCCCTCCCTCCGCCTCCACCTCCCAATCCCTCCCTCCGCCTCCCCTCCCAATCCCTCCCTCCGCCTCCCCTCCCAATCCCTCCCTCCGCCTCCCCTCCCAATCCCTCCCTCCACCTCCCCTCCCAATCCCTCCCTCCCTCCACCTCCCAATCCCTCCCTCCCTCCACCTCCCCTCCCATTCCCTCCCTCCCTCCACCTCCCAATCCCTCCCTCCCTCCCTCCCTCCACCTCCCCTCCCAATCCCACCCTCCCTCCACCTCCCCTCCCAATCCCTCCCTCCGCCTCCCCTCCCATTCCCTCCCTCCGCCTCCCCTCCCAATCCCTCCCTCCACTCCCCTCCCAATCCCTCCCTCCCTCCACCTCCCTCCCAATCCCACCCTCCCTCCACCTCCCAATCCCTCCCTCCACCTCCCCTCCACCTCCCCTCCCAATCCCACCCTCCCTCCACCTCCCAATCCCTCCCTCCCTCCCTCCCTCCACCTCCCCTCCCAATCCCTCCCTCCCTCCACCTCCCAATCCCTCCCTCCACCTCCCCTCCCAATCCCTCCCTCCACCTCCCCTCCCAATCCCTCCCTCCGCCTCCCCTCCCAATCCCTCCCTCCCTCCACCCCGACCCCCGACACTGGCAGTGAGTGACCCGAGCCCGGCAGTGAGTGACTGGAAACCGAATTACCAGCAATGAGCCTGGCACTGAGTGACCACAGCCTGGCACCGAGTGACCACAGCCTGGCACCGAGTGACCACAGCCTGGCACCGAGTGACCACAGCCTGGCACCGAGTGACCACAGCCTGGCACCGAGTGACCACAGCCTGGCACCGAGTGACCACAGCCTGGCACCGAGTGACCACAGCCTGGCACCGAGTGACCACAGCCTGGCACCGAGTGACCACAGCCTGGCACTGAGTGACCACAGCCTGGCACTGAGTGACCACAGCCTGGCACCGAGTGACCACAGCCTGGCACTGAGTGACCACAGCCTGGCACCGAGTGACCACAGCCTGGCACTGAGTGACCTCAACTTGGCACTGAGTGACCAGCACTAAGCCTGGCACTGAGTGACCACAGCCTGGCACTGAGTGACCGCAGCCTGGCACTGAGTGACCTCAACTTGGCACTGAGTGACCAGCACTGAGCCTGGCAGTGAGTGATCATCACTGAGTCTGGCAGTGAGTGACCAGCACTAAGCCTGGCAGTGAGTGACCAGCATTAAGCCTGGCAGTGAGTGATCATCACTGAGTCTAGCAGTGAGTGACCAGCACTGAGCCTGGCAGTGAGTGATCCCAGCCAGGCAGTGAGTGACCGACACTGAGGCTGGCAGTGTGTGACTAGCACTGATCGTGGCAGTGAGTGACCGACACTAAGCCTGGCAGTCAGTGAACGCAGCCTGGCGATGCTTAATTATATTTTTTAAACAAATCTTTACTCTGACTTGATTTGTGAGAATCACCATGTCTGCATTAATCAGTTTTGAAGCACACAGCTTTCGTAATTTAGTCTACACAGTTTTTAGATTCACTGTACACCAGAATGCTGATTGCAGTACTACACTTTTTTTTAATAAAAAAAGCTTAATGCTTTACACAGTATAAACAAACTTCCTTTATTCAGAACTTTGTTGGAGGATCCGAATGGCCTCCATTGTAAAGTGCTGGTGAATTCAGGAGGTATTTGTCATCACTTTCTTGGTCGGCAGTGCTGATATTTGAGGCATTTAGCTGAAACACTGAATTGCTTTTTGTTTAAAGTTAATCCACTTAAGACAAGTGAAGTAAGGAAATCGCAGCCTTTCCTGGCAGAAATTGTTGCATTAACAAAATAACTGTGAACCAATTTATTGCAGATTCGCTGCATGGTGACTTCCTGGTCTCAGTCTTGTCAACAGAAGACTGAGGGTTGCTTGAAGGAGGGAGGGGAATTCTTTCATGTGTTGTGCAGGGGTGTCAAATATACTGCTGGCAGCCCATAATAATAACAATATGAGGTGATATTTGGTGGCCCGCCCAATAGTTTCTAAAATTCAATTGATATACTGCACTGGAATTTTTCTTTAATCCAACCCTTTCTTTAATATAAGGCGTTACACATTCAAACCTGTGCATTCTGCATTGCCTGAGTAACATTCCCAATAAACCAATGACATTATGTATACAATGTATTGCGTATAATATTTTTTACAGTGCGACCCACCAAGTAGTGTCAACTTAAATGGCTCTTGCAGCCAGATGAGTTTGACACCCCTGATATAAAAGGTCTGTTAGTGTAGTTAGTTTGACCTATGGTGAGGTTACCATAAATATCCCGCTGATATCTCAGAGAAATTAATACTTTTGAATATTGTAAAAAAAAACTTGCTCTGATTGTGATTTCTTTCAGACACAAAGCTCTTGATTAATACACTGCATCAGGGCTAATAAAGGGCCTTCAGAACATGTCTGGGCCTGACATTGAATTAGGGAAGTGAAATCATAGGAGGAAGCTGCAGTCAGCGCTACCTACATGGCACTATTCTAAAAAAAGCCTGAAGTTCTCCCACATGACAAACCATCAGCTAATGCCCACTAAAGTATAATGTAGAGAAAGATCCATTGTGAGCTGGTGACCCAAGTCCTCCATATTTAGTATCTCCATCTTGTTATCTGATTTTGTCCATTCTGGGCTTGTGCTACAACAAATTTATACTGATAATGTTGACCTATACTCCCATTTATTTGATTTTCATATTCCTCCAGGGCCTTGCCAGGGGAACCTATCACTGAAACATTTGTTTCCTTTTTCCTCCACTTTTGGTTTATTTTTCTTTCAGCAAATGTAATTCCTAAACAGGAGAGTGTAATGATAGTGTGAGTCATTAATAGAAGACTTGTTCCATCCAGTAACACAATAATCTTTACCACCAATCTTTGTGCCCACAAATTCAATAATTTATACACCAGACAATATTGCTTGTTTTACATTGGTGGTTTCTGAGAGCGTTGGTTTGAACAGATGTTAGAAAATAAACCAACAGAATCTTGGAATGCCCTCCCTCAATCCACCAGTGTTCTTCCTGTCTCAAAGCTAGTTGTCTGCAGACTGGTTATAATAATAATAATCCTTGCATTTTATACAGTGCCTTATCACACCATTGCGATGTCTCAAAGCGCTTCATGGGATATTTTGTGTATTTTGTGGGCGAAAATATTGATTGTGTCCTGATGGAATATAATTAAAGGTTTGAAATGAATCTGCAGAAATGTCTTTCAGGTTATTCTAACAGGTTGTTAATGCACTTGCAGTAGATCTTGAAGATGGAAAAGACTGACCGGGAAGCAATGGCGACAGCTGTGCAGCGAGTGGCTGGGATGCTGCAACGACCTGATCAGCTGGACAAAGTGGAACAATATCGCAGGCGGGAAGCTCGCAAGAAGGCATCTGTGGAAGCCAGACTGAAGGTCAGTGCATAAAGAGTCAGTGATCATGCTAAGCAATACATTATGCACACTACTTGAGCTTGGAGATGCTGAACTGTTGCCCAAAACAGGGTTTCTTTATTGGATATGGTAAAGCAGAGAGGATCTGCTCTACATTCTGATATAGTGATGAGATTTTTAAAAAGATGTACTTTTTGTTTTTTGTGTATCATTTTAAAACTGTGGAAAACTTTTTAAAAAGAAGAGATATCAAACTGACCATGGCAGTAATTTAATTGCCTCACTTGAAGAGCTGCCTTTTTACTTAAGCTTCAGTAACTGTACATTACTATGTTACGAAGACATCAGTTTGTTGTCATCAATATTTTCGTAGCTACTTGCAGGTGGCTCCTTTAATAGCATTCATTAATAAATAAAAGTCTGTGTTCCTCCTCTTTCTTGCCCCTTCCATCTTTGTTACTCAGTCACATCAGGCTTTTTCAATTTTAGTGAACATTAGATTAACTTTTTATCTTTCTAATTCCTTTCCAACAGATGCACATGCTAGCTAAACTGGTAAATGCATGGCCAAGAAGAGGATAGATTATTATCGAGGGGAAAAGTATATTTCTTCTCATTTATTCTGAGTTGAGTGCATCCAGACCTTAAAGTGTCAACTCTTACAAATTTTAAACTGTGAAATTTTACCAAAAGATGGCAGAGGGATTAATTGCCAATAAAGGGAAGTTTTAGTGGATGAGTTAGCTTGTTATCCAAAGTTTTCATGCTATCTTCCTATTTTGCTTTGAATGAAGTAAGCATTCGGCAGTATTTAATGAAAAGGTTTGTGCATCATTTAAATCGCATACCAAAACCTGTGGCATACTGCTAAGCAAAACACATTGGCTCACTGAGGGAATTAATAGGACGTTCAGATCTTTGAAATTATTGAGATTTCTTCCAGGGTCTCCATACTTAAAGTCTTGTGTTTCTTGGAGCTCTTTTTACAAATGTTTTATTTTCAATTGTCTTTCAGGCAGCTATCCAATCTCAATTGGATGGAGTAAGGACTGGGCTCAGCCAGCTTCACACTGCCTTGAATGATGTTAAAGACATTCAGCACTCCCTGGCAGATGTCAGTAAGGACTGGAGACAGAGCATTAATACAATTGAGAACCTGAAGGATGTGAAAGACGCTGTGGTACAGCATAGCCAGTTGGCAGCTGCTGTAGAAAATCTAAAAAATATTTTTTCAGGTAATTTTCTTTTTAATGAATCTGCATGTGATTTACAGAAACTTTAGGCTGAAAGTAATATAAAAATGAACACATTTGTAATAATAATAATAATAGAGAATGAATATAACTTTCAATAGTAGAGAATGAATATAACTTTCAATAACTTTTCATGAGAAGTTTGAAAGTTCTTTGAGGAGTGTAAAATGTACATGAAGCTTTTAACTGATGTATGCAAGTGACATACTTTTTTTTCTCAATTTGGCAATAATTTGGAACTTACAAAATACAATTTAATTGTTGCTCCCTTGAGAATACTGTGAATAAGCTATTACAATATTGCTCTGATCTCATTATAAGGATTTAGAGAAAATGACTACTTTGGGTGATCAGCATAAGTTTAACTTGTTTAGAAATAACTTAATTCGCTGAAACATTTTTATGTGTATGTAAAATTAATTTGAAATTTATAATTACTTGACATGCATTAAAGCTGCATTTCCACCCCCAAGATTTACAAAGATTTCTGAAGAATGTTCAGCACAGATACTTTACCTAACCAGTCCATGCCAGTGTTTAGACCCCACAAGTCTCCTTAGTACTCCTTACTCCCTCCCTCCCATACCCTTTTATTCACCTCTCAATCATGTGAAGTTCTAGCTTCCGCTTAAATGCATTTACACTATCTGAACTTGTGTTTACAATATCTAATAATAATAATATAATAATAATCCTTGCATTTGATATAGCGCTTTTTCACGTTGGGAGGACATCCCAAAGCGCTTCAGAGAACACACACTGTAAAGTGAATTGACTATATATTTGTGGACGAACGCGGCAGCCAATTGCGCACAGCAATGTCCCACAAACAGTCGTAGATTGAAAGTGACCAATTTATTATTGTTTTTGGTTTTGGAGGGATTATTATTAGGCTCTGTGTGGAGTAAGGAAACTTGCCCAAGGTTTCGCCCTGACCTGCCTGGAATTGAACTCAGGTCTCTCGCTTGCAAAGCGAGTGCTCTAACCACTGAGCTACAGGACTCTAATATCTGATTAAAGGGTTAAATTATGAGGACAGGTTGTTTAATCTTGATCTCAATTCCCTTGAGTGTAGAAGGTTGAGGGGTGATCTGATTGAGGTTTTTAAAATAATAAACAGATTCGATAGGGTACGTAAGAACATATGCTAAACGAAAAAAGACCAAGATCCATCTACTTCGCCTTCCACCTTCCTGACAGTCGCATGCATATATGTCCCGAACTACCTATGTACTATATCCCATGTTGTTATTTCCTAAAAGCAAACTATCTAATCTAATAGATACAGAAAAACTATTTATTCTGGTGGAGGAATCCAGAACAAGGAGGCATAATCTTAAAATGAGAGCTAGGTCATTTAGGAGTGAAATCAGGAGGCAATTTTTCAGCTAATAAGTAGTGGAAATCGGGAATTCTCTCCCCCAAAAGCCTGTGGATGCTGGATCCATTCATTTTCAATACTGAGGTGGATAGATATTTGTTAGGTTAAGGTATAGAGGGATATGGGACAAGGGCAGGTAATTAGAGTTGAGGTGCAGATCAGACATGATCTTATAGAATGGTAGAACAGGCTCAAGGGGCTGAATACTGTTCCTATATTTCAAAACATAATCAAAAATGATTACCTCTTCAGGCAGCAAATTCCAATTCTCATTACCCTCTGTGTGAAGTATTTCCCCCTAAATTCTCTTCTAGATCCCCTGGTCGCTCTTTTGTGCTTATGTCTTCTGGCTACAGACTCCCTAACCATTGAGAACAGCCAATTTACACTAACCTTATCAAACCCTTTCTTAATTTTAAACAACTGTGTTACGTCCCCCCTTAAATGTGTTCTCAAGCAAAAAAAAAGGCCTTACCTATTGAGTCGTTCCTGATAGCAGTAACCTGCCAGACCTGGTATCAAACTGGTAAATGTTACAAGTCACCCAGTCACCACAAAGTTGTTAGTTCTCTTTTTTGCCTTGTTTCCAGTTCCAGAGATAGTGGAGGAGACCTTTAACCTCATCGAAGAAGGGAAGTTGCTCTTAGCGCATCGAAAGCTAATGGACCTGGAGCGTTCCCGAGATGACCTGATGTACGAACAGTATCGGATGGACAGCAAGAACACTCGTGATATGAACCTCATCCAGGTTTATTTTCGGAAAGTAGAGAAGTTGTCTGAGGCGATGGGCAAGCAGATATGGATGATGGTACAGAGAGCATCGGTCACAGTCCGCCAGGACCCGACTCATCTCGTCTCCTTGATTCGAGTCATTGAACGAGAAGAAAAACTTGACAAACGGATGCTGGACAGGCAGAAGCAGACTGGCTTCATTCCTCCCGGGAGGCCGAAGAAGTGGAAAGCCAAGTTGTTCGAGATTCTAGAACGGACCGTTAACAACCGAATCGAAGCCAGTCAGGCAGAAACCAGGGAGTCGGACAAAATGTGGTTGGTGCGTCACCTGGAGATTACCCGCAAATACGTGGTTGAAGACTTGATAGTTATGAAGAGCTTCATGGTGCAATGTTTCCCTGTTCAATACAGAATTTTTGAATGCTTCCTGAACTTGTATCACCAAGCGCTGGCAGCCCGCGTCCAGGAACTTACCATGGAGGACCTAGAGGCCAATGAAATAGTTTCGCTTCTAACCTGGGTTCTGAACACCTACAAGAGGCAAGTTTTACATAGGGTGTGTGGGTGTGTGGGGAGGGGAGGGAGGGCGAAGGTGGGGGGGGTGGCACAGAATAGAGCGTGAGACTGGGATTTTTCTCTTATCTGGGTTGTTTCCCAATTCTGAGCCCTATTAGCAGTGATATTTGGGATGGTAGGTGGCGGTCGGAGGTGGGTGAAGGTAAGATGCCGGACAAAGGCAATTGCCTTTCATGATATGGGGGGGGGGGAAGTGTAAAAGACCAGAGAGAGTGACAGAAAAATATATTACCAAACAAATAGGCCAAGTGTTTTAAAAAAAGTAGTGGACATGGGGCCAATGGCTTTATTGACCCCTGAAGTGAGTGAATCAAAGCAGCTAACCTCAAGATGTTTGGCAGCAATTCAGATTCTGACTTATTCCTGTTGAATTCAGGACAGTGATGTTAGACTATGCTTTTCTGTGGCAGCAAAATACAAATGCTACTGATAACAAAACCCAAATAGATAAAGGCTACCAGGTTCTCTCTGTTGTGATATGTTCAGGGTTGCCCTAATTCAAATCCTGCTGAATCTTCACTTCTATCAATGTTTTTGTCTCATTTTATTTCATGTCCTATTTTGTAGTCCAGAAATGATGAGACACCCAGATCTGGTTCCAGAGGTAGACGTGAGCACCTTACAGCCCCTGCTCTCATCTGAAGTGATTAATCAGCTTCTTGGCAAATATATGACCACACTTACTGTGAGTACACAACTTGTAACGTGTGTGTGTGATACCAAGATTACAACGTTTCTGGAAAGAAATCTACTTGATGTTTTAACCTAATTTGTTGCTTTTGGTTTGTCAGTAAAAGAATGGATGAACATAAGGGGACATTAATGTCTTAGCAAATCCAACAGGGTATGTGTGAAACTGAGACTTCATTTCCTCATAGCCAGTTACTAGGAGGATTTTTGCTGCCACAACTAATATTGGAGTTGTATTTCAAAACCTTAATTTTCTCCTCCACCAGATGTTTGGCTGTGCCATTACTCATTAGGCCAATGTGGGAGGTACATTGGCACATTGTCTAGTTTGAATAAATAATGTGTTGTGTCTGCCGGTATGGTCTGACATGGTTATGTGCATACTTTTTTGTGTGGTCTGACTGACATATTTGTGTGTTCCCATGTGGCAATCCATCACGTTGCTTAAGAGTATCCAAGCCAAACTGAGAATTCTACATGTGTATGCCACCCTGTATCTAGAATGGAATATGGACTCTGTCTGTCCTGGAGGGGATGCACCCTGCTTACTTAATTCTGGAGAGTATTAGGTGCAAGTTGGTAAGAGCCAAGGCTTGGGACTCCCAAGTGCATATTGGAGTATTGGTGGAGTTTAACCAGCTAAAACGTTGAGCGCTTAAACTTTTCTAAGTGCTTTGAGACGTCCTCTTGACGTAAAAGGTACTCTATAAATGTAAATAGTACCACCACCACCCCCCCCCCCCCCCCCCCCCCCCCAACTCTCCCAGGAAGACTTCTCGACATTTTATCTGCAATAACAAAGATCTGTTATACTAATACTAATACTGAGGAAAATCTAATTATCTTGAATTATTCAACTGCATGCCTTTTTAAAACTTTACAGTCCAACATTATTGGCTGGTTACGAAAAGCCCTTGAAACGGACAAGAAAGACTGGAAAAAAGATCAAGAACCAGAGGCAGATCAGGATGGATATTTCCAGACTACACTGCCAGCTATTGTATTTCAGGTAACTATTCATTTAATACTGTGGTTAGTAATCCATAGTTTTCACTCTTGAAATTCATTGCATGTTTAAGGTGTCGCGAAAGACAATTATGTATTTTCTGGCACCATCCTGACTTACTATCTTTTGACGCTTTTATCCCCTCCACATTAGGACGGAGTCTTTTACAACAGTGAAAAAAATGTGCTGTAGTCGATATCTTAAACAAAGAATCATAAAATATTCAGTACAAGGTATTGCCTATGCTACCATGTTTAAATTGATACATCAGGTCTAAAGCTGTACCATGGGAATTGCTGCTTTAGTAATCTCCTGCTTTCGCCTAACTAAGTTATATACACTCAAATCGTTTAATTGTTCTCCTTATCTAACATTTCTGGTTTCAGATGTTTGAACAGAACCTGCAGGTAGCTGCTCAAATCAATGATGACCTAAAGCTTAAGATGCTGTCATTATGTCTTCAGCAAATGAACTCTTTTCTTAGCAGGTGAGCAGCACCGTTCTTCTTTATTCAAGCCTGTTTGCCATTAAGTTTTAGCCAGCCCATTTAGCAGTGGCCAAGAGGAGTGAAATGAGCTCTATGCCCAATTCTCATTTCTAAATGTGGGCTCCAGAATTCTGGAGTTGTATGTGTGATGACATTTATTCAATAGACTGATGTGGAAATACATTCTGGTGGTTATGCACCCACTTAATCTTTACTTTAAACCAAACCTTACTTTATTATTCATCTTACTGGGATTAGTTGCTATCTGATTGTTAGATTCACAACTTTTATTTTGTTTGTTGGTGCTAAGATTTTAAAAATAGTGATTGTCTTGAAACTTTGGAAGGCAGAATTCTCCAGATATCAATCGATTTTCAGAAAAATGCTCTTGTTGACCAAGGTCTGTAAATTTACTGATGACTGGAGAATCCTCTCTCAATTGGATTACAAAGCTTCTTGATGTGAATGGGGAGCAAGACAGATTTTGCATGTATAGTGCATCTGATTTGTCTATAATGGGGCTTTTCTCCATTGACCAGATATAGAGAAGAAGTGATGCTTTATAAAGAAGACCACTTGAAAGATCGCCAGTATCCTCAGTTCTACATTCAATACATGATCGCAGTCGTCAACAACTGTCAAACTTTCAAGTGAGTGTAAAATCTTATTAAAATTGTGACTCTTAAACTCATGTACATTTGCACTGCAATGAACAGCTTGTCACATTGAAACTTCCCTTTTAGATTTTTTAAAAAGTGGATTAAAGTTAATAACTAAGAAAGAACGCCCTACCTCTGCCACTTATTAAAACATCACCAACCTGTCCTCTCCCTCCACTCTACAGGCACTGGCCTGCTCCACGTTCCCCGCCCCGCCTGCTCCGCTGTCAGCGGATGGGCCTTCAGCCTTTCTGCCCCCACCGTCTGGAATTCCATCCCGTAGCCCCTCCGCCTCGCCTCTTCCTTGCTTCCTTCAAGGCCTATCTTAAGACTTTCTTTTCGATTGTGCCTTCGATCATCTTTCTCCACCCCCCAAGCTCTCAGCCCCTGTCTGATTCCAACCCGCAACTCAGATGCAAACCCCTCATTGTCCAGCGACTTGGGATGTCTTCCCAAGATGAAAGGTGCTAAATAAATGTAATTTGTTGTTGTAATGGAGAGTGCTTACCGTTACAATTGAAATGATAAGTGCATGGTACCAGGTCATTACTGGTGGCCCTGTAGTGTGTGAAAATGATCAGAATCGCAACTTTATCAGGACATTTGGAGATTTGTTCTTGTGTTGCAAAAATTCTCAAGATTCTTGAAAGGTGCCCCTTTTCCATTTGTTGTTGGTTTAAAATAATGCATTCTGCTTACTACAGAGAGTCTGTCAACAGTTTAAGGAGGAAGTACATGAAGAGTGAAATTGAGGATGAGACAACTATAGAGGCAACTCTAGAAGTCATAGCTAAAGAGGCTTGCTCCTACCTTCTGAATGAAGTCTTCCTGGATCTGGAGGTTGGTGCATGCTGAAATGTATCTTCATGTACAGATCGACATTATTGTGATGCTTGTTTTGATAAATGTTGAATTTGAAGACCGAATATCAAAATCACATTTTCTAAATGGATGGAGTGTTTTATACAAAGACTATGCAAATTGATTTGATTTTGTTTGAAAATAATGTATGATTATTAATCGGGTTTGATTCCCGGGCGGGCCAGGTCAGGGCAAAAGCGCAGGCAAGTTTCCTTACTCCACACGCACCTGTTTACCAATGTTAGGTAGATTGGCGGATTGCTTTTCCAAGGGTAATAATCCCTCCATATAAAAAAAATTGGTCACTCAATCCACGATGTTTGTGGGACACTGCTGTGCTTTTGCCCACAAAACACACAGTCACTATACTTTACTGTATAACCTGTGAAGCGCTTTGAGACGTCTCAACGACATGATAAGGTGCTGTATCGAATGCAAGGATTATTATTACTGTTACATTCAGAAGACTAACGGGCCATAAATTAATGCATGCTAAGTGAATTTCTGATGTATTGTCTTCTCTTGGAAAGCAAGAGGTGAAGGTGGGCACTAACTGTTCCCTTTACGACACACATACACGTAACAGGGAGGAGGAAATGAGCAGAACTGTTGTACCCTGGCTGGCTGGTGAAGTGCTCTGAGAGTCTTCTTTCAGAGTGGTATTTCCAGTGCTTTTGGTATTCAGTAAACCTGCAGATTAGGAAAGTGTTCGTTTATAATTTATAATCAGGCCTTTTTTCTTTCAAGCAACCTTATCCTGGTTTATAATTCAAGGGCAGATTCTTTAAAATCAACCTCGCCTCTAACATTCTCGTTGCCTTTTGTACTTTAAGCCCAGACCTAGACTAAGTTGCAACTTACAATCTGGCTTCATGAGTGGACGAGGTGAACTACATATGGCAGAGCTGTTTCGGTTTACAATTTCTGAGTAATGTTAACATCAAAATGATTTATTACAGCCTCATCTCCAGGAACTGATGACTAAAAAGTGGCTTACAGGCTCCAATGCAGTGGATACAATTTGTGTTACAGTCGACGATTATTTCAATGACTTTGCAAGGATTAAAAAGCCCTTCTGCAAGGTATGAATTAAACTCACTTTCAATTAAATATAGTGTTCCTTTTAGAATCATTAAGAAGGCTGCTTCTTTGTAGAGTGCAAGGATATTATCTCTTTTTTTTAAGTTTTGAATATTCTAAACGATGTTCCGTACTCAGTTGTAGATAAACTGAGATGTTGGAAGCCTATATTGTACTCAGTTTATTTATACACAGTACAGTTTACTTTTGTAAAGTTCTTTCATGTTGGGAGGATGTCTCAAAGTGCTTAACACTGCTGGCTGAGCACCCAAGTACCTGGCCGGTAGTGCTCTGTACCACCTGGAAAATAAAGGATTTATAGAATAATACTAATATCTTACAGGGGAATTCTGGAATAATTGATTGCATTTGTGGCTATTAAAACTAATAGGTGTTTTTAACAGACCACAGTGACAATTTTATTCTGTTTATTTGATTAAATATTCTGCCGTTTCTAATTTGGAAGGATGGACGTCTTACTACTGATATGTATTAAAAGAGGATCAAAGTTTGTATTTTAAAGAATGCTATCATATTTCTGACCTACAAGCTCTTTGCAAACAGGTCTCTGATGGGGCAAGACTTTTTGTAGGTGGGCTCTACTTTATGCAGTTTCACATTTTTAGAAAATGCATTTGTCACTGAAACTGGACCAGACAGTTTCAGGGAACAAATTCAATGGGAACAGTTATATTGTAAAGAACTGCTGTACACTACTCTCTGCAACTATTTGTCGTTATGTGAACTGGCTGTATTATATAAACTGTTTTGGTTAGCAGAATCTTTCAGATGTTTAAATGGATGGGAGGATTAATATCATTGCCCTGCTCCTCTCGCCTTTTTTTGCAGGCAATAACAAACGAGGCCCATCGCAGAGTAGTGGTGGAGTACATCAAAGCTATGATGCAGAAAAGAATAACCTTCAGGGGGTCAGAGGAGCGCAAAGAGGGGGCTGAGAAAATTATCAAGGAGGGAAATCAATTTCGATTCTTGTTTAGGAAGCTCTCCACTGTAAGTCTGTTTTCGTCTCCTTTCATACGTGTGAACTATTGTTTGGATTGTGCGTTTATTCATCGATATCTTTATCTCTGGAGTCTGTTTCAATGATTCATGAGATTGTGCATGGATTATGTCAGGGTATCAGTGGTGACGACTAAGGTATTTACTTTGTCATCTTTTGATCCAAGATCCAACTCCCACCCCACAAACTACTCTGCAGCTAAGAAAGAAGCGAAGCTTCTTGGTGCCAGGTTTCAGTCAATGCTGTGCTGTATCTAACTGCTTGGAAGCAGCTCAGTAAAATAATGCCCTTCCAGTTTCAAACTTGCTCTCTTCAAACTAGACCAGCACTCAGTGGCTTCCTGAGTTTAAGAACTTTGCCTGGGAACTTTTGTGCCCAGGCTTGCCACTGTTGAGCACCACCATATTGGATTATCCTAGAGCAGGCCTCTGGTTCGAGAAGTCTCGAAATAGGAACAACGTAAATGAAGACCCAAAACATGAACATTTGTTCTGAGCTGTCACAGTGGTGCAGCATGTTGATGTCGCCATGCGGCTTTGTAGCGTGAGCATGTGTGACAGAGAAAGATGGAGATTTACCACTCCCGCCCTGCTGAATCACTAATTTCCACTCTACTGTGGGAAACCTTTGAGTCTGTACCTTGCATCTCTGCTTAGGAAGGAATGGAAAAATTGGAGTCTGCAAATCCTCAGCTGTGAGGTGCATTAAGGCTTCTCCAGGGAAACAGGGAAGGTGGGTAAAGGAAGAAAAAAATACATTAATCAAATGTATACGTGTTAGTATATAAATATTACTTTATACCTATAGATTTGACTGATATTGCACCATAGCACTATTTGTGTAGATATGTGCTGCCAAGATGTTCAAGCTTAACTTTCTTTTATGTAGGGCTTTGGTGAGGACGTTGAGGTGCTGTGTGATGCTATTCCAGCTTTGGCTGAAGTCCTCAAACTTACTGATCCATCTTTGCTGTGTCTTGAGGTGTCAACATTGGTTAATAAGTATCCTGATGTCAGGTGAGATCCCCAGTGTACTGCTAACATTATTTTATTGACATTGTCCCTATCAATAGTTGTGAGAACAGGCTTTAGTTATAAACAGTGCACTAACTTTGTTCTCCCCACTTTCAACTTTGGTCTGGACCGCATTTGGCTACTCTTGCTTTTGAGGAATGAATTGCCTGTGGACTGGAGATATCAAAGAAGAGAGGATTTACCAAAACTAAGAACCCAATACTTGGATCATTAGTAAACATATCAATCCATGAGTTTATAGAACCATAGGAATTTAAACACAGAAGAATGCCATTAGGCCCACTATGTCTGCTGGCTCTTTGAAAGAGCATTCCACTCAGTCCTAGTTATTTGTTTTTTCCCTATATCGCTGCAAATTCCTTCTAAGATATTTATCTAGTTCATATTTGAAAACTAATACTTGCTCTCCCTCAACCACTGCACTCAGAAACATTATATTGTTTTAAGCTCACACAAAATTGGTAAGTTTACTGACCAGTGGAGAATCAGAGAAGCTTGCATGACAAGATCAATAAATTTAAGGCAAATAGAGGAGAATGGTCCAGTGAGCAGAGCTTAAAGCACTTTCTTGCATTTCATCAAACTATCGATCTGATTATTTTAAACAAAAAAGTCACCTGTGAAATCAAAAATACGATCTGTGAAGAGCAATTCATTACTATATTAATCTTCACCTCACAAGAGTTTATAATCAAATTGCCCGCAAGGTTTGAATCCCAGGAACCAGGTGTGGTATAGTTTATTGGTATCTCTTTCCCCTCTGTCTTTTCCCTGCAGGCTGCTCGGTGTTACCTTTGAAGTTTGACAACCTGATGGATAACACAATGAGTGCCCTAGCCCCTCTCCCACCTCTGCATACCTCTAGCCCTGCAGCCTCCATGCCTGTGGGTTGACCATACCCCACTAACCGCCTGCCTCAAATCTCAGAGTGTGCATCTTGAATGCTGCCCCCAACCCCAACCCGAGCTGCTTTTCCCCCAAAATGCTCCCTACCCTGCAACTCTCGTGCTCTGTTCTCTCTCTCCGTCTCCTTGCCTCCTATCCCCACTTGACCGTCACACAGCCTCTCTCTGCTCCAGCCTGGGATTCCTCTGTCGGACTCAACGTAGTACTCGACATTGACTGTCCAGCAGCAACCCCATTCCTCACTATCACCACAAGCCCCGCTGGATCCAAACCCAGATCCCGAGGGCTAACCTCTCCTCCCTCATCCACATTCGCACTCTCCCTGCCAATCCTCCCACCAGCCCCTCTCATCTTACACATTCTTCTGCCAACTGTCTCCTCTGCATCGGCCTACAAAATGTCCACTCCCTTTCTCACAAGGCTCTCACCATCAACGACATCATCGTTGATGAAAACATCAATATCATGGCTTTCACTGATACCTGGATCACCCCAGGCAACACCTTCACTCTGACAGGCCACTCCACCTGGCTACAGCTTCCATCATACCCCACGTCCTAACCACATGGTGGTGGTATGGCCCTCATCTCCAGGTCCTCACTTGCTCTGTACCCCTACTCCTCCGGCTCATTCCCCTCCTTCGAGCACCTAAGCCTCTACCATTCCTCCAATTTTTCCCTCAAAATTCTCCTGATTTATCGTCCCCCAAACTCTCCCCCATCTTCATCTCTGACATCTCCGCCCTCCTAGCTTCCCTCTGCCTCTATTCTGAACACCTCCTGATCCCAGGCAACTTCAACCTGCACTTAATTCCCTCTTGCTCCACCTCCACCGATTTCTCCTCTCTCCTCTCACGACCTCTCCCTCCATATCCACTCTGCCACCCACTCGATCTGGTGCTTACCCAGGGCCTCTGCCTCAGACCAGACAACCACCGATGAAGCCATCCCAGATCAATATTTAATCTCTCTTAACTCCACAATCCCTCTCCCCACCGCCACCCAACCCACCTCCATCTCCTACCGACCCTGGAAAAGACTCTTCGCGCACTCCCTCTCCACTGCCCTGGAGTCATCTGAACTTCTCCCCGCTGGCCTACCTCCTGCACCGGCCTATCCTCCTCGGTCACTCTCCACAACTCCCTCTCCACCATTCTCGATGCCCTGTCCCCCCTCACCTCCTGAATCACCTTCTGCTCACCCTGGTACACCAGCCACCTACATTCCCTCAAGGGTCAGGTGCATGCCGCCAAACACATGTGGCTCAAATCTGATATAACGGTCCACCGGCAGATCTGGCTGGACCACATTAAAAACTGACCACTCCACCCTCACCTAAGCTAAATCATCCCTCCTTTCCAAGGTAATCTTGGAGGCCAAGGTCAACCCCAGGTTCCTTTTCTTCACTACCAACTGGCTGCTTCATACACCTTCTCACGCCTCGCTCATCCTCTCCTTCAACTCCCAACTGCGAGGAGATGCTGGATTTCCTCAAGACCAAAATCGAGGGGATCCGTTCAGCCACCTCCGCCTTTTCATCCGCCACCCCCTCCCCATCGCTCCCTCACACTCCGGCCCTTACCCATTCCTCCCTCCACAATTTCGAACCTGTCAACTGGCACCGATCCCACCCTGCTAAAAACAGCTGTCATCACCCCTATCCTAAAAAAAACCTTCTCTGGATCCATCCCTGCTCACAAACTACTGCCCCATCTCTAAACTCCCTTTCCTTTCCAAGGTCTTTGAAAGCATTGTTGCTTCCCAGCTTCACTCCTTCCTCTCCTGCCATTCACTTTATGAACCCTTCCAATCGGGTTTCCGTTCTGCCCACAATATGGAAACAGCCCCACTCAAGGTGTTTAATTAGATTCTGTCCATCTTGACCAGAGCTCTCCATCTCCTCGACATCTGCTGCCTTCGACACTGTGGACTACTCTATCCTCCTCCACCTCAACCTTCAAGTTTATCTTTGAATGGTTCAGACCTACCTCTCACACTGGCTCCACTTTGTCTCTGCAAACTTTCCTGATTGGCACATGACAGTGCCTCCGCATTTCAGGCACTGGCAGCATCAGCATCCATGGATGCACACTCCACCTCACCAAGCTAGTCAGGAACCTGGGCGTCTTCTTCAACCCTCAGCTGTCCTTTCTACCCTATATCTGTGCATAACCTGCTCTGCTTTCTCCCACCTCCACAATATTGCCCGACTCTGCCACTGCCTCACCCTCAGGGCACCAAAACCCTCATACCTACCTTCATTATTGTATCCAGACTCGACTATGTCAACTCCCTGCTTGTTGGCCTTCCCAACTCTTCCCTCCACAAGCTGCAGATCATCCAGAACTCTGAACTTCGTGTCCTCTCCCGCATCAGGCTCTGTGACCCTATCACTCCCATCCTCACCCAGCTCTTTATCCCTCAGAGAATCAAGTTCAAAATCCTCATCCTCACCTTCAAGACCCTCCATGGCCTTGCCCCCTCCTACCTCTCTGACCTGCTAACTCTTTATCAACCTGTCCGCTCCCTCTGCTCAGCAGGCTTCGTGTCCCTCGCCTGGCCAGCCCCACCATCGGCGGTTCAGCCTCTCTGCCCCCACCTCCTGGAACTCCATCCCACATTCCCTTCGCCTCGCTCATTTGCCTCCTTCAAGGCATGCCTCGAGACCCCTTCGACGGAGCCTTCGGCCACCCTCCTACCATGTCTGCCCTCCACCCTTCCTGATCCCAACCGCCTCCGCTCGGGTCCTAATCCCTGACTGTTCAGCACCTCGGGACATCCTCCCGACATGAAAGGTGCTTTACAAATGTAATTTTGTCTTGTATAACCCACTGGTGAAAATTTTCACTCAGTGCATTGTTATTTGTTAAAAATTGGTGCCTATTGATTTGTTTTTCTTTCAAATGCTGTCTTACAACTCCTCTTGTGTTTTGAGCAATGCACAGTTTTCCAATAATGATTTTTTTCCAGCTTATGGTACTCGAGAACTGATTAAGTTTTAAATCAAATTGTGGTGTATTCTTACTTTATTGTCTTAACTATTTTCACTTTGACTGCTCCAGGGAAGAGCACATTACAGCGCTGATGGTGATGAGGGGTGATGCCAACAGGGACATGAAACAGACGGTCATCGAAACATTGCTGCAAAATGCAACTCATCCTGGTCCTAACTTTCAACCAATCTTCAAAGATATTCTGGTCCCATCTATGAGCCTGTCAAAACTAGTCAAGTGAAACACTGCATTTTTGGTTGTTGATGACTTTATATACAGTGGACCCTCTCTATATGGTGTCTTTGGGTGCTTTGTAAATGTATCATAGTGAGGCCTGGATAGTCACTAAACTTCCAATTCTCCAGTGTTCACCTTTTAAAAGTATACCTGGCCAAACCTGGTATAAAAACTCCCTCTGGACTATACTTACTGAATTCTAAAATTATGCCTTTGAGTTGGCGTCTGAGGGAGAGGTGTAGGAAGAATACAACTCCATTAATTCATTAATCAAGTAAAAAAAAAACTGCCATCAATCAAATGGCTGTCAGATGATTTTTTTAACTTGGAGTATTGGGTCTACAATGCTGGAGGAGTGGCTTAATTAACAGCAAGTTCTACAGAAACAACTCCAGTGTATGTACTAGTGCTTTTTATGGCTTCTGTATTAATTAGGGTGCGGCAGTGTTATGAGGGGCTACTGTATATATGTATATACTAGGGTCTAATGTGTGGCATTAACCAAATTCCTTTAATAAATAATCCAAGCTGGAAATCCAAGTCCTTCCAGTTAGATGCCACTGACTCACAGGAACTCTGCTCTGACCCAATTTACTACGAGAGTGGAGTTCCCATTCTAAACGGGTCCCCTATTGTTAATACTGCAAATTGGATCCCACTGTGATTTTTTCTTGCACCTGCCTGTGTGTCTTCTGGCTTTGTGAGAGCAAATGTACTTAAATACAGTACTTGATAAAAACAAATGCCATGTTTTTGAACACTGATCGCATGAGTGAATGAGGAATGATTTTTATGTCTGAGCACTTGTACAGAACTTCAGGTTGACATTCATAGGCAAACATATTTCAGAGATGCAGTGGCTGTGGGTGCAAATTTTTAAATATAATTATAATAGCTAAATTGGAGAGCTAGAAGGTTTGATATCAGAAAATTGTTTTTGTGCAATGGTTACCTTTTTGAAGCAAAGTGTTGGCTCCGTAGAAAGAAAATGGTGATAATAAAGCATGGATGTAAAGGCTTGACTGGCTCCAGAGTGATGTAATCGTTTAAGTCTTATTTTTTCTCTCAGAAAATGTTTGGATTGTTCAAATTCCTGGTTTACCTTCTAGTGCCACTAAGTAAACCAAGTGGTTATTTTCAGCTGTAGGTCCAGAGAGAAACTGTACAGACAATGTAATAGAATAGCCCAATCTCATCCAGCATCTACCTAAATGCCACGAATGAGGGAGGATGGGGAAGAGAGACTCCATGGTGATCTGAAGCAGGAATCCTGACTAGAGGTTTAAGCAATAATCTAGTTATGTGCTGAGAAATAGCTAAAACACAGCACTCATTTTGGTAGTAGAATTGCAATCGTGGTTATTGTACCACCACAGAGATGACTTTATAACACTTTCTTGCAGTGATGAGACCCAATGCATTAGGTAAGACAGAGCCATCTAGTGGATCATTTACTCTCTTATCTCGGCCTGTTTATTCTGTTTATTATGGCATATATGCATCACTATCAAAGTGCAGGGGATAGGATATCTTTCACATTTACGCTTCCTGTTTATAATTGCAGGATTGTTGCACATTACAACAATCTATTCCTTTAGGGATAAGAAACAAACATTCCAGCTTCTAAGTAAACACTGATGGAGGAAATTGTTAGGGTCAGGAGGTGAAATGCTTTCAATGTCAAGTAGTCAGTTCTGTACAACACAGACTCTTTAAATGCCTGTTGCCCATTACTGTATCCTTTAAAAAGCTGCTAAACCTTAGAGGGTAGATCCGCTGTGTTGGTGTTGGTCATAAAACACAGCTAAATGCAGGATTGTGAAGAAGCCATAAGATTCTCTTCACCCATTTCCCATTAATACTCTAATATTTATGGTATTGAGCTCACTCATTGGTCTGAAACGTGCATCAGCTTTTTAAAAAAGTATTCTGAAAATTTTAAATTCTTAAATATGTTTGAGATGTAAAATGTCATCTAGTAATGTGCGTTTAACGTATTGTTTATAATATAAATCAAGAAGCAAAGCAATTATAGAATACACAACCTCCAACTCGATACAACTTGCATTTATATAGCAGCCTTCATGTGGGAAAATGCTTGGGAGTACTGTAGGGACATGGTTAAACCCTAAGAAGGGGAGGCGACTACAGGCATCATCAAAGATGTAGGTCTTCAGGTGGGACTTAAAGAGGCGAGTAGGGATTGTGGCAGGGCATTTTAGAGAATAAGAGCTGAAGGCACAGCCGTTACTGGTGGCTGGAGGAATTGGGAGAATCACAGCAGGTCTATAACAACCACGTGACCTTAAACTGATTGTATTAGATATTAAAATGTAAACAGTCGATCATAGCTAAAACTTTACTAGGTAGTACAGGCAAATTTTAGACAGAAACTGCTTTTTAAAAAAAGTTACAAACATTCAGCTCTGGGGGACCAAAATGGCAAAATTTGACTTTTAGGGTTGACTTTTTCATTCAGGTCAGCTCCAAATTGGAGATGGGCTGAGCAGGTTGGCGGGTTGAGGCTGAACTTCACATGTCACCCAATCTTCAGGTCACCAGTGTGCCTGTCTCATTGGTGGAGAAAAGCAGCCTTCAATCCTGGATAATTAATCTAAAACCTTCAATCCAGCAACTTTTTTTAAAAAATGTCACTGAATTCTGCTGGATATTAAAAATAAAGAGTTGTAAGTAAAAGACTGCAATAATTTTAATAATAAATAGTATAATCACTAAGAATTTTAAACAATGATTTTCAGAAATCTATGACTATCAAATGCAGTCAAAATTATTTTCCAAAATTATTTTTATTTTGTTAAAATGCAAATTTATATTTATACTTTACAACAGAGGGATGTAAAAAAAACCACAATGTCAGTGTAAACTGCAGAAAATATTGAAAGAAAAATAGTGATCAGAATAGTTCCAGTGAAAGAGTTTGCAATAGACTCAATCAATGGACTGAATGGTTCCTCTTGTGGAATAATCTTATTTCTTGAAAGCTGGGAGGAACTTTAGGGGCAGCTAAATCTGCTCAATCTCAAATGCACAAGAACACTAAAAGGGTAGTAGTTCATGTATTGAAAGAAAATATTTTAAATTCAAATTGGTTTCAGTATCCTCTTCTAAAGTTCAAGGTGAATTGCTGAAACTTTAGTGATATAGTACAATAATCACCCACTAAGCGAACAGATAATCTGAACAAATCTTCCCATTATTAATTTCCATTTATACATAATTCAATTACCATTACCAAACAGTTTTGGCTGAATGTTTCAACCTATGCAACCATCAAAACAAATTCCCTTTTTTATGTTAAAGAGTCCTCAACCCCCAACAGGTCAAATTCAAGATCCTTGTCCTCGCGTTCAAACCGCTTTATGGCTTCGCCTCTACAACTCTACAGGCCCAACGCTCCATCTGCTCAGCAAACATGACTGCTTCATGTCCCCTGCTCGATCTGCACCACTCTCTGGAACTCCATCCTGAAGTCCTTCCACAAAACACCCTCCATCCTACCTTTAAAGCCCACCTTAAGATCTATCTTTTTGTCACCCTTGTCAGCACTCCTCCCCAGCTTGGGCTTCAAGGCAACTGTGAAGCTCTTTGAAATGCCCTTCCAAAGTAAAAGGCTATATATATACAGTATTGTTTTCACATTTCTCATGTCTGTTGAGTTATATTACTGCAACTTGCATTTATAGAGTACCCTTTATGCATCTTGGAGAACTTGTTTATTACCAACAAGGAATTGATTCCAGCTTGGTAAATATTATGTATAATGATAAAGAACATCCTACACAAAGAAAAGATTGTAAAAAATAAATGTTACAGAAAGGAATGAAGCACCCTGCTTCTACAAGTGAGAAGAAATCTTTAACCAAAACCATGATGAGGATCCAGTGAGTTCTAAAAAGCAGAATAAAACAAGTTTTCAGTTCAATAAGTTAAACTGCTACAGTTTATAAACAAATTGCATCTGATCACATTAGAATTACGATCCAGAGTTCACTGAGAGATTGTCAACCATCAGTGAGGCGAACAACAGCCATATCCTGAGCAGAGATTGTGGTTTTTATTCAGACTTTGATTTTAGTTGCAGTTCCTTTTTCTTGTAGTTTGAAATCAATGCAAAGAGAATAACACAATTAATTGAAAGAAACAGCAGCCCAGCGAACCAGATGAGCAGGAATGTGTTCATCCCTTCAAACTCCAGGTAATATGCAGGAGCGAGCCACAATCCCTGGAGTGAGAAAACAAAGTCATTTAAAAGGCTCAAAATTCAAGTAATACATCAAAGCACCAATTCTTTCAACAAAAGTAACTAAGCTACTTTTTAAAGTTATTCTTGCTCATTTTTCATCTATTTAGTGCTCACACATCATCTGTATCCTGGAGGTGAGTTGATCATCTCTGAAGCATAGCTTGGAGGGGCTATTAGCCACTCATGGCAGGGTTTTCTGCAAACCAAAGCCCTTTTGGGTAGTGTGTTCCTAGCTAGACAAGCCGCAGGAATCATGCCAGAATGCTCTCCATAGCAAGCTAAGTGGTTTTAGGTGGTGAATCTCCAGCAACAGGTTAACCACTATGCTAAGGTGCTGGTCTTGAATTGTATCCTGTGATGGGAAGCCAGTGGAGTTGGGCAAGGATGGAGGTGATGGAGTCGCGGAGCCTGGTGCGGGAGAGGACACGGGCTGCAGAGTTCTGGATGATCTGCAGCCTGTGAAGGGAGGAGTTGGGGAGGCCGAAAAGCAGTGAGTTTGCATAGTCGAGCCTCGGTGTAATGAAGGCGTGTATGACGGTTTCGCCGGCCTGCGGTGTGAGACAGTGTCGGAGCCGGCTATTTGGGGACAAATACATGCCGCTTCATTTTACAACAATTACTTTGGAAACACTTTGAGATGTTTCAGCATTTATAGGTCCCATATCAAATGCAAGGATTATTTATTTGTATAAATTAACGAAGAACTCTACATATGGTCAACTACCTATAAAGAAACACTATTAATAGAGTATAACTAAAATAAGACTAATTTCTAGGCACATATACATTGTCATGGAATTAGAAATTATCAGATGGATGTAACCAAATATTTAACAAACATCATGATGCAACAACATTTAAGGCGGAGTTATACTAAAGTTGAAGATATATCACACTAACCTGGCCAATGAACCACAAAGCGAGCAGTCCCAGACCTCTTTTCCACGACAGCGTCAAATAGGGAATTACCAGTGGGAGCAGACACAGATACCAGAGGAAGTACTAGAATTAGACAAACACCAATTCAATGCTTCCTAAAACTCATCTTTCATTTTGATTCCTAGACATTTGAAACGATGTCTCTTGAAAGCTAACATTCTCCTGCATATTCTGCATATGGACCAAACGTTCACAGTGCAAATATCTTGTAGGGTAGGTGTGTTTGAGCAATGGACAGGTTGTGGGCGGAGGATTAAAGAAATCACGAGAGGATGCAGCAAAGTGTGGAAAAGAACCCCGTTGTAGTTAATGTCTGAATTCATTTACAAATGGTTTGATGTACTTCTACACGTCATTTTAAGAAATCTTTTACAGGCTGCAATGTACAGTCATGATCAAGGTAAAATCCAACTTGAAAAAACAAATGATTTTTATTTTGGAAGTAAGTTCAAACTTGTAAAAGTCTACTGCTTTGAACCTGTGTTGTAATTTGTCTCGAGACACCTCATACAGTTTTAAACTTTCAGATTAAATCATTTAAAATATATCCAGCAGTTCTCACAGACTCCCTGCCAGCAATCCCATTTAGAAATTGTGTGACCTATTCAACTGAACACTCGCTAGGTTTTATGCTAATTTTATGGCAGTGCAGAGATCCATTTTTCATGTGCGCTGGAAACTTGTGACCTGCACTAAAACAAGGAAGGCAAAAAATGCTCACACCATCCGTATCACAAGATACTGACAAAATAGATTCACATTAACACCCATTATCGATCACGTGCTCATAGTCCTATTTCTGAACTAGCTTTCTTGGTACCTATGATGCAGTGCTACCTTCAGTTATGCAATGGTGCAGACACAATGTGACACCAACTGTGATGTACTCAGTGGGTGAAACACAGGTGTTTAATGGGATAATGGCTTAAGGAAAATAAAATTCAGAGCTAAGAGAGTATCGCCATAACCGGCTGACCAAAGCATTCCATGAGCCATGCAGTCCAATGCATGAAGGAGTTTCGTGCACATCCTTTGTGAACAGTGTTGAGGTCTATCTCCAGCACACACACAGGTTGCTCTATTTCACTGGATGTGTTAATTAGCACATCGATGTTAGCCATCACACACTGAAATTTTCAACACAAATAATGTACTGGATTAGAAAGATAATAATAATATCATCTGTCTGGCCTCAAAAGCTTTAAAAAAAGGTATCATACACCACCCTTCAAGTAAAATTCTTCACTAAATAAGCTATCTAATTCCCTCTTCAATAGGAACTCCTCTCTGAGCTTCAGTAAACTTTCCCAATAAATCAGGTGCCTACTTCCCACTCCCCTGGAGCAAGAACTTAATTCCCCAAAAATCAGAACCATGATTTTAAATACTGCTGTGCTGCTTTAAAATGGAAATATCCCCACATCAGGATATTATAGGCAAGTTGCTGTCAGCAAAAGCACCTCCCTCACAACTAAACAAGAGTTTTCTGCAGGAAAACCTTTATGTCAACAACTTGTATATTTATATAAAGCCCTTAGATTAGGTCAACATTTTAGATTGCTGGACAAAGACAGGTTTGGATTGGGGTATTTTAGATAAGTTAGAGCTTAGGGATAGTGGAACTAGAGAGATCAGCAAGGGGTGCATTAGAAAAGTCTAAGTGGAACATAATAAATGTATGAAGAATAACAACTTTCATTTATATAGCGCCCCTTACGCAGAGTGGCGTCCCAGAGCGCTTGATAGCGGCGGAGCACAACGCCAAGCCGGAGGGAGGTGACCTAAGGCACGGTCAAAGAGGAAGGTCTTCCGGCACAATCTGAAAATGGGTAAGAAAGGGCAAGGCGGAGGGATAGAGGAAGAGTGGTACAGAGTTTCTGGGTGTAGTGGCTGCGGCCACCGATGGTGGAACAGAGGGCACAAGGGTCATGCAGGAGGCTGGAGCCAGTCGAGCAGAAGCAGTGGATACTGGGTTGCGGAAAAAGCAGGTCGGAGAGGTAGGGATGTGCCAGGGCTTGAGGCATTTGAAAATGAGTGTGAAATCTTGAAATCGATCCGTTCAGCGATAGGGAGCCTGTGGAGCCTGGATAGAACTGGTGTGATGGGGTTGCAGAGTTTAGTAGAATAAGGGTTTCAGCAGCATTTGGTGTGAGATAGGAGTGGAGATGGGCAATATCACGCCAATTGTGGGTTTCCTTGGGAAAAACACAGTTTCTGTCACATGGAGACAAAGTGCCTCCAGGAATGTTTTAACTTTTCTCACCTGTGAGGTGCACACTTTGTTGAAGCTGACAAAAACGGCAGTGTGAAGGAAGCAGCAGAAAGTCAGATCCTTGTAATATGCAAGTGAGATGATGAGGAGCAGTAGTAGTTGTGGGAGAAAAGCTGCAAGTCCCAAAGCCAAACTCCAATCACTCTCTGCATTCAGGTAAAGCATGTAAAAATAAGGGGAAAAATTGTGGCGAATGTCTCTTCGTGTCAAATGATAAAGGTACGTGTGCTCCAGAAATTCCCAGCCATACCTGGAAAAAAATACACTCATGTGTAAAAATAAATCATTTCACAATCAGCTCAGTGTAAGCTGCAAGCACTTTCTCTCTCGCTCTCACACTTCATAAAGTCATCACCACTTGAAAATGCCGTTGTGAAACTGTGACACATTCCTGGCCGACTAGCCTTATTGGTACAATAACTGCTTTGTTTTGCATTAATCTCTTGCATTGGCAAACACAATTCCCTCCTCCCAATTGGAGCTGCCATACACACTTGAGCTTTGTAGGTGTCACCAACACTGATCAATGCATTTTCATTCCAACGGATGTTTGAATCATCTTACCTATGGTAGAATAGTGCTCCTAGAGTAACGAATACCAGTCCAGCAATGCTAACAAACAGCAGCACCTCACCACTGGGAAGTCTCAAAAATAGATTCAGAAAACTTCTTACATGTCTGTGACCAGGTTGGTCTTTTTGAAGTTTACTTTTATTCCTGATAGAGGAGGTACTGACCTCAGTTGTGGGCAAGTTTCCCTGGAGTGATAAAACTATGGGAAGCACATAAGTCACTGGGTAAATTTTCATATGTACAGAAAGCCCGTAAAACATTGCAGCCTTCACAATCTGCCTGGTTTCTAAGTAGTACAAGGTGGCAAGGACCAGCACCGCCAGGATAGCCTCTGCATTCCCTCTGCTGGAGACAGTCATCGGCAAGGGGTTGAGAAGCCACAGGCTACAGTACCAGCATGCTGCAGTGCTGCCCAATCCTCGGAGATTTAGGATTCTATACATCAGATAAGCTGCAAGGACATCACAAATAATGAAGAGGAATTTCCCATATATCTCCGAGAGATAGACATTGGGTGTCAGGATCCAGGCCAGCAGTGGTGTGTAGCGGTAGGTTGCTCTCTTGTATGGGGAGGCCCTCTGAAAGTAAAATGCAGCAACATTAGAAAGACAGACTAGGTACTGAATGACCATGGATCAACATCATATTTAATAAACGTTACACTGATAAAGAAGGTTGGGTCTGTTATTGTAATACAAATAGTGTGTGTTATTTTAACAACAATAATGCTTGCAATTGATACAGTGCCTTATGTTGAAACATCTCAAAGTACTTCACCCTCCCCAGTCTCGACTCCAGCTCGCGTCCGAAACACTGATCATCCAGCGCCTTGGGACCTCCTCCCGATGTGAAATTATACAGGCAAATGTGACTCCTAATGTCCCACAAAGAATAAAGGAGTAAAAAACCAATTAATCTGTTCTATGATTATATAAGGAATATTGACCAGAACATTGGGAGAACTCCCTGCTTTTCTTTGAAATAATATCATAGGATAATAATGTCACACGATCTTCTAACTCAGAGGCGGGAGTGCTACCAATTGTGCCAGACTGACCAAGATTTACTATAATGTATAGACTGCATTTGGAGGCAAATTGTGCACAGTAATATCCCACAAACAGTCATGAAGTGAATGAACAGTTTTATCTGCAAGATTGTTGGCCATGACACTAAGAGAAACTCCCTTGTTTTTTTCAAATAGTGCCATGGGATCTTTAATGTCTACATGTCAGTTTAGTTTGGATACTCTTAAGCATGGTGATGGGTTTCGCATGGGTCAGATACCTGGTTTAGATTCCTGGTAGCGAGAAACCTTGGGCAAGTTTCCTTACTCCACATGCCTGACAATAATCTCTCAAGAACAAAGATAATAATAATAATTTGGTCACTCAATCCACGACTGTTCGTGGGACACTGTGCACAATTGGCTGCCGCGTTTCACCCGCAAATATACTGTTAATTCACTTTACAGCATATTCTGTGAAGCGCTTTGAGACGTCTAGAAGACGTGAAAAGCACTATATCAAATGCAAAGATCATTATTATTATTTTTATCTTGTTCTAGGGAAGAGAATTAGCCAGAATTTTGCATCCCTAGATTAATACAACTTGCAATTATATAGGAACTTTAATATAGGGTAGCATATCAATGTTATTCATTGTTTTACACAACCTTTTGAACAGTGTTTGGAAGATAGTTTTTGGGGTCAGCTGAGTGTCTGACACATGTAGAAACCCATTACCATGCTTAAGAGTATCCAAACCAAATTGAGAATTTGTATTCACTAATGGCTTCTCCTCCTGCCCTCGTACCGTCAGGTGTGGTATTCCGCAGGGCTCTGTTCTTGGTTCCCTTCTCTTTAATATCTAAAAATCCCTCACCGTGCTTAAAGGGTATCCAAATCAAACTGAGATTCCCATGCATCTCACCTACACATGGAAATCCCAGAGATAGATTGTTGGAATGGATTGCGCACTGGATTCCCTGGAGGGAAACATCCCGTTTACATAATTCTGGAAAGCAGGTTGGCAAGAGGCAAGACTCCAGGAGCCCAGAGTATGCATTGGCGGTACTGTTGAGGAGTCTAACCCACTAAAACTGCATATTATTTTGGGAGATAGAACATTTCACTTGCATAGAATGTGCATGTACTTATTTCTTTCGGACGAGGCCTGGACAGTCTGGCAAAGTACAAATCTAAATGCCCTCTTTGCAATAAATTGGGAGCGTCCGTGAATCAATTGAGCTGAACGTTGCTTCGCTGGCAGGGAACTGTCCACCGAATTTATAATTCTGGTAACTTTGGTTAACTCGTACGATATTTTACAGTCTTGCATTCGGCTGAAAGCAGCGAGGCGGGCCGTCTTGAATGTGCTGTACCTGGGTGATGTATCTGGCGGCATCAGTGAAGACGAGATAATCCACATCGGTGTACTTGACCGGCATGTGGCGGTCCTGGTAAAGCCCGTAAAAGACCAGGGCGACACGCGGGCAGAGGGCGGCTGTAAAGAGCCGCCACCCGGTCACCATTCCCTCCCAGTTGAACAACCCGCCCGGCAAAGGGGTCAGAGGCTAAAAACACGTTCGGAGCCCAAAGGCCACCAAACACTCGCCCCCGAAGTAGCCCAATACCACACGTGCCGCCTCCTGTGGATAGCAGAGTGGCCCGAGTTAAGTTAAGTGGACGTTTTTAAACCGTGCGAGAAAAGGTCTTCGAAGCGGGAGGGGGAGGGGGAGGAGGAGGGGGAGGGAGAGGAGAGAGAGGGGAGGAAACACGGTTCCCAGACTTCAAACCGAAAAAGAGTCAATCAGAGGCAAACCGCCCCGAAGACTCTTGTTTCACGCACAGCGCACAAAAACCCGCCCCGTTTGGGCGTGAAACCCGCCCCGTTTGGGCGTGAAACCCGCCCCCACGTTGGGGGGGCCCACATTCGCCGATTTACATCCAACCGAAACGACAACAGAAAGCCGTCAGCCGCCCCTCCCCCCACACTCAAGACACAAGACGCCCGGTGCAGCCCCGCATCACCCACCGCCGACAAGTTATTTTCCTTCCATTTTTTTTTTGGCGGTGACGGTGGTGGTGGTGGGGGGGGGGGGGAAGGAAACCGTTTTCCTCGGAGAAGGCGCGAGAGCGAGAGGAAGCGGCGATGGGCGCCGGACCGGAAGTAGACGCCTTTCGGCCAACCGGAAGCGAGAGAGAGAGAGGGAGGGCGGGAGCGCGTGGGAGGAGGAGGGGGGGGGGTGAGGTTGCGCATGCGCAGGCGCGGCGGCTGGCAAAACGGTCGGTTGGCAGTTGGCGGTTTGGCAGTTGGCGGCGCGCGGAGCCTCTGCGTCCCTCCCTCTCGAGCCGCTGTTGTCAGGTGATGGCTTATCAGCAGCACCAGTACCGACAGCAGCAGCAGCAACAACAGCAGCAGCACAACGGCCTCCAGGACCAGGGCTTCCTCTGGGCCGTCTTTCAGAGGTGAGAGCCCGGGGGTGTGCGGACATGTGAAATTCCCTCCACACACACACACACACGCCTCTCCTCTCCTCTGAGGCTGTCTGGGCCTCGGCCCGCAACCGGTCTCAGTCACCGTCACCCCCGGCGCCCTCTCCACCCCCGCACTCTTTTCCCTCCCCTTTCCCCCCACCCCACCCCCCGCCCTCCACACACACACACACACACACACACAGCCCGACCGACCGACCCTCCCTGCCTCAATCCCCCCCTCCGTCTGCCCTCTCCTCCTCTCACACTCCCTAACGTGTCTGAGTTCCCACTTGCCCGACATGTCCCGCTCGGCCCGGGGCCGCGCCTCTGTGGTGAGTTACAGGCCCCGCCCCTGTGCAGCAGTTCTGCCCCTCAGCCGATCCTCTACCGGATATGTTTCGGCTGTTGTTGTGCTCTCAACGCAGCCCGACATCCCCACATAGAAAGCTCTCTCTCTCCCCCCCCCCCCCCGACACACAGCTCTGGGCAGCTTATTTATGTCCGTAACTCTTGACTGTCCAGCGCCTTGGGACGTCCTCCCGACGTGAAAGGCGCTGATGCAAATGTAATCTTGTTGTTGTTGTTGTTGTACCGCCGTTGGCTGAAGTGAGTGAGTGGGTGGGTGGGGTGCGCGGAGCCCGCACTTCGAGCTGACCTTCCAAGTGCAGGGCACGCGGCTCCGCCCCGGATGCCTTCCTTTCAGGTGTAACCGAGGTCCTGCCCCGGTTAAAGCGGCGCCAAAGATCCCGGGATGCCATTCCCGAGACTCGCCTGCCGCCGGTGATCTCGGGTAGCGCTGATGATAGACCGGCCTGGCTCGATGACAGTACTTTCAGGGACGGACCCGTCTCTGGGAGCAGGGATTCTTCCCTCTGGATTCCTGTGAATCCTGCAAACCCTAATGGTTAGGTTGATCCTTATTGAGAAGCAGTGGAAAGCTGGCCAGGCTGCGCTCTTACTGACATGCTATGTGGTCTTGGCTAATTAAACTCTATCATTACCTCACTGAACGCACTGGAGTTTCCAAGCCTTGGCCCTCGCCAACTTGTGCCTAATACTTTCTGGAATTTGGTAAACAAGAGCGTTTCCTCTGGGAAGAAAATACGTTTTTTATTCCAGTCATACAGAAATTTCCATGAGTAGGTGGAATACCTCTGTGTGGAATTCTTTCTTTTGAACCCTCTTAAGCATCATGATGTACCAGACACCCAGTTGACCAAAAAAAAGGCACCATTTAAGACGAGAAGGGAACTTCTCTAGTGTCTTGGCCAACAATACCCCAAATAAAATTGATCATTAACTTTGTGGCAGTTTTTAGGATATTTCTAAATAGAATCATAATAGGATATTGTGTTAGGAAATCAGTGATCTCCGATCACCATTTCATCTCCTTTAACTCCTCAATCCCGCTCACCACTGTTACCAAATCCACCTCCATCTTCTACCGCCCCTGGAACAAAATTTCCCCACAATCCCTCTCTGCTGCCCTATATTGATCTGAACTCTTACCCCTCTAGCCTACCTCCCGCATTGATTTATCCACCTCGCTCACTCTCCTCCGTAACTCCCTCTCCACCACTCTTAATTCCCTTGCCTCCCAAACCGCCTCCTACCCACGAACCTCACCCTGGTACATAAGCACCTCCACTCCCTCAAGGTTCAGGTGCGGACTGCCGAAAGCACCTGGCTCAAATCTGATCTAACGGTCCACCGGCAAATCTGGATGGATCACATCAAAATGTACTGCTCCGTCCTCGTCTCCGCCAAATCGTCCTTCTACACCAAGATAATCTTGGAGGCGAAGGACAATACCAGGCTCCTATTCTCCACCACCAAGCGGCTCCTCCATCCACCCTCTGATGCCTCATTCTCCTCAAGCTGGGCTGTGAGGAGATGCTGGATTTCCTCAAGTCCAAAATCTAGGGGATCTGTTCAGCTACCTCTGCCCTCCCAACCGCCACTCCCTTCCCATCTCCCGCCACACTCCAACCCCTACCCATCCCTACCTCCTCGGAACTGTCTCCCCCTCTTCTCTCATCACCCCATATGCAGCATGAAACACACAACCTGCTCCCTTGACTCCATCCCCACCCCTCTCCTACCTCCCAGCTTCAACACCTCGCCCCTCTACTCTCCGACATCATCAATCTCTCCCTATCATCTGACACCTTCCCACCCCCCTAAAAGCAGCTATAATCACCCCCATTCTGCTCCGTATCTCCCTCCTGTCCCGCCCTACCATTCGTGGCCGGGTTTTCAGCTTCTATGCCCCCACCCTTTGGAACTCCATCCCACAATTCCTTTGCCTTGTTCCCTTGCTCCTTCAAGATATGACTCAAGACCCTCCTTTTCGACCGTGTGTTCAGCTATCCTCCTACCTCTCTTCCCTCCCTCATCCCAACCCTGCCCCCGTCCCCACACTCGGGTCCTGAACCCCGGCTGTTCAGCTCTTTGGGACGTTAAGGTAGAGATGAACACAATATGAACCATTTGGCTGCTGAGTTTTCATATACACTATTACTACACTCAACTGCAATTTCATATAAAAACTTTGAGATCTTTTGATTTTGTGGGCTGTACAATACAATACAGACATGCGTTTATATAGTCTTTTCACAGTGAGAGGACAGTCCTGGCTCTGCGCTTGAGCTGGGGTTGGTACTTGAATGAGGTGGGGAGAAGAAAGATGACCAAAGTTGCGGTCAAAGAGGAAATTCTTGAGACTGACCTTGAAAGAATAATGGAGGGAGTATATCAAGTACTAGGATTATTAATGCATTATTATGGTGGTTATAATTGTTGCTGATTCTGTTATTTATTATTATTGTCCTGTATTTTATCTGTACAGCTTTAAATGGTCAAAGGTGCATTTTTAAAGTCTGTCATATTAAAAGTTAATTTTAAAGCTTTGAAAGCAAATTTTAGATTTAAAAGTCATTTTGTAGTTTGCATTAAACTATTATGTTTTTCTTCTCTGTATAAATATCATGCAGAGTACTGATCAGGAGGAGTTACAATTTCCTTATCTGTCACAATACAATACAAAATTCCATTTGTATAGCGGCTTTCACATCACGAGAATGTCCCAAGGCCCTGGACAGTCAGGGATCCGCACCCGAGCAGGTGGTTGGGATCAGGAGGAGTGGAGGGCAGGGAAAGTAAGGATAGGAGGGTGACCGAAGGTACGGTTGAGGAGGAGGGGCTTGAGACGGGTCTTGAAGGAGACAAGGGAGGAGGTGAGGCGGAGAGGCTGTGGGATGGAGTTCTAGAGAGGAAGCAGAGAGGCTGAAAGGCGGCCTTCAATGGTGGGATGGGCAAGGCAGGTGACTTGAAGCAGGCCGGAACCCGCTGAACGGAAAGAGCGGACAGGTTGGTACAGAATCAGGAGGTCACAGAGGTAGGGAGGAGCAAGACCATGGAGGGTTTTGAAGGCTATTATACTTTATAATAGAAAGGTTAATAACAACAATTTGCATTTATATAGCACCCACGTGGGGTAGTATCTCGGAGCACTTGACTAATGCACTAGAAAGTCAACTAGTTTAACTTTTAAGTAATGGACAAAGAGTGTCTGGCTGTAAGCCCCCTTTCCAGAATCTACAGAAGTGACTCATCTACGAGTATGAGGAAGATTTACAACAACAACAAGATTACATTTGTATAGCGCCTTTCACGTCGGGAGGTCGTCTCAAGGTGCTTTACTTAGTTTACTAATGATATTCTTGTGTTTAAATGTTCAAATTTTATTTTAAGGGAGCTAAAGCATCTGAGCATTTGGTAAGATTTGTAGTTACAAACTTGTATGCATATGTATTGGAAATTTTTAGCTTTAATTAAAAAGGATGTGAATTATAATACATTTTAAATGCTTTTCAATCTTTGGATTTTGAAAGCCTCAAGTTCTTCAGCTGTGATTTGTACATTTTTTAAGTTTCTGGAATGAAGCTTTGTAATGTAAACAAACATGATTATAATCGGCAGTATTCATTTACATGGCCTTTGATAGCTGAGTGGAGAGTTTTCTACAGTTGCTAAGCAACATCGTTGTGTTTGGAATAGTAGCCGACTGGAAGCAGTCTGGATCCTGTTGTGAAACATGAATTATTTTGAATTTAATTTGAGGTCATGGGCTTTCTTGTGACCAAACTACACCTGGCTACATCTTCCTCCACGTGGTTACATTGTACACCTCCACCCCTCCCTCTCACTGGCCCAACTTAATACATTTTATCATTTCTCCTTTGCAATTCTCCATCCTCATCTCCCACATGATGCTCACTACCCTTTCCTTTGACCTTTTTTACTCCCACTGTCTTAACTACCTAATTCCCCCTCCTCTACCCTTTATTTGTGGAAATAGTCGATCTTTCCTTATCTTCCGCTCTTTCCCCCTCCCTTTCAAAACAGTTGAAATCATCCCCTTAAACAATCCATCTTTGACCCTTGAATACTCTCCAGCTACCAGCTAATCTCCAGCCTGCATTTCATATCCAAAGTCCTGGAATGAGTTACTGCTTTGCACCTTCTGTTCACTTCTTGCTTGAGTCTCTCCAGTTCAGTTTCCATTCTGCCCAAGACACTGATACAGGCCTTATCAAAGTCACAAGTTATGTCTTTACATTCTATGACCTGTGCCATAACCCGCTCTGCCTTCCCCCACCTCCTCAATACTCCCCAGCTCTGCCACCGCCTCACCCCTCGAGCTGCCAAAACCCTCATTCACGCGTTCATCACATCTAAGCTCAATTATGCTCCCTGCTTATCGGGCTTCCCAACCTTTCCCTCCACAAGCTGCAGATCATCCAGAACTGCAGCTTGTGCCCTCTCCCGCACCAGGCTCTGTGACTCTATCACCTCCGCCTTTGTCTGACTCCACAGGCTCCCCATCCCCCAGAAGATAGAGTTCAAAATCCTTGTCCTCGCCTTCGAAGCATCCACGGCTTTGCTCCTTCCTACCTGTGTGACCTGCTAACTCTGTATCAATCTGTCCACCCCTCTGCTCATCAGGCTGTGGCCTGCTCCACGTCCCCACCATTGGCGGTCGGACCTTCAGCCTCTCTCCATCCCACATTCCCTTTGCCTCACTCCCTCTCTTGCTCCTTCAAGGCACATCTCAAGACCACTTCTTTGACCGTGTCCTCGGCCACCCTCCTACCTCCCCTGCGCTCCATAGACCCTGATCCTAACCCCTGTTTTCCCCCCCCAGCTCCGTCCCCCCGGCTTGGGCAACATGAAAAGCACTATGCAAATATAATTTTGTATTGTATTAATTGCTTATTTTTCTTAGGGTTGATCGAGACAGAAGTGGGGTGATATCTGAAAATGAGCTTCAGCAAGCTTTATCCAATGGTAAGTCAATACATTATAATAATAATCCTTGCATTTGATATAGCGCTTTTCACGTCAGGAGGACGTCCCAAAGCGCTTCACAGAATACACTGTAAAGTGAATTGACTGTATATTTGTGGGCGAACGCGGCAGCCAATTGCGCACAGCAATGTCCCACAGACAGTCATGGATTGAAAATGACCAATTTATTGTTGGTTTTTTTTGAGAGATTATTATTAGGTGTGTGGAGTAAGGAAACTTGCCCAAGGTTTCGCCCTGACATGCCTGGAATTGAACTCAGGTCTCTCACTTGCAAAGCGAGTGCTCTAACCACTGAGCTACCCATCTTGACATATTTTGCTGACTGAATTATTTTGGGGGCAGCTGGGTGTCTTGATACATGCAGAAATCCATCACTTCAGAGTATCCAAACTAGGCTGAGAAGTTGATGCATGCCACTCTCACATGGAAATTCCCATGATTGGAATATAATGTGCACTGTCTTCCCAGAGGATCACATCAAACTTACCTAATGTCAGAGAGTGCAGGTTTACAAGAGACAAGGCTTGGTTACCTCAGGAGTGTCTGTTAGGGTACTGATGGAGTTTAACCAGTTAAAACCCTGTAGCTTGCTGTTGATATCATTATATGGAAAGCTTCCTACTGCTTGTCCACCATTTAAAATTAGAGCTAAGCCATTTAGGAGTGACATTAGGAGGCAGTTTTACATCCAAAGGGTAGTGGAAATCTGAAACTCTCCTCCAAAAGGCCGTGGATGCTGGATCCATTCACATTTTCAAGACTGAGGTGGACACATATTTGTTAGGTCAGGGGAAGGTTGAGGGCCCAGCTCTGCCACTGTCTCCCATCACAGGCCGTCGAAACCCTCATACATGCTTTCATTACATCGAGGCAAACTCATTGCTTGTCGGCCTCCCCAACTCCTCCCTCCATAGGTTGCAGACCATCCAGAACTCTGCAGCCGTGTCCTCTTCTACATTAGGCTCCGCAACCCTATCACCCCCATCCTCATCCAACTCCACTTGCTTCCCATCACACAGAGGAGACAGTTCAAGATCCTGGTCCTCACCTTCATTGCCCTCCTCTGCAACCTCCTAACTCCCTACTATTCTGCTCGCTCCCTCCACTTAGCGGGCTCCTTCCAGCCTGCTTCACGTCCCCCACCTCACTCGCCCCACAATTGGCAGGCGGGCGGGCCTTCTGCCACTCTGCACCCACCCTCTGGAACTCCATCCCACAATCCCTCTTCCTTACCATCTTCAAGACCCATCTCAAGACCCTCCTCTTCGACCATGCTTTTGATCTCCCTGCTTCACCTCCACCCTCCCTGACCCCCCAGCTCGGGTCCATAACTCTGTCTGTCCAGCGCCTTGGGACGTCCTCCTGATGTGAAAGATACTTTAAATTTTGTTGTTGTTGTCAGGGAATTAAGGGATACGGGGCAAGGACCGATAATTGATGTACAGATCAGCCATGATCTTATAAAATGATGCAACAGGTTCGGGGGCTGAGTTGCCAACTCCTGTTTCTATGAGAAAATCAACAACAATTTACATTTAAGAGCTGATTCGCATTTACCATTTAGCTTTAAATATAGAAGTAAAAATTTTTGGGAGTGAACAGTTTATTCTCTAACTTACAAAGCCAAAAAGACATACATTAATAGTGCAGGGAGGATTTCCATTCCCAGCTCTGTTTAACAGTAGGGGTTTTGGATTGGATTGAGCTCAGCCTGGACAGTGATGGATCCAACCAAGGTGGAAAGAGGGAAACCAAGGAGACAAGAGTTTGAAAGCTTGGATAGACTGCAAATTGCAGTGAGGTGAAAATCACACAGGAGAGATAAAAATATTATTATGACTTTACCTTTCAATGAGATACTGAAAAGGAGTTGGTGGAAAATGCTGCAGAATGAAAATAGTTATTGTCATTTGTAGTTTAAGTTGTCAAGGCTCAAAATAGAACTCAAATTGTCTCACTTTGACAGTCTGCCCATTTCATAGTAAAAATGTGAGCAGGAATAAGCTTAAAATATTTTTGGGGAAACTTAAAAACTGATACCGATACTCTCTAGTTTGCACTAACTTTGTGAACTTTTCTCTGCTCAGCAATTTTTCGAAGGACATTGGGATTGTGCCACAACTTGATGTGTCTGAGTGACCTTCCAGAAGGCTCCTCAGTAGCCAAATACTTGCTTGAATTTATAAAGATTAATGTGCTTTATTGTATATTGGTTGTAGATTTGGCACTTTTCCCAACAATAACAACAACAATAAATTGCATTTATATAGTGCCTTTAATGTTGAGAGGATGTTCCAAGTTGTTGAATATTCAAGAGTTTGCCCCCAAGCTGGGGGCTGGAATCAAGAGCGGTGGAGGGCAAGGGGGGTGGAGGTGGGAGGATGACCAAAGGTACAATCAAAGAGGAAGTTCTTGAGATGGTCTTGGAGGAGGTGAGGTTAAAGGAACTCCAGAGTGGAGTTCCAGAGGATGGGGGCGGAAAGCCTGAAGGCCCCGCCGATGGTGGGCAGGGCGGGGGACATGGAGCAGGCCAATGGCGACCGAGTAGAGGAAGCGGGCAGGTTGGTAAGGTTTTAGTAGGGTTTTAAACAGTGAATTCCCAAATTGAATTATCGCCTTAGTAACCAAAATGCTTTGGAAATTTCTATTCTCTGGAGGTTGGATTCTTTAAAAAAGCTGTCCTGAAAATTAATTGTGAATGCTAACTTAATTGCTTTGCAGTGAAAGCATTTCGTAATGCATTGTTTATAACTGTAAATTACAGGGTGCCCCAGTCATGACAACAACCCCTCACACAGGGTAGCACTTGGCAATAGTGGAATGTGACCCCGAACCAGGGGCAGGATTTGGTGCATTAACTCCTGTGTATAAACAAAGAGCAAAAAAGACTGCTTTCTGGGTTGTCAGATTGCTACTGACATCACTTTGGTTGTGTTACATTTCCTTCGTGAAGTAATGTCAGCAGTGCTTCCTAAAGTGGATGGAGCACATGCCTCTCCTCAGGAACTGACAGTGGTGCTACCTGCATATAGCTCACATGTGTGCAACACAAAGATAGTGTTGGCCTTGACTTGATGACAAATTAATCTAATTAACCTGCAAACAATTATGATTGTGGGATTTCATATTCAATTGCATGTAGAATCTTTTTTGTATTTGTAAGGGTTCATTTAAATGTGTGATCCTGTGGTGAAGTAAGGACTGACACAAATGTTGTACAAAAATACAGATGTTTATTAATTCAGATTGGTAAGTTATAAGTAATTAAAAGAATACATCACAATAATGCAATTCAAGGATGAATTTCCAGAATGCAGGGCATATTGTATAAACGTTCAGCCAGGGTTACAGACATTATTATTATTGTTGTTGTTGTTATTATTATATGCAGAAGAGCTGAGTTTGCAGTTGGAACGTAAGAGAAAAACTTTCTCAAAAATGGAATATTAAGTAAGGTGATTTTTGTTTTTCAGGAACATGGACTCCTTTTAATCCGAAGACCGTCAAGTCTCTCATTGGTAAGTATCTGATATTTAATTGGGTGAAGATAGCCATTTTAGGATATGGTCAAATTCAAGCACAGAGAATAACTTTTTTCTCTTTGTGTGGTATTCAGTACTAGTTTTGATGAATTGTTGAGGTTTGATATGATGGTAACTTTAATGAGAAATTAAAAGAATAATATAATGTGGTTCAGTACTTTGATGTGCAAGCAGATGTTCAGAGGTTTGAGATATGAGTCACAGGGCTGTAGGCACTTCTAACAACTTTGGCTGATTTAGCAGCTCCAGCCAGGAAATTGGTACCAGAAAGCTGATATTAATTTGCTTGGTCTAGTTCAGGGTCGTCCAAATGGCGGCCTGCGAACCATTTCGCTACCCAATATACCAAGTAGATATCTTTTATTTTGGTTTTAAATCATAAAAATTAACTTGATGCCTATGTTTTCCATTCCAGATGATTGTTATTTTATTCAATAATAATCCTTGCATTTTTAAAAATAATTGTTTGGCATTTGATATAGGAAGGATGTCTCAAAGCACTTCACAGGATTTACTGTGAAGTGGAGTGATTGTTTATTTTGGGGGCGAAATGGGACAGCACACGTAGGCACAACAATGTGCCATAAACAGAGGTGAAGAGTTACCAGTGTTATCTAGGGAATTTGTTAGGGCTATTACATTATGTGCATTCTAATTCATTTAATTATTTATTTCACTTTAATGTTTAATCTGGATTTAATGATTATTCTTGCATAGACACAATTTATTGACAAAATTGATTTGAAATTTAATTTTTATATTGTCTGTTTAAAGTTTGCATTGTAACTAAAATAAAGTGAAATTAACTAATAGTTAGACAATTTAAAACCTAGGATTTCTATATGATTCTTACGGGTTATGTTTCTGGAAGGGAAACACAAAAATATTGCTTATGTGGCTCGCGGATGTTTCTCAAATCCAGCATTTGGCCCTCAGCAGCCAAAAGGTCGGACTGTCCTGGTCTAGCTGGAAGCACAACCCAACGCAATACTGCTGTATTGCACCGATAATTAATCTTAAATACGTGAATGTTGATAATAAACTAAGTAGTTGTAAGGTTCTACATTTAATATCATTATTATTATAAACCTAGGCATGTTTGACAGAAATAATCGTGGAGGAGTGGATTTCAATGAATTCCTAGGTCTTTGGAAGTATATAAATGATTGGCAGAATATCTTTCGAAACTATGATCGAGATAACTCTGGCTTCATTGACAAAAATGAACTCAAACAGGCCTTAACAAGTTTTGGTAAGTAAATTGCTGGAATTGTATAATAAAAGTTTACTCTGGATTTATTCAACTGTGAACATTTTGAGATTAAAGCTTTTTTTCATTTTGATGTGTTTGTTGTGATAGATTCCTCCTTTAAAAGAACGTAGCTGGCTAATATACATTAGGTGCATTAAATGTTTCCTAGTTGGGTAAAGACACTACCAAAAGAAGCAGAAACCAATGCATTTAAATATGCCTCTGTATTGTACAATAATCTCCTGGATTCTGGTATAAAGCAGTAGTCCATCTATGCTAAATTAGCTGATCTCAGCTAAGGCAACAGTAGCAGTACAATTGGCTTCCATGCCTCTTAAACTAGAGATGGTAAAATCAACAACAATTTGCGTTTATACAGTGCTCTTCATGTAGGATTGGATAGATACCTACTCAGCACTATTTAGTGCTACTAGGAATGTGCGTTTGGATGTTGCATTGATACTGAATTAATTAGGCTTTAGTGCAGTGGTGACCAGTCTTTAGGGTCAGCCAACAAAATACATTTTCTTGATTGAATATTTCTTGATTAATAATAATCTTTGCACTTGATATGGCACCTTATCACTTTTTCGAGATGTTTCAAAGCGCTTCACAGAATATACTGTAAACTGAATTGGCTATACATTTTGTGGTAGAAAATGCTTATCATGAGTAAATTTAAGCAAATAATGGCCAGTTGAAAGAGATTTGGTATTTCTCACTCTGAAATCTGATTATGCACTAGTAACTAAGTTGTGCAAACTAGCTCTTTAATATTTTTTTTAAAATGGTCTCCCTAAAGGATGTTGGGCAGTACATTGGCAAAACAATCTCCAGGTGGTCTCAGATGAAGAGATGATGGTTATGAGGATAAATTCTCCCATCCACCACGGTTTCCTAAGCAGAGTAGATAATAACCATTCACTATTAAAAATGTAAATGTCACTTGAGGGCAACTAAGGTGGTCTCATCCACCCCCCCCCCCAACCTTCCGTTTGAACCTCAGGTGGATTATTAAAAGACTGGAAATAAATCAAGTTTTAAAGTAACTAATTTGTATCTATATTGATCTAACCTGTCTGCTGTTTTAGAAAAGTACATAGATATATAATTTTAACATAATGGTGATTTAAGGCTGCACTGCTGAAACCTTTCAATACTATGCCTTTGGTCACTAACAATACTTTTCTCGAAGGGTACCGTCTGTCAGACCAGTTCTACGGTATTCTGGTTAGTAAATTTGACAGGCAGGGAAGAGGACAGATAGCCTTTGATGACTTCATTCAGTGCTGTATTGTCTTACAGGTAAGTTTAATTTTTCTATGCACAGGTTCATATTTCAGTTATTCTGCATTTAAATGAGCAAATCTAAATGTAAAATACTACAGCGATGAGTGAATCAGTAAGGTTGTAACTGGTAAAAGGTTTAAATGATGGAAACCCCTCCTATGCAGATACTTTTGTGCTAAACATATTAGTACACAAGCAGCAAAAGTGGAAAGCACTGAACTGAAGAGATTTTATAAATACTGTATCTCCACGGAAGTAGCTGCGTGGATTGTATTGCAAGGGAGCAGTGACATCTTCAAGTTACTTGGCAATGAATAACTCGTGTTTTGCACTTTTGTTGTGATATTGTTAAACTCTAAGGTGTATGCTCTCTCATAATATATAGCAGAATAAATCCTGATATGTGACAAAACTTATTGCGTGCTGAGCCATGTGACTTGATCACAAGAGGGTGGGGAAGGAAAGGTCAGGAGTCTGAATTCAAACCTGAATCACACTCCGATTATTTCATGTTGCATCCTCCCTAAAATATGTTTCTATTTGACAGAGGCTGACAGATGTGTTCAGACGATATGATACAGATCAGGACGGTTGGATTCAAGTTTCTTACGAGCAGTATCTTACTATGGTCTTCAATATAGTATGAATTTGTAACATTTTGACTAACAATCAATGACATTTCTGAAGTCATTTGCATTAAACATGAGTCTTATTGCTAACTTCCACAACCTTGGTTGAAACTTGCCAGCATAAACCTTGAGGCAAAAGCAAAATCTGCATGTAAATAGTTTAAAATGCACATATTAATTGTAGAATGAAGAGAAACATTTACTGTATTGCTTATTTTTTAATATTTGTAATAGCTTGTTGACTGCATGCAGATGTGCCATATCACGTACCCTGTGCTGCTGTACTGTTTTGACAAGTATATTAGATGCACAGCCTCAATGATTGCAAAAAAAAAGCTTATTTTATGCATGGTGCCTTATTAAATCTAAACAAGAGATGGATGATACTGTGACATTCAGTTGTTCAGTAAAGAATGAGTAATATGTCCACAAATGCCTAGGTTTGCCAAGTGATAACTTAAGTCTAAGTGTTTGTCCTATTTAACATTCCTTCATGTTCTAAATCAAGGTACAATTAAGTTACATAGATTTGTGTGGGAAAAATTGCAGTAAGCCAATAAGAAATGAACTGTCAAGCCAATATCAATGTGATGAAGCAATATACTTAGCAGTAGACATGGCTCTTAATCTTATTTCATATAAAAGTTAATGCTTTATGTAAAGTAGTGCCAATGGTTGTTTACTGTTACATTTATAATGGAAATCAATTGCAAATCTTTCAAATAAATCTTACTTTTCGGTATATTGTGTATTTTCAATGGCATTCTGTTTGTCTAAATTTTTATTGTTTAGGTGTGGAACATTTTATTTCTAGGTCCTACATATTGGGTAATCCAGTTTGGAGTGAGATCAGTAAAGCCACTACTTACAAAAATGGCTTGGTACCTCGTCCAGTTCAGGCAGAAGCCGGCCCTCCTAAAACTACAGCTCTGCTCTTTGAGGCCCTACAATTCACTTCCTCAACAGACCATTCATGCAGTTGGTGGGATTGTAAAAGAGGCTAAATAATAATGATGATAATCCTTGCCTTTAATATAGAGCCTCATCATGTCTTGAGACTTCTCAAAGTGCTTCACAGAATATACTGTATATTTTGTGGGCAGAACACAGCAGCCAATTGCGCACAGCAATCAATGTCCCACAAACAGTTGGGGATGGAGTGACCACATTTTTTTTNGAAGGGATTATTACCCCCGGAAAAGTGATCCGCCACTTAACTGACAACCGGGTTCCTACTTACTGCGAGGTAAACAGGCATATGGTGTAAGGAAACTTGCCCAATGTTTTGCCCAGCCCAGGAATCGAACGCATGCGAGACGACAACAACAACTTGGATTTATATAGCGCCCTCCACGCCAGACGGCGTCTCTGAGCGCTTTGAGCTACTGGACTACACAAGTAGATGAACACTTGCTCGTAAGGGTATTTGGGTGTGGAGAAATGGTATGCAAAAAATGGAATTGTTACAAATCAGGTATGATCAAGAAAATGCAGAACAGGTTCAACAGCCTATTCCTGTTGCTGTTCCTATAAGTAAGTTATCTCTAGACCTGAACAAACCAATTACTTTGGAAGTTTATTGAAGCCCCACTTAATTATTACACAATCAATACTGAAGGATCTGGTTTCAGGTATATTTATTTTTTAATGCTGCAATTCTCTTTACACTGGAATTATACAAAGTAAAACTTTCCAATATTGGAAAACCTGGCATTTGATACATATGCCTGACAATATTTCTATGAAATTTATTTCTGCATTTAGTTATAGCACATTGACAAGTAGTGTTGCAGGGAACAAAATACAAATTTTCTTTTAAATGAAAAGGTTTTAAAACTAACTGCAATTTCAGAAAATCTGATTTGGTCAAAATCAGTGACCATTTGTTTGTATACATATTACAAGTTCTACTAACTGATATTTTTGGACTATGTATAAGATCAAATGTAACTAACTTCAATCTAAAACTTCAGTAGAGATTTAACTAATTGCAATATGTGCAAATATAAGTTACTGGATATTTATAGACTCACTGTAATACTAGGTCCTAGAGAATGTAAGGATAATGAATACTACTACTTGCATTTTGATATAGTGTCTTATCACATCTTTCAAGCATCTCAAAACACTTCACAGAATATTACTGTCAAGTGAATTGACTATATTTTGTGGGCGAAACACAAACAGTCAGGGATTGAGTGACCAATTTATTTTTTTTGTTGAAGGAATTATCATCCTGGAAAAGCGATCCGCCAATTGGCTAACAACCGACTTCCTACCTACTGCTAGGTAAACAGGCATGTAGAGTAAGGAAACGTAAGTAACTTGAGTAAGGCTCAATATTTCGCCCTGCTGGGAATCAAACCCAGGTCTCTCACTTGCGAGGCGAGTGCTCTAACTACTCTGTTGCAGGTATGATTCCCATTCTGTGCTGAGTATGCTATCAATAGGGCAGATGGGACACGATCTTCAGTTCCAACACCTTTTGGTTAGGCAGGGAAAATCCAATTGTTCCCGATCATTATCCAAAGATCTGCAAGAATATGTGAGATGTGGATTATTTTGGTTGACCAGATAAATCTTGTTTTTGACAATTGAATAGCCTGCCAATACTCAGGCTGTCTAGGCTCAAACAAAATTTATGGTAATTTGAACAAAATACCTAAGAATGAATCTTCCCTCTTCTCATACAGTGGAATGCTATACATCAACATGTCATTAGTCTGCATGCTAATTTTAGGGCTGTAACGTGAGCAACAAATAAATGATAAAAACAAGTTACTGGTTGGGTATTGGAAAACAATTTGAACTAGCATTTATCGCACCTTAAATTAGCAACACAGGTTGCCAGTTGTAATCTACAGTATCCCAGTTTGAATCCTGGGATTTTCAGTAGTTAGTAACTGACAAGGTTTTTTTTGGGGGGTCAGCCATCACATGCATAAGAGTATCCAAACTAAACAGAATTCCAATCATTCCACCTATAAGGTAGATTAAATACTAATGGATGTACTGAAGGCAAACTTAAGACTTGGGGGCAACTACATTAACAGCTGAATGAAGCAGCATTAAAACGCAATCACAATTTTGTAGGTGCAATTTATATTCAATAATGGCAGGATTTGAGAAAAATAAGTGATTTGCAGCAATGTTAACCTGTCCCCAGGAGTCTGAAATATCCATTTCTGCAAGAGTCTGTGAATTTCCAATGTAATTGTCTTCAGTGTTTGGCAGCTTTATTTCTTTGCCGTCTGTGTACCAGTGTGTGTGTATATATACATTATATATATAGACACACACACACTGGTACGTTGACCTTGAATCCAGAATTGAAAGGAATCTTGTACCGACTTGTTTAATTTGCAAAAATTCAAATGCTTTAATACTGCATTAAATATAAATCAAACACAAGGATGTCAAACTTCATTGAGTTTCCAAGGATTGACCAAAAATGTAGGTCTCTACCTACTTTAAGTCCACACATTAATTTCCATCTTTCCACCTCACTTTGTCACGATTTAGCAGTGTTCACCAGATGGGAGTAGCAGTCTCCTGGGCCCTGTGTTTATGAATTCTTTATCCAATATGAACAAATGATTCCCTTTTAAATTGGCAAAAGATTAAGAATCCATTTAAACTTTAATTCACTATCATGGTGAGTTGTTTTTAGTGGCTTCCTGTGCAACTTTATGCACTAAAACAAGGAAGCACAGATTCAGCTTGTGCTAAAATCATACCACCATCTCAAACTTTCATTAAGTATTATCTCTTTCCGGATGCTGTAATTGGTTGACCAACCCAGGTTGTAGGTGCTGTGGAAACAAAAAGTTGTATATTTTAAAACTTAATAACTGCTATTCCTATAATAGGTAGAATCAACTATATCACTTCAAAACTGCAGTTACTGCTTTACCAGTGCATAATAATCGTTACATTTGGTATAGTGTCATTTATATCAGAAAGGCATCCCAAAGTGCTTCATAGAATATACTGTAAAATTCAGCGACCTTGTTTTGTGGGCAAACGTGCTACCACCACAGTACTGCTCATCGTTGTGCAACACTAAAAAAATTAAATGATAAAAAGTTTCTCTTGGGTGCAATATTAAACTATGTGGTCACAGAGATGCAACACTTAAGCAAGTGTTCAAGTAGAACATACTACAAAACGGCACAACTATCTATAGTTCATGTTGAATATTCTGATATAGCAGTGTCACAGTAGACCCGCACTCAAGAGAACCTACTCAATTAGGGGCATATTCTAAAAGGGGCAAACTGTCTATAGAATGGCCCATCTCTGCCCTTTATCATAAACAAAGGGACGTTACATAAATTGTAACAGGAAGTAATGTTAAGCATTATTGATCTTATTTTGTAAATTGATATTTACTTTAAACGAAAGGTGATACTATATATAAACGCAAATTATTCAATTCTTGTTGAAGCTGCTTTAGATGAAGTTTCACACACGTTAAGAAACAAGCGAAAAATCCATTGGAACTTTGCATGAAAAAGATTTTCAAGAGATTAGAACAACAAAATTACATTTGTAAAGTGCCTTTCACGTCAGGAGGTCGTCCCAAGGCACTGAACAGTCGGGGATTGGGACAGGGGTGTGGGGGTTGGGATGAGGGAGGGCAGCTGAAGGCACGGTCAAAAAGGAGGTTCTATGAGTCTTTCCCTGAAGGAGGCAAAGGAGGGAGCAAGGCGAAGGGATGGTGGGATGGAGTTCCAAAGGGTGGGGGCAGAGAAGCTGAAAGTCCGACTGCCGATGGTCAGGTTGGAGCCTGCTGAATGGAGGGAGCGGACAGGTTGATAGGGCGTCAGCGAGGTAAGGAGGGGGCAAGGCCGTGGAGGGCCTTGAAAGTGAGGACAAGCATTTTGAATTCTATCCTGAGGGATGGAAAGTCAGTGGAACCAGGAGAGGGAGAGGGTGATGGAGCCTGGTGCAGGAGAGGAAACGAGCTGTAGAGTTCTGGATGATCTGTAGCTGGTGGAGGGAAGAGTTGGGGAAGACTGACAAAGGGAGTTTCCGTAGTCGAGCCTTGAGATGACAAATGCATGTATGAGGGTTTTGGCGACCTGAGGGGTGAGGCAGTGGCGGAGTTGGGCAACGTTGCAGAGGTGGTGGAAGGCAGAGTAGGTCGTGGCACAGATATGTGGAAGACAGTTGAGGGCCGGACAAGATGCCCAGGTTCCTGTCTAGCTTGGTGAGGTGGATGCTGATGCCGCCAGTGCCTGAGGTGTGGAGGGCAAATGAATGGGCTTCAGTCTTGCTGACATTCAGCTATAGAAAGTTGGCTTGCATCCAGGACTTGATGTCTGACAGAACAGTCTGTCAGGACGTTAGTTGTCCTGGAATCGAGGGTGGAGGCAGAGAGATAAAAGTATGAGTCAGCCAACAGGAGTGGGGACAAGCTTTTGAAAACTGAACTGAAGGCAAGATTTATTGACAATTTACATTTGAAAATGTTAATATTTCCTGATATTCATATATGAATGAACATTATTATTCCCAGCACATGTGAATTCCCATTTATAAACTCACATAATTTAGTTCATTCATTTATTGCCATGTATTCAGAAAGCGAAACTTACACTGTAGAACATGATGTTGACGAGGATTGCTTGCACTACTTCCAAAAGAAGAATGAAAGTTGTGAATAGTTTCCTGGAGAATTTGTCTCTCACGTCCCTGTGTGTGTGTATATATATATTTTGAGAAAAACAAGAACATTTATATATACCTGTGAAATCAGATAACGCTTGCATTCAAAAATCATGCAAATAGGAACATATTTTAAAAAATTCATCCAGATAATACACAACTCATGTGAGGAAGACTAGGATTAGTAATAGTAATGAAATTAAATGACAACCTAATCAGTTTTACCCATTACTTCAATGCATTTATCTTAATCAGATGAATTTAGTAAATTCTCAGCACAGCTGAAACATAGAATATATAGAAGCAAGAGCTTATCAGAAATTGGTTAGCATGCAAAATGGAACCAATTCCTATCAGCAGTGCATACAGCAAAGTGATTTTACAGTTCAAAATGAACCCATGCCAATAAAAGCTCTTATCAACATTCCTTCACAGAGGCAAATTAAATTGACTTCAACAACAGAATTTTTTGAGTAATATATTATATGTACTGGCACCTTTCCAGCATTTAATTCGGAGATAGCAGCGAGAATCTGTTGTCTTGATCCATCTGTTTTTATACCCAGCTCCTTCAAATCACCATCAGTCAGTGTAAGGAATGCTTCCATATCCACCTGCAAAGAACATTTGATACAATGGAATAGTTCAGCAAAAGTAAAACGTAGTTGCTAAATACATTCTTGCATTTTATATACTCTAACACAATGCAAAGCAATCCCACAAAAGTAATAAATAATTTTGCATTTAATATAGTGTCTTATTACACTGATGAAACATCAGGATTCTTACTGTGAATTATTGGGACTGTTTACTTGTAGGCAAACAAAACAGCCAATTTGCACGCATCAATGTCCCAAAAAACAGACATGACTGACCAGTTGTATCTGGAAGATTGTGGGCCAGACACTGGAGAAACTTTCTTCCTTCTTTAAATAGTGCTATGGGATGTTTAACATCCATATGAACAAACAAATTCAGTAATAGTGACAGAACTCTATTGTTTAGATTATCCTCCTCCATTATTGCAGAAACCTTTATTCTACTGTAAACTAATAATAATAATCCTTACATTTGATATAGCACCTTATGATGTCTTCAAGAAACCTCAAAGTGCTTCAAGAATATTATAAAGTGCAATGACTATATATTTTAAGACGTTCTATGAGTGTTCTATGCACTCGTAGAACGCTGATAATTATGGTACACAAAAAAATGCCTTAAATAACAGTTCCTGATTCGAATGACACTAAAACTCATTTAGACAATAATGTGGGGAAATATGCAGTTTGTGATGCGATAATTATCAGTGTTGAATAAATTCTAGATGGGCTTTTGGGAGGAAGCCATTCCCCAGAAGTTGGAAATTGGAGCATTCAATCTCAACATTAACTAACTACAGAACAAAACAATCACTTTTTATATCCCTGAGGTAATTAGCACAAACTGCATAATTTCAATCCCCCTCCCCATATTTGTAATAGGTATTCATTTAAGTTGCTCCACCAAATTCTAATAGTCACTGAAATATAAAATGTAATTATAGAAGCTGTATAACATTGCACACAGATTTTCTTTTAATTACAGTAATTGGACCAGAAGCCAGAACGCAATGATATTTGGGTTCAAGGAATAGAGAATTTTTGCTGAGAGTATTCACCAAACCAGTTAGCTGAAAAAAAGATTGTGACAAGTAATCCACTTTATTCAATTATGAGTGCTGTATAATTTCAGTGCTCAATTAGATTGTCAAGTTTTAAAGAAACCTAATGAATACCGTACTGATAACCAACAATCCTCCAAGGGGAGGGGAGGAAAAGGAGGGTGTGTAAGATAAGTGGAAGTTCTCTGGGGATCAAGCTTGCAATACGACAGGAGAGAGGAGCTGATCAACTCTAATTATAAGAGTCATGAGGACCCAGTATGCAAAGTACAAATGATGATCAACCAGTTGGACATGCCACAGGAAGCTTAGCTGTACCAGTCAGTTGCATGAATTAAACTCAAACTGTTTTGGGCAATGCCTGGTATTTGGGCTCCCTAATGGTTTGGCTGCTACCACTTTTGAACAATGTTCTCTAGGCATTTTCAAGTGGGAGAAGAATGGCAGGTGTGTTCCCATTTCCCTTCCCAGTGTTGAAGGCCGCACACTCCAGATTGGGCGAACAAAAACTGTGCACCTGTGAGTTCTCAATCACTGAAACCAGATTTGTCAGTTAGTGTAGGAAGCAGTGAGCAGTATACCAATCTCTGCTAACCATAAATAAATGAAAGCAACACGGAATTTAAAATCAGACTGAACAGCTATTAAGCTACTACTCACCACATGGTTAACTTCGCAGAAATAAACAGATTTAAAGTGGTAGACTGTAGAAAGGAGAGAGAAACAGCAGAAATGGTAAAGAAATGAGACCCTGTTTCACAGAAATACCCACAGAAGATAGTGTAAAATGTCAGAACAATTAGAGTACAGCATTACAATAATAAACAAACATGCTTTAGAAGAAAACTACCAGGTTGGTAACAAATCAGTGTGAAAAAATGAATATCACCAACAATTGTGATTCAGTTGATAATTAAGATAAGTTCGCAAGCATACTCCCCACCCCAATCTTTGCAGGCTGAACCCAAAGTTTTCAGTGACTATGATCGTTGTTACGGTCTGGAATGCACTGCTTGAAAGGGTTGTAAAAACAGATTCAATAACAACTTTCAAAAGGGAATTAGATAGATACGTGAAAAGGAATTTGTTTTGCAGGGTTATGGGGAAAGAGCAGGGAAGTGGGACTGATTGGGTAGCTCTTCCAAAGAGCCGGCACAGACACGATGGGACGAATGGCCTCCTTCTGTGCTGTAATATTCTATGATTGTTGCAAAATGACGTTTCTAAGGGCAGCAACACTGGCTGCCAGGTTAACTCATATTGAGTTAGCCAGCATCCCATGAAATGTCACTGCATGGGCAACAACAATCACAGAAAATATCAGGCCAAAGAGCATTATGCCAAAGCTGGTTCCTGGGGTAGGTTGTCACTCAGCAGACTGCTCAAAAAAGGTCAAGGAAAAGATTGACACAGGGTGAGGAGAGGATGATGAGAGAAGACAAATGAAGGAAAAAGCAGTGAGAAATAGAAAATAATCCTACCAAAACTATCAAGGTGGAAAAAAAGGAACATATCTCATCATAAATCCAGTGAGCAAATATTATTTTTTTTCTACCTTGCTAGCACAGACCAAAATTAATCTCAGCAGGTAATTTACAAAAAGATCTAGAATTTAAAGGGAATCAATTCCTAATTATAGTAGGAAAAAAAATAAAATCAAGTATGGAGACATACCTAATGCAAATATAATAGTTTCTAGCATACTGGCCTTAAAAATAATCCAGCATTTATTTTGTATGCAATTTTGAATAATGATTACATGCATCACTAAAGAAAACAAAGCAAACTATACCTCTTGTTCCTCAAATATAGGTTGGTATTTTTCCAATGACAGCTTTTTCAGGATACCAGACAACTCATCTGCAGAGGAAAAGGGCACAAATAATAAATAGCAAAGTGTCAGAATATACAATAAAATATTATTTACATTTATCCATCTAAATAGGCAGACGGAAAGTAAGTTTGAAGACTTGATGTGGGGCTTCAACCCACAAATATAACACACTGCATTACCTTCATCTGTGAGCGTTCCACTACTGGACCCACCACTGCTCTTGGACTGTTGTTGTGAGGATGAAGAGGACATTGACAATTCTCCGTGAGGACCTTTAGGGGTAGGGGATGGCGATGGAGTCAGAGTAGGAGAAGTGCTCTTTGAATTTGAAGACGTAACAGATGATGGGCGCCGTTTGTTGTCACATCTCTGCATCAGAAAATAATCAGGAAAAAGACTTTACAGTGCAATTCTCTTAAGTTGATTATACCTGAAGTTGTCCGAGTCTTCTCCAGCATTAGGAGTTAAGTCTGTTTTTCATCTCATCATAAACTTACAACAAAATACAATTACAGTACAACTATTTACAATAAACTCCAGTGCTCGACTCATAGTAATGGTCTGCAAAAGTCAACAGCATGACTATAGCGTGACTAATATAGTACTTATTAAACTGTGGGCACGAGAATGGTTTCTTCTGAGATTAAAAGATGAGTTTTTTTTGCTCCAAACTTCAGTAAAAAAGGTCAGATCCACTTGTGGATCAGAAGGTGTCATAGTTTTCAGTTATCTCATCTTCTGGTGACCTTGCTTTTTGTCATCGTCCCATTCCCACTCCCTTGGCCCCCATCCCTCTTGAATCCAACTCCCAGCCAGGTGCAAACTCTCAACTGTCCAGCAAGCGATTTGTTATTACTAATAATAAAGGTTGAAGTGAAGAGATCCAAGAAGTCCTAGGTCACATTCCTCTGACAAACACTGGTGCCTTTTGCTGTTCAAAATATTCTGGTCTAAAGTTGGTGTGCAGTGTATTACATAAGCAAACATTGAAGCTAGTCCTTCCCCCTCAAAGATAATTGTAATGCAATAATTATATTATTATTATTACAAATGAATAACGAGGAGAACTATTAATACAATATTTACAAAGTAGCATTTTCCAAAGCAAAAACTACAAAGGCTTGCCCAAGGTAAAAATCATTCACAGTGTCTCCATAAGAGGAATCAGTAATAGCCAAAAAGTACCTAGTCAATGGTGTTGAAACAAGAGTATCTGCATCTGAAAACTCTTTCAAACACGGACAGGGTAAATATCTTTGGGAGAAAGATTAAAATTGCAGATAAAGGTGATAGACTTCCTGTATTATTGCCCATGGGATTCAGCAAAATAGGATTTAAAGTGATCCAAGGATTGATTAAAACTATAATATAGAGCTTTACTTCATATTTCTCAAGAGAACAGGGAAAACTCAACCACAACAGAATCAGAAGAAGTGATACTAGGTGAAGCAGATTTGTAGCTATTTGGAAAGTAAATTAAGTATGGCATTAAATAAATCTGAAGCTAGACAACGATATAAAATTGTTACAAGTTATTTGGAGATGTATAAAGTTGGGACAGTTTTCCTTGGAACAGATAAATTTAAGCGTGGATGCCAATTTTTCAAAATTATTATTTTCTTTTTTACAGCAGACTGTCGAGTATCTAGACCAGAGAGAATTCTATGGAAATTTCGATGTCTGGAATAGAATGCAGACTCTCTCCCTGAAGGGATGGACTTGGCTTACCTAATCCCGGAGAGTATTAGATGCAGAGTTAGGTGGGCAAGAGCCAAGGCTTGGGGATCCTAGACTGCATGTTGGGGATACTGCTGGAGTTTAACCAGTTAAAACTGTTAGAACTGACAAGTTTCCCACTACTTGTCTAGTGAGGACCACTAAACCCATTAGCAGTATCAGCTGATGCCCTTTTTTTTGCCCATCTGTTTCCACAAATGATGTGATGCCAAGACTACATATTTGAAAGGGAACCAGATAAATATGAGAGATTTTTTAAAAAAACGGTATGGGGGGAAGAAGTAAACGTAATTAGTGCAGATAATAATTGAGCAGAGAGCAGGACTTGAACAGCGAGCCCAGCAGCAAGAGGAGGGTAGTGAATGAGGTGGAACAGAGTGAGAATTCTGTAAAGGAATTTGGTAAGAGTGGGAATTCTTCAGCAAGAGAGATATCTTGCAAGAGGGAATCAGGAATTAGCATCAGAGAGGAGAAACGAGTTACATAGAGGGTTGGGGGAGACGAATAGCAATCCAATAAGGAGTAGTCCAGAAAAAGGAGGGATTAGACATGGGAGATATGCAGAGCAGATTCAGGCAGTCTTGGAGTTCATGTGCGTAAATGCACGGAGTGTGACAAATTGGTGAGCTGCAGGCTTAAGTTGCCACATGGGGTTATAATGTAGTGGCAATAACAGATTCGGCTCAAATAAAGGCAGGAATGGGAGCCGAATATTCCTGGCTACAATGTATTCAGGAGGGATAGAGAAAGAAAAAAAAAAAGGGGTTTGGGTGGCAATACTAAGACACTGTGACGGCCCTGGAAAGGAATGATGTACTAGACGGTCCAAAAACAAAATCTATTTGGTTAGAGTTAAGGAGCAGAAAAGGAGTTGTTACACTGTTAGGAGTATACTATAGATCACTGAATAGTGGGAAGGAGATAGATGAGCAAATCTGGAAGCAGATTTCAGAAAGATGCAAATTCAATAGAGTAGTGATAATGGGGGACTTCAATTATCCTAACATAGACTGGCAAAATAACAGTGTAAAGGACAAGGGGGGGGGAAGGATTCCTGAAATGTGTGCAGAATAACTTTCTGTATCAGTATGTTTCCAGCCCAATGAGGAAGGAAGCAATGCTGGATCTAGTTCTGGAGATAAAGTGGAGCAAGTTTCAGTTGGAGAGCATCTGGACAACAGTGATCACAACATCTTTCGGTTAAAAGTACTTATGGAAAGGGACAAGGAACAATCAAAGGTGAAGATACTCAACTGGAAGAGGGCTAATTTCAATGAGTTACAAAGGGACCCAGCCAAGGTGGACTGGAAAGAAAGATTGATAGATAAAACAGCTAATGAGCAATGGAAGCCTTCAGGGAGGAGATAGTTCAGGGACAGAGCAAATACATTCCCACAAAGGTGAAAGCTAGGTTGTCCAAACCTCACTGGATGAATAAGGAAATTAAAATTAAACAGAAAAAGGAGGCTCATGATAAATGTCAGGTCCAAAATACAGAAGATAATCAAATAGAATATAGAAAGAACAGAGGAGAACTGTAAAAGGAAATAAGAAGGGCAAAGAGATTGTATGAGAAAAGATTAGCGGGTAACGTAAAAGGAAATCCTGGGTATTTTATAAGCATATAAAGAATAAAAGGTTAGTCAAAGGTAGGGTGGGTCCAATTAGGGATCAAAGAGGAATTCTTCTTGTGGAGGCAGAGGGCATGGCTGATGTCTCCTCTTCTCCGATTCTGTGGGCAATGCCACAGAATCGGAGGAGAGGGCAGAGAAATTGGATAAGAATAAACTGAGAGGAGGTACTGAAAAGGTTGACGGTACTCAAGGTAGATAAGTCTCCCGTTCTGGACGGGATGCATTCAAGGTTACTGAGAGAAGTTAGGGTAGAAATAACGGAGGCTCTGGTTGCAATCTTGCAATCCTCCTTGGACACCAGGGTGGTGCCAAAGGACTGGAGGGTTGCAAATGTTACCCCCCTGTACAAAAAGAGGCAGAAGGATAAACCCAGGAACTGCAGGCCAGTCAGTCTAACGTCAGTCGTGGGGAAACTTCCAGAGACCATAACGCAGGACAAAATAAATTTTCACTTAGAAAAGTATGGGTTAATAAAGGACAGCCAACACCGTTTTGTTAAAGGCAAATCATGTCTAACAAACCTGATAGTTCTTTTTATGAGGTAACACAGAGGGTGGATGAAGGTGGTGCAGTTGATGCAGTTCATATGGATTTTCAAAAGACATTTGATAAAGTGCCACATAAGAGACTTGTAAGCAAAATAGAAGCCCACAGTATTAAATGAACAGTGGCAGCATGGATACCGAACTGCCTGGGAGACAGAAAGCAGAGTGTGGTGGTGAATGGTTGTTTTTCTGACTGGAGGGAAGTGTGCAGTGGTGTCTCCCAGAGGTCAGTATTGGGACCAGTGCTGTTTTTGATCAATATAAATGACCTGGACTTGGGTATCGGGAGTACAATTTCCAAGGTTGCAGATGATAGTAAGCAGGAAAAGTAGTAAACAGTGAGGAGGATAGTAGCCGATCCCAAAAAGTCAGAGACTGGTAAAATGGGCAGACACGTGGCAGGTGAAGTTTAATGTGGTGAAATGCGAAGTGATGCATTTTGGAAGGAAGAATGAGGAGAGCCAGTATAAGCTGATGGTACAATCTTAAAGGGGTGAAGGAACAGAGAGACCTGGGGTTTCATATAAGCAAATCTTTGAAGTTCACAGGACAGGCAGTTAAAGCTGCTAAAAAAGCATATGGGATACCAGGCTTTATAAACAGGGGCAGAGAATACAAAAGTCAGGAAGTTATGATGAATCTTTATAAAACACTGCTCAGACCTCAGCTAGAGTACTGTGTTCAGCTCTGGGAACCAGACTTTAGGAAGCATGTCAAGGCATTGGAGCGGATGCAAAGAAGATTTACCAGTATGGTACCAGGAATGAGGGAGTTCAGTTATCAGGAGAGGCTGGAGAAGCTAGGATTATTTTCCTTGGACCAGAGAAGGTTAAGAGGAAACTTAATAGAAGTTTTCAAAATTATGAGGGGATTCGATAGGGTAAACAGGAGAAACTATTTTCACTGACGGGTGGGTCGGTAACCCAAGGGCACCAATTTAAAATAGTTGTTAAAAGAAACAGAGGGGAGGTGAGGAAAAAAATGTTTACACGGCAAGTTGTTCCGATCTGGAATGCATTGCCTGAAAGGGTGGTGGAAGCCGATTCAATAACAACTTTAAAGAGAGAAGTAGCTAATTATTTGTGGAGAACAAGTTTGTAGGCCTATGGGAAGAGAGCGGGCGAGTAGAATTGATTTGGATAGATCTTTTTAAAGAGCCGGAACAGATGACAGGCCGAATGACCTCCTTCTGTGCTGTTTAATTCTATGATTCTATAGTATAATAATCCTTACATTTGACATAGTGCCTTTTCATGTCTTCGAGACATCTCAAAGAGCTCTGCAGAATGTACAGTGAAGTGAATTGACTGTATTATGTGGACAAAACGAAGATGGTTGTGGGTGGGGGGAGAGCAAAGTTCAGTGGGTTGAACTACCTCCTTCAGGGTTGTAAATATCTTCATCTGTAGTATTAAAACATCACAATAAATCCTGTCTTCTATTCTATCAAATGTATCCTCAAAAATATTCAATGCAGACAGCATAAAATTACCCAGCACTCAAATAGAAAACGTTGGCTTCAGTCAAACCTCTCAACTATTTGTAAAGCCAATGAAGTTTAACTTTATCTAGAGAGTTACCTGTAAAATAGAGGTACGCCCCAATGGAGAGGACTGAAGATCAGGAAAGCTGATATCAACTGAAACTGGTTGAGGCGGACTGTCAGACTGGCTTGACTTGAGATCAGGTAAACCCGCTGCTTTCCGTCTTTGGGCTGCAATTTGTGACAGGACACTATCTGCACTTCCTCCTACAAAAGGCGAGAGGAAAGTAAAAAGGAGTTACACTTTGTTTTAAAAAGGCTGAATTTCTAGTTGATTGAGGAGTTATTACACCGAGCAAAGGGATGCAAGTGCAATGCCTCATCTGTTACAATTCCAAATCTCAGATATACTATGCAGAAAGACAATGAGCAAAAGAGCAATCCTTCCTCATGGGAAATGAAAATCTGGACGATAAGTGTTCACGAATCCATTCTCATGCACCTCTTAAATGTACTAAAACAAATTGGTAGATATTAAGATGCACTGATAAAGCCCAAGAGCAGCGTGTTTTTCCTTCCTGAGGGTGCAATTGGTGGGAGACTCAGATTCAATCTCCGCTCTGGGCTCTTTTAGCTTATCTAGCCAAATTAGCATTTTATATAGCACTTTACCAAATGTTCAAGATGCCTCAAAGCATATGATTTGCTGTAGAATGTAATGCTTACTGTTTTGTAAGCAAACATGGCAGTCAACCTGCACATGGCAAAGCCTCACAAACAGTCATGGTGAATGATAAAAATTTATTTATTTTGGGGGTGGGGGTTGTATGCAAGGACACCAAGAAAACCTTGCGTCTCATCAAATAGTGCCATGGGATCTTTAACATCCACCTGAACAGGCAGATGGGACCTCTGACAATGCAGTGCTCCTCCAGCATGGCAGTGAATTGTTAGCCTAAAATATAAGCTCAAGTGAGGATAAAATGAAGTTCAGTTGTGTACCCTGCAAGGTTAAACTAGTAGCTCACTGATGCACACTCTTACATTTAATGAATAAATGAAGACTTTCATTCTGAGATATGGGATGTGATTTTTTTTCGTAAAAAACCCTCGTAGATCCATATCCCAGTGTAAAAGTCTTCAGGACAGCAAGTCTATGAGGACAAAAATCAGGTAAACAGAGAAAAACCACCAGTAGTGGCACATAACAGATAGAGCTTGAACTTAAGATTCAATTTACATCTCAGGAGATGCATTATTCTCATTGACCACTAGCAGGTAGCACAGAACAGAAACCACAAATTGTTTGGCCTGTTTTAAAAAAAATCAAAGCATTCATCCTACCTGATCGGTTATGTGGGTCGCTGCTATGTCTATTTACACCAGCCACACCATTAGATCCAGCAGAGGAATGTGGAGAATAGCTGAAGTTACCAGAGTTTGAGGGAGAACCTGGGCTCCTGGTAAGATTTGGAATGGGAGGAAGTTTAACAGGTCTCCCCATCCTGCTGACAGATGTCTGTAATGAAACAAATAAATAAAGCCATCTGATCTGCCTACAACACAAATTGCTAAACAGATTTTGCTTATTTTAAATCCCTTTAGAATGCACCTCATTTGGCAAAAGGTTTGTCGGTGATTTTGTTCACTGAAGAATACAAACCTCTCCTAAAGTGGGGTCTTCTTTTCCCTTTAACTTATCTTCCACATGAAACCCACCAGCTATTCTCAAACTCCTTCCTGCCCAGTTCTTGACTACCCAATTGCATCCCCACCTGCCCCATGTTTGCAAATGTCGTTTACAATTCTTCCTCACTTTGAAAACTGGCATCATCACCCCCTTCTCCAAAACTCTACCTTTGACCACATTCCAGTTACCGACCTATATACAAACTGTCCTTCCTTTTCAAAGTTCTGGGAAGATTGTTGCTACCCAACTTTGTTGCTATCTCTCCCTTTACTTCATGGTTGACCTCCTCCAGTTCGATTTGTATTCTGCCCACTGCAGCAAGACAGCTGTCATCAAAGTCATAACTGCAACTCTGTCTGTTCATCTGCCTCAATTTCTCTGCTGCCTTGGACATGGTCAACCACACAATTCTCTTTGATTGTCTTTCCTCACTCATCCACCTCCATGGAATTGCATTTTCTTGGTTTCAATTCTACTTGGCTCATCACCACTACTTTGTCTTCTTCAATGACTTCTCCTGCTCCTGCCGTCACCTGTAAGGCACTTGAAGAGCTCTATCCTCGGTCTTCTCCTTTTTCTCATTTACATGATTGCAGATGCACCTCCACAAACGTGGTACATTCCTCATGTACACCGACAACACCCAAATCTCTCTCTACCCCTAACCTGGATTCAACTGTCATCCTGACTGTCAAACACCAAATCCTGAACAAGTCTCATCTTTCCACTCAACATAAACAAAACAGAAGGTATTGTCTTGGGCTCCATCACTTCCCTCACCAAGATCCATTTCTCCTCTGTTTATTAACAAATTCAACTGTATTCAACTTGTGACAAGTTGGTAAATGTCAAAAGAAGGCTTACTATGTCAGTACTCTCACTGCTGCTGAAGTTGGGTTTTATAAGTCTGCGAGGCATAGAAAACCTAGTTTGATCATTTGTGTTGCTTCGTGTTCTGTCAGAGTTCCACAGTTCAAAGTTTGATGGAGGCAAGAATGGAGGAATAACAGCTTTCAGCTTGTCACTGGGAAGGCGGGTAAATGGGGCACCATTCCGCAACTGAAATAAAAGGTTTCAAACAGAAGTAAAGCTTTTCTGGAAACATTTTACCAAAACAAACCGAATGAGTTTCTATTGAGTTATGGTACAATTAAATTATCAGTGTAATTTATCGCACAATTCCAAGAATCTCTCTAAAAAGCATACATTGGGTATCTGCTGTACCTAATTTCTTACATTCACAATAAAGCAATAACTAGCATTGAGTAGAGGCATATAAAATATTCTCTCATAATTTTTTTTTAAAAAACTGTATAATTAATTAGGAGTGAATACAAAAAGATAATTTAAAGATATTGGGTGGAGGACAGATCTTTCCTTTTACCTGTATGACTCAGATATAAACCCAGTCCAGACAGGAAATTGTAACTCCATTCCTGTAAATGATTTGCATCAAGCTAATGAGTCGTCTTAACCAGTACCAAGTACTACCAGTCCACAGCACTAAACTGCCCTTAATTTAACAATCTCACTCATTCCACAGAAAAAAATTAAGTGTAAATGTCACACAACAGAACACTCCTGTGACTGAGATTTCAGCCACTTTGAGGTAGATGGAATTCAGTTGTCAGCTGGCTGTGCTCTATTTGATCTGGGGCTATATGATGGTTGAATGGAAAAAGTATCCCATTTCCCCAATTACAATTATTCCTCACCTTGATGTACAGGAAAATAGTTAAAAAGGAATTCTCACCAAGATGCTCAAAATAAATTAACGCATTTAAATTAATTTTCTTGTAATCACTCCCACCTTTTAATATAAATAACATTCATTACGGCAACAATGAAAGATTCAATGTTGATTTTATCACTTCAGGTTTGCGAGAATGTCAGTTCTCAATATAAAAATTCTTAACCTACCATAGTTGTAAGGAGAATATCATCTTTTTCTGCACCAGTATGGCCCGGTCCTAAAAAGCAGATTTAGTCTTCGTAAAACACAATAACGGAATTAACCTTAATTCTGTAAAAATTACAGGATCCAATAACACTAAGTTGGACTATTTAGTTAACATCAATAACCATTCTGTCCTGTAAGCTCTCACATTCTGTCCAGCCACATGCAAAATAATTTAATTTGAATTAATAAATTTAATTTGATGCATAATAGACCTCACATTTCCTCACCATTATCCTTGTTTTTTCCTGTCCATGCTTTAAATGTCTCAGTATTTCCAATGTTTGAAGATCTTGTCACTGACAAATTATTTCGGTCATCCTTCAGGCTGGCTTTCATTGTTGAATCGAAGCCTACTTCAGGATCATCTGGAAAAGGTGCAAGTCGGTTGGTGGAAAAGCCATGACGAAGGGTCCGGGTCAGCTTCAGTCTACGGAATCTGTTGGACATTCTATTCCACCAAGACTGCCCAGAAGAGAGAAAGTAGCCCTTTGAAATACCTTTTTTTTAAAAATAACAAAAGAAAATCTGCAAAAGATCACTCTAACCTTGAAGAACACAAATTTTTAATTTATTTATATATCAAAAAAGATACCAGGCAAATTTCTTGTTTCATCACTAACCAGCAAACTGTAAAAGCAATAAGAATTGCATGATTTATTTCACAAAGCAATTTCAGAAGCCATGAAAAAAAGACCAAAGACCATCATCCCTTCTGTCCAGCTAGCAATATGCTCAAAGAAGCAAAGGAACTTTCATACTTTAAGCATGCTCTAAATTTGAAACAATGCAATATAAAATATATTGTAGATTATCTCTACCTTTAATCCGCCCTTGTCCTCTGGAGGCATAGGAAGGTTCAAAGATAGTTTGCTTTTTGAGCGAGGCAATGTCTTGGATTTGGGTTTTCCCTTCTCCTTGTCTACCTGCATGCAGACAGATGCTAGCAGCCGTACCAGTTCTGTGTCTAATAGTCAATAAGCAATATTAATAAGTTACAAATTGAGATTAATCAGTTACACATAAAAATATTTTCTCCATTAAAAATATCTTTTTTTCCTGCTAGTAATAGACTGATAACTTTTCAATTGTACGAGTTTGTTGTTGTGCTAAAGTATTGCTGACTCACTGGTGAGTGCATGGCAAACGATTAACAGGACAATTAGGCAGCCCTCATCACACAAAAATATCCTTGGGAGGAAAATAGGTAAAATGTCTTCATATTTATCACCAGCCAGCATACTGTAAAATAAATTTAAGAACAAAACAACCTATTGTAGTAAGTTAGAGGAAGATTTCATCCCAACTCCTTCATGCAGCAGAGGGGTTTCTTCCAGTCCACGTGTGAAGCCCAGGATCAAGCAGTGAAGTGTATTTTGTGGTAAACGGGAAGAGGCTGAAGAGAATGGGCTCTAACCTACACTAAGCTGTTACTGAACATCCTGTAGGTGGAAGCAAGGCAGTTTAATTGCAAGCACTTCTATTTGCCCCATGCCTCTCACATGAGGACCTGGATTAAGAAACTGGTGCTGAGTCAGGGTACACAGCATTGGACCCTGACCTCTGGAACATGAAGGTGGCTTTCATGTCATACACTGTCCTGTAAATGTACCTTGATTGGTTTGTGGAGAGGTAAGCAGCTGCTGCTCAAGCTCTGCACCTCCAACTTGTAGAAGTATTGTTCAATAGATGGGGATATATGTCCGAGCTGTGGGCAATGCTCTCACGAATATAATGCTAAACTATGCTGATCATCAGGAAGTTTGCAGGGAATTTCTGGTACTGCTATCCACCTAGTAAGGGCTCAAAACCTGCACTTATTGGATGACAAATGACCAACTTTAGTACCAGGGATGAGGGACTTTAGTTATGTAGAGAAACTAGAGAAGCTGGGAGTCAGCAGATTATGGTCAAGAATTCTTCCCACACAGCATCTGCAAGACAAAGGGTAGGGTGGTCCTAGCAGCAGGAAGATTGCCAGACAGTGCTTTCAATGGAAAGCTCTGCAGTTTTAACTGCTTAAAACACACTGGGTTAGATGTGAATCTAGGTCCAATTGCTGTAAATGTTATACCCCAATGAACTACACAATAACAATATACCTATCTGGGTGGTTTTTGGTTGACAGAATTTAACTAGCTAACAGTAAAATCTACTAAAAAAAAACCACATGGACAAATGGTTTAAAATTACATAATGACATTAAATTACATTTCGCTGATTCCTTGTTGTGACCTTCTCATCGTTATATTGTAAAATTAAAATCTAAGTTTACGCAGTTTACCTGGGTCATTTAACAGCATTACAAGATCGAATGCAGTTACTCCATTTTTGGCACGAAGGTTGACATCTGCTCCTTGATTCAATAAATACTTTACAACATCTTTACTCCTTAAAATACAATTGCAAAAAATATCTGCATTAGACAGTTAAGCTGCATGGTCTAAATAAATGTTCTAGAAATAAGGGAAGACAAGCTCTTTCAGTCACAATATAAAAACTTTATCCAGACTTCTAAAATAGTATTCTTAGAATGCAAGAGTTAAGTTAAGCCAAGTGCACCCTCTGGATAAACCTTCATTATCTCAAACTCTCTGGTAGTACCCGAGGAATATATGAACAAATACACTACCAAGTACTGAAGCGATGACATCCTTCATAAAAGGAAAATGATGTGAAGCTGCAATAAATATCATTAACTTTGAATATAACAACTTGGAATATATCCTTCAAGCTGACAAACATGAATTAAAATGCAGTGGTTAAGCAATGGGAAACTTACTCTCCAGTCAAACCTTATTAAAAACAAAGCACAGAGCAACTTCAAGATTAAGCACCTTGCTGGAGTGTAGGTCCTGAAACTGATATTGTATGAATATCATGAAACTGATATTGTAGACAGATTTATACCAACTACCCTATTGTGACTTGACTTTAAAAATAGAATTACATGGTTTGCTAATTGAGTTGCTTTAAGAAAAAATGTAAAAACACTTTAAATACAAAGTGCAATTCGATTAACCAACAATTTCATCAACCAAGTTTCTCTGTACATAGCAGTAGATCAACATTAGATGTTATTACAATGCATTTCTGTGTTAGTCTTACATACCCATGGTAAGTAGCCTGCATTAAGGCAGACCACCCATGTACACTATCTTGCTTGTCAATATCAGCGTTTCTTTCAATAAGCTGTACAAGGTCCAGCTGGCCAGTCATAGCAGCGATCATTAATGGAGAAGCACCATCTGCATTTATGACATTGGCTTGGCTTACATCTTCATCCAAAATCTCCTTCACATGCTGGTAACTTCCTAGTCCAACCACAGAGGAAAAGCTGGTCAAACACAATGTAGGCGTACAGCGACTCACAAAATAACTGCAAGCATAAAGAATTAGATTTTCAGGCAGTTTTTGTTGAGAGAAGCCGTGAACTACAACTAAGGCAGCTGAACCAGAAGACTTCAACAAAGCCCTGTTTCTTGGGGCTTTTTCAAAGAATGATCGCCCACAGTCACTGCACTTTGTAATATATCATGTGAAGCACTTTGAAACATCTGCCTGATGTGAAAGGCATTATAATAATATAAGAAGGATTAAACCATATATCTCCCATTATTGTTTAATCTTGAACAATAATCCTTCCATTTGATATAGTGCATTATCATTACAAACAGTGTTTCTGTAAAGCTCCTTGGGTGTATTTGTAGGCAACTATAGCAGCCAGTATGCACACAGCAACATCTCACAAACAGCCATGATGTAAATGACCAATGATCAATACCACATGTTGACCCACAAAACAGGCTGCGTTAGAACAGGAAGGAGTCACCAGATGTGAGCAGTACCATTAAGAAATTCTTTATTCATTTGAAGCTACTCCTTCACAATACTACAGATTCTAAAACGTGTTTTAAAATACAATCAACCCCCGGCTTACTGGACTCCTGGTATCTGCAATTCATACCTAGCTGAAAAGGGTCCAAAACCAATTATTTTTTAAATTCTGTGTGCGTTTAGACTTCTGCTGTCTAGACTATCGCGCATCCCCACCTCACCGTCCTTGCAACTTATTCACTATCTTCTGCTCACGGGATTCAAAACAATTACAATACCAGAACAAGATTTTATTGTAATAAAATCACAAAGCTTCTACCATAACAGTTTCTCCCAAAATTGTTCCTCTCAAAAAGAGATATGAAAAATGCAACACAGTGGGTATACCACTCACCCAGTTTTAGTGCACGGAAAATGTCTGGTCTCCGTTTCTCTTCATCTGGAAAACAGGAAACATTCAATATTACACCACAATAGAATGCTTTTTAATATAAATGACTGTGGTTTTATTCATTTTAACCGGAAATTAAGGTTTTCCCGAGATCAGTTTTAGAATCCATATGTTCGTAACAATTACCAATGACCTGCAGAAAAAGCACATGCCCCAGTAGAAAAAAATCTGTGGATGGCTGTAGTTTTAAAGATATTAATCAATGATCTGCCATCAGTTAAAGCATAGGTTTAATCAGACAAACATTTAATATTGAGAAATATAAAGGTAATACTGTAAGAAGCCAAAAATACACCAATCAGAATACTAAAATCATCTCCGTTACAGAGCAGCCTTGTAAGAATGTGCTCCAGTTGAGCAGGGGTTCCCTTATAACACAAGTCTACTGTGGACTTGTGCTGTACTGGGAGCGCAGTACACCCAGCTGACGAGCAAGCTGCCCATGCTAAAACCTGGGCAACTTCTTAGTTATCAGGTCGTTGTTGACATTTCCAGTATATTGCAAGTACAGTCAGCATATTGGCACCGCCCATCCTTATAACACTGGTTTGCTTATAAAGCAGATGTGCTGTTAGACCATCTGTTGTTTTGTTCAAGCGGACATGAAGGGATAACATTTTGCCTTTTCAAAGAATCAGGAGTTTCTCCTGATGTGAAAAGGTAATCTGGAAATGCAAATTCTTTCTTGATGTATTCAGTACATCAGCCTATGTTACTCATTGTCTTGACAAGAACCTGACATTTCTTATTTTTCAGCAACAGTCTACATATATTATACTAATTTTACATAAAAATGAAAAGCCTTTATTGATATATAATCCTTTAAAAATAATTCTTGCACTTGACACAGTATCGATTGAAGTGTCTCAGATTGAAGGTCGAAGAGGAGGGTACTGAGATGGGTCTTAAAGGAGGGGGAGAGGCAGAGGGACTGTGGGATGGAGTTCCAGCGGGTAGGGGCAGAATGGCTGAAGACTCACCCAAATGGAAGCCAGTGGAGTCGGGCGAGGATGGGGGTGATAGGATCACGGAGCCTGGTGCGGGAGAGGGCAGAGGCTGCAGAGTTCTGGATGATCTGCAGCCTATGGAGGGAGAGCTGGGGGTGCCGACAAGCAGGGAGTTTGCATAGCCATGCCTCAAAGTGATGAATGACATTATGTATGATGTTATGTATGAGGGTTTCGGCAGCCTGCGGTGTAAGACAGTGGCGGAGCCGGGTGATGTTGTGGAGGTGGGGGAAGGCAGAGCGGGTCATGGCATGGACGTGGGGTCGAAAGGATAGTTGAGGGTCAAACAAGACCCCAAGTTTCCGGACTGGCTTAGCAAGGTGGAGCGTGCAACCATGGATGGTGATGGTGTCAGCGCCTGAGGTGAGGAGGTGCTGACGGGAGCCGATCAGGAGAGCCTTATTGATGTTCACCTGTAGAAAGTTTGCTCTCATCCAGGACTTGATGTCCGACAGACATTCTGTCAGGACGGCAGTGGTCCTGGAGTCAAGGGTGGAGGCAGAGAGAGAGAGTTGAGTATCATCCGCATACATGTGGAAGTTGACCCCATGTCTGCGGATGATGTCACCAGGAGGGAGCACATAGATATTGAAGGAGGGGACCAAGGACAGAGCCCTGAGGAACGCCGCACGAGACGGTGCGGGGCTGGGGGAGAAGCCGTCTGTGGGGATGAAGTGCAGGCGGTGTGAGAGGTACCATCTGTATCAGTCAAGGACAGAGCCGCGGAGGCTGAGGCGAGCGGAGAGACGGCGGATGAGGATAGAGCGGTCGACGGTGTCGAAGGCAGCAGAGAGAGGTCGAGGAGGGGACGAGGAGGCAGGAGGGAGCCCCCGGTCGCAGATGGACGAAGATGTCATTCGTCACTTTGACCGGGGGCTGCCGCTGCGCTGCGGGCGGGCGGGCGGCACGGAAACCCGACTGGAGGGGTCCGCGAAGGGTGCGGCGGGAGAGGGAGGAGCGGGGCTGGGAAGCGACGACCCGTTCCCGGACCTTGGGAGAGGAAAGGGAGGTTGGAGCTGGGGCGGTAGTGTGGGAGCAGTGATGGGGTCCGGGGGGGAGGGCGTGTTCGTTTTTTTTAAAAAAAGGACAGAGGTGGACGTTTTTGATGGGGTGGGAACGGTACCAGAGGACCAGAGGTGGGGGGGATGGTGGGGGGTGAGGGGGGGGTGATGGGGGGGGGAGGGGGTGACGAGCTCTGCCGCTGCGACCGTTAAATTTGACTCGAAGCCCCGCGCGCGCCCGGGATTTAAGGGGAGGGGGGACCGGTGGGGGACTTTCTTTAGCGATGGGGGGAGGCGGTTCGGGTGGCCGGGCCGGGAGGGAGGGCGGGAGCTGCAAGGAGAAGAGCGACCGACGGGGACAGGTCGGTCACTGCGGTAAAACCCACAACTTTCTTAACCCAGAGGGAGGGAGGGAGGGAGAGACGACGACGACGACGACAACGAAGCGCCCCCCCCACCCCCCTCCATTGCTTCGTGCATCAGATGCCGGTGAATACTTATGCGCAACTTGCCTACGAACGCACATTAAATGCAAGTGGCTGTAAAGCCAAGACCAGGATTTATTTCAGGTGCAGCAGAGAGACAGACACACACACACACACACGCACACACGGGGGGTGGTGTTACCTGACTGGGGCCGGTTCGTGGTCCTGGAGTCCAGGTAGCTCCTCACCTCCTCCTGGCCGGCGGCGGAGGCCAGCTGCAGGGCGGTGTGGCCGGCCGCGCTCTGGGGGTTGGGGTCGGCCCCGGCCTCCACCAGGAGCCGGGCCAGGGGCAGGCGGCCGGCCAGCGCCGCCAGCATGAGCGCGCTCCAGCCCGTGGCGGGGGCCGCGCCCCGCGGGTCGGCGCCCCACTCCAGCAGCGCGCGAGCCGCCGCCTCGTGCCCGTGCTGCGCGCACACCATCAGCGCGCGGACCTCCTCCTCCACCACCTCCACCTCCTCCTCCTGGTGGTCGCGGCCGCGGCCGCCGCGCGTGCACGCCAACCGCGCGCCGCTCTCCAGCAGCAGCCGAGTCAGGCCCGCGTGGCCGCCGCGCGCCGCCGCCGCCAGCACGCAGGCGCCCAGCTTGTTGGCCGCGTTGACGTCCGCCTGGTTCTCCAGCAGCAGCCGGGCCACGGCCAGGTGGCCGTGCCGGGCCGCCTGCATCAGCGGGCTCCAGCCGTAGCTGTTGCGGCTGTCCACCGACGCGCCCTTCATCAGCAGGAAGCGCACCAGCTGCTCGTGGCCGTGGCCGGCGGCGAACTGCAGCGCCGTGTTGCCGTCGTCGTCCGTGCAGTCCACGGGCACCTGATGTTGCGGGCACGTCAGGTGGTGGTGGTGGTTGGTGGCGGCGGTGCCGACGACGACCACGTCCGCTCCCGCCGGCTCCAGTAACCGCCGAGCGTTCTCGAAGGCGCCCTCCTCGCACGCGCGGAACAGCAGCTGTTGCGAGGCCGGCGGCGCCCCGCACTCCATCACCATCACCGCCTCCTGCTCCTCCGGGCCCCGCTCCTCCTGCACCACCACCACCACCACCGCATCACATCTGTACACAGAGACACGCTGCTGCTACTGCTGCTGCTGTTGTTGTTGTTGCTGCTGCGGCTATTTTCCTTTCGACGTGACGTGACGGGCGGGCGGTGATAATCGGTGCGCGAGAGGAGGAAAGAGGGAGGTTGTTGGAGAAAAAGGGGGAGGAGATGAACCGGGTTTCGCCGCGATCACCAACAGCCGACGTGCGTGTGAACTACGCAGAGAAGACCGACAACCCCTCTCCTCCCTCCCACTCCGCTCTGTGTTTTCTCCCCCTGGCCATGTGACAGGACCACTGCGGGCTGTGACAGCTCCTCCCATCCGGGGGGCGGGGCCTCGGCCGCCCGAGCCAATCAACGCGTAGGCTTTGGCGCGGTCCCGTGGGCGGGGCCGCCGGGCGCCAGGCAACCGTTCACAAACACTCCGATGGCCGGCGCCAGCCAATCGGGAGAGGCTGTTACCCGCGAGGGCGGGGCATTGTGACGCCGCGGGTGGTCGTCAAGCCGCCCGGGGCTTTGTGACGTCGCCGATTATTGTTGCGTCACGAAGGGAGCTCTGCTCTTCTAAAATAAATAATAATAATAATAATAATAATAATCATCTTTGCATTTGATGTGCCGCCTCATCACGTCTTCGAGTCGCCTCAAAGCGCCTCGCACAGCATACTGTAAAGCGGATCGACTGTGTATTTCGCGGGCGAAACCCACACCCGCCTCTTCTCCCCTCCCACCCGTCCCAGCGTCCGCATCGTTTCGCATCGTTTACAGTCGTGCAAGAATAACAGGGCTGGGGTGGCAATCCGAACAAAATGCTCCTGCCTCCCGTCAGTTTTTGTCTGATATTTGGCAAGAGAGCGCTTTTTCTTTTGCAAAAGGAGCTAGCCGGACGCACGCAGTCAGCCCGCAAATTTAGCACACACACACACAAGGAAGAGAAACGGCCAGCGCCAGCTCTCGTTGAGCAAAACGTTTTTTTTCCCGTTCCACCGCTAAACCCAACACATTTCACAGCACAGCCCAAACACAGCACACTGTCCATCTCCACCGGTTGCCAGAGGGGTGGCAGTACGATCCTTTTGCAAACTCAGAAGTTTTGCAAGTATTGCAATTTTTTGACTGTAAGTTGTTGAAAGAACTTGCCTTCATTTTAGAATTTTTTTTAATACTTATTGGAAAAACTTACTGAGGCTGCTTTTCTTAATGTACCTTAATGCTTTTTCAGCTTTGAATATACACCACAACAATGTTTGTTACGTTGCAACCTTTAATGATTGTTCTAGTGCCTGTTGAGCAATGAATGTCTGAAACACAATACTGGAGAGGTAAATGAGGTGTCGAGGACTGAACCGGCTGAAAGGGGACACATGTCGTCATTCACTGTAAATGTCAATGTTTTTGCTGCATTTTGCTTCACAAGATCTCTGATATCGATTCCTAAATTATTAACAATTGTGTGGTATGTTTACATTAGTTCTGCAGTGATGGAAGCAGCAATGATTTTAGTTATTCATTATACATGGCATGCTATTTATCCATTGAATAGTGCACTGAACCGAAGTATCTCTGATAGTCTATATGGTGGAAAGACACTTTGATCACAGGCTTATCTTGAATTTCTCAGAACATTAAATAACTTTGGGGAAGTTCATGGCAATGTCAATTTTACATGGTCTGTTGGATGCCCTTGGCTCAATTGACCACTTGGCTTTTTTTTCTTGTTTTCTCGGGTTTCTATGGATGAACCATCAGGGGCAATCACCCATGATCTACAATTGTTCTCAGTTCACCTGTAAGAATTTCACCTTTAAGAATTGAGACGAACAATTTGAATAATGACCTCACCTCCATGCTGGAACATAAATCAACTTGAAAAGCTTTGTAAAGCACCACGTTGGAGGTACAAAATTGGACCAACTGGGGACTTACTTCCTGGGGAGGTAAGTGGGGTTACCTTGGAGCTGAACTTTCTCCAAGGTGACTTGCTGGACAACAGAATTTTGGAATCGAATTAATCCCCTGTGGAGGTGTTGGTCATCCGTTCCTGAGCCAGGAAGGTCCACAGTACTCCAATACAATGATCCTAGCTGGACAAGCAGTGGGAAGCTTATCAGAGAGTGCTTTCAATAGCAAGTTATGCAATTTTAGCTGGTTAATCGGCAGTACCTGCATTGCACACTCTGGGGTCCCCAGGCCATGGGTCTCTTCAACCTGCATCTTATACTCTGGAAGTAGGTAAGCAGGATGTGTCCATCCAGGGAAAGGGCATTCCATTCCAGACACAGGGAATTTGTGTGTGTAGGTGACATATAAGGAACTGTTCGTATGGTTACTCCAAACAAACTCCAAAGTATGATGATGAGTTTCTGCATAAGTCAGACACCTGGCTGACCAAAAGAATACAAAGTGAGGAAGGAAATTGCAGTCCAAGCACTACAAAGGCACTTGTTTTCCTTTGATCTGAAGATAATTTTACTGCATGTTTATACATTATGAACTACTTGTAGTTACATTCTAAACTACAGCATAGCAGCACATAATGTTAAGTCTGCAATAATAATCTTTCCATTTCATACAGTGGCTTATGACATCTTCGAGAAGTCTCAAAGCGTGTCACAGAATATATTGTAAAGTGAATTTGACTGCATATTTTGTGTATTTTATTAATCAGAATCCAACTGCCCCATAGAGCTGTGGCATATAATTTAATGTTTCATTTCTACCTAGGTTAATTTTAAAAAAAGCTATAATATTGTTGAGCATTAATGGAACTAGCCAGCATCACCAACTTCCAAGTAACAGGGAGGTGCAAAATAGTCTGTTGTACTGTATGTCAGATACTGACCAGCTCCAGCTCTCAGCAAACCTGGTGAGGTCACTGCCAACTTTATGGAAAGAGAACTCACATCTTGTCTAGTTTGTAATGCTGGGAAATATCCAGTGTAATGTTGATGTTAATTGTGCAAGGCAGCGTAAAGTTCAGTTTGAAATCAGAATTGCCAATTAAATGCAAAATGTGGACCGTGGCAGAATGTGTCCTAAAAATTGTGTTCTGTGTAGTGTGAAATGAACAAGACTACAAAAGCGCTTTCAGTAAGACGAGGTAAAACAAGGAGCATGTCAAGCACCTGTGCACTCCGCATTAAAAAAGAACAGTGGGCTACAAACAATGTACATCAAAGGCACAAAAGAAGGAGTGGCACAAGATCAAGATGTTTGTTGTAGCACAGATCCTGATTCACTTTGGAGTGAATCACTCAATAATTCCTCATTTTTCCAGTTGCTGGTTTCATATCTGCCCTGTGAAGAGTGTGGGGGTGGGGGGATTGATGAGACGACAGGAAATTAAATTAAATTAAAAGCTTTGTGCTGGTTAGAGTAGACCAATGTAGCATTGGTTTAATATTTAAAATCGAAAAATAATTTAAAATGATGTTAATTAAATTTACATTTGTGTTGTCAAATTGTTTGAACTTGTCAATTCCCTCCAGTCCTTCAGTCAAGAGTTTCAAATCTGCCTTTTGAAGGTCAGCGCAACATCGGTAGTGATCTTTCCCAGAGATTGTGAGGTACACTAATTCCGCCTGGCACTGTTTGACATCTGTCTTGTCTGGAAAGGAACTTGAGGGATAGCTGTGCTATAGTTCTGTGTAATGGTTCAGTTTCCTCCATTTGGCTGAATATTAACAATCATCAAATGCTAAGAACTATGTAGTCCTGTAGCTCAGTGGCTGGAGCACTCGCCTCGCAAACGAGAGGACCTGGATTTGATTCCCGGCAGGAAGAAACGTTGGGCGTGTTTCCTTACTCCACATGTCTCTGTTTAAATAGCAGTGAATAGGAACGTGGTTGTTAGTCAACTGTTGGATTTCCAAAAAATAATTAAAAAAAAGATTTGGTCACTCAATTCTTGACTGCTGTGCGCAATTGGCTGCCAAGTTTCGCCCACAAAACATACAGTCAATTCACTTAACAGTATATTCCGTGAAGTGCTTTGCGACATCTAGAAGATGTTATAAGGTGTTATATCAAATGCAAGGATTATTATTATTATTATAATGGTTTCTAATACAGTTTGCTGTTTTGTGCCGTTTGAGCATGCAGTATCAAGAGTATGTATTTTTACATACTCAAGCCAGTCAAGCGGGTCTAGCACTCAAGTACACTAATAAGAGGAGCAAGTTCAATTCAAAGCAAGTAATGGGACATGTAATTACTTAAAGTCCTTTTTTTAAAGATTTTTTTAGATATTTCAGAACTTACAAAGTCTTCCTTGAAGCCATGCCTTCAGCCATTCCACTGAAGCTAATCAGCTGGGTTAACATAAGAACATAAGAAATGCTAGATGAAAAAAGACCAAGGTCCATTTAGTTCGCCTTCCGCCTTCCTGGTAGTCCCATGCATATATGTCCCAAACTACCCATGTACTATATCCCATAATGTTATTTCCTCAAAGAAAATTATCTCACCTGTGTTTGAAAGAATCAACATTTCCTGCTTCAACTGACTCCCTGTTCCACATGTTCACCGTTCGCTCACTGAAATAGTGTTTGTGTAGATTCGTTCTGAATTAAATCGCAGGCTGTGTCCTCTGGTTTTACAATTCTGGACAAGTTGAAATAGCCTTTCATGATCTATATTGTCTTGCTCCTTTAGAATCTTACCTCAACCTTCATGGCTCTGTTCTTGACTGGTTCAGATCGTACCTCTCACACTGCCTCCACTTCATCGCCACACAAGGTTTCTCCTCTAGCCCCTCAGAATCTCGTGCGGTGTTCCTCAGGGCTCTGTCCTTGGTTCCCTCCTCTTCAATATCTATATCCTCCCTCTTAGGGACTTCATCTGCAGATATGACACCCATTTGCCCTTGACTCCAGGACCACTGCTGTCCTGACAGAATGTCTGTCATACATCAAGTCCTGGATGAGAGCTAACTTTCTTCTGTTGAACGTCAATAAGACCGAGAC